AAACAAAAATATATTTTAATTTCTTTAACTTTTGTTGTTGGAACAAAATAACATGTTTTTCACCTGCAGTTTTGTACTCAATATTTTCGTACCCAGTCTACAGTTACGGACAATTTTCTCTCAGACCAATAAAGAAAGATAAAAAAAATCTTGTTTATGTTTCTTTAATTCTAATATCAACTATAATTGTTCAAACTGGAGTACATGATAAGGTACATGCCAACAGAATTAGGCCATCCTTAAAAAAATGTTGGTTTGCAGTAACGCGACCAACTCACAAAATTTGCCCCTACTCAAAATTTTTTTTCATGGTCTGGATAAATTTTTTTTTTTTAATCAGAAAATTATGCCTTGTGCTTTGTTTTCGTTCTTTTAAAGGTTAATAGAAGAAATAAAATGTAGGTCCTATTAAATTAGAATTCAGTAATCAATTTATTAATTGTTACCAGATTATCAAAGCATATATTGTCCAGCATTTTGAAATTCCATGTTTATTTGGAGTACAGTTCTATAAAAAAAAAAAAAAAAAAAAAAATTGACCTACCTACCCACCTTGAAAATTCTGGGTCGGGTTACTGCAAACAAACATTTCTTTAAGGATGGCCTTAAAGAAAAAAAATATTGTATCCTAAACTTGAGTTCCAGTATACTCTGGAAGTCTGACTTAACATGGCATGTTTTGTATTGTTTCACATTAAATCAGTATTTAATCTGTAAAGGTTTTTCTAAAAAAAGAAAATAAACAAACAAACAAACAATACAATAAGTTTATAATTTGTTTATAAAAAATGCAAAATGCTTTTTTGACAGATTTTACCCCTTAAGTTTTTCAGAATTTGCATTTTACCCCTCGCTCTAAATTTTGAGGGGTAAAAACCCCTTGGCCAAAAAAATTATCTGGAGCTCTGAAGTTATATTGAAATCCCCCTATGAATGTAGAAGTTTTGCTCCGGACAAGCGTTTTTCAATGAGCTCTAAGTGTGACCTTGACCTTTGACCTGGAGACCTGGATCATGCATGGAGCAATACATATCATGTTGGTGAACATTTCCATAAAGTATTATAAAAATTCTTCCATACATGTAGGAGATATGCTCCAGACAAAATCTGGATATTTCACCATCTTTAGTGACCTTGACCTTGCATATATTGACCTAAAGTACATGTGTCACAGCCGTAGTCATGATAATGACCATTTGTGTTACAATCCCTCAATAAATGATGATTAAATGGTCCCTATACACATCTTCATATTTTTATCTAAACTTTGACCTCTATGTGTGACCTTGACCTTGGTTGCAGGGACCTGAATTTTGCTCTAAGTGTGACCTTGACCTTTGACCTAGAGACCTAGTTCATGTGCATGACATGGCTTCTCATAATGGTGAACATTTCTATGAAATTTCATTAAAATCCCTCCATGTATGTAGGAGATATGCTCCAGACAAAATCTGGATATTTCATCATCTTTAGTGACCTTGACCTTGTATATATTGACCTAAATTATATGTATCACAGCCATAGTCTTGATAATGACCATTTGTGTTACAATCCCTCAGTAAATGATGACTAAATGGTCCATATACACATCTTCATATTTTTATCTGAACTTTGACCTCTATGTGTGACCTTGACCTTGACCGTAAGAGCCTGAAACTTGCGCGCGACACTCCGCCTCACAATGGTGAACATTTGTGCCAAGTAATATTGAAATCCCTCTATACATGTGGAAGTTTTGCTCCGGACAAGCATTTTTCAATGAGCTCTAAGTGTGACCTTGACCTTTGACCTAGAGACCTGGTTCATGTGCGCGACACTGCTCCTCATAGTGGTGAACATTTCTATGAAGTTTCATTAAAATCCCTCCATACATGTAGGAGATATGCTCCGGACAAAATTGGACGCCGCCCGCCCGCCAGGGGCGTTCCCATAATACGTCCCGTTTTTCAAACGGGCGTATAAAAATGATTGTATAATAAAATGACAATAATAATAACCATTACTATTACCCACAACGAATATTTTTACTGGATTACGTAATGTCCGAGACAATTGATGTTCTGTCAAAAAGACTCTACCACAAAATTTTAGTCATGTATTTTGTTTGCAAAGTTTTTTTTCGTCACGTTATCATTATTGAAGTAAGGTTTAAACAAAACATAAGAACAAATAAATGGAATCATACAATTGAAATCAATCATCAAAAATTCCGCATTTTAAATAAACGTACTTTTGTAGAATTGCGTTTTATTGCGATAACTTTGCAAGCTCAAGAAAAAAATATTTCAATTGTTTCATAGTCAAATATTTTGTTATTTTATAAATGTAATGAATACAATTGGCAAAAATAAAGTTCTCTGAAGTGGATATGTTTAATATTTCTTGTGAAATTCGGAATGTTTTAATTAACAAGCATTTGATAGTATTGCGGGCAATACAGTAGTCCCCTACCGGTCCCTCAAAAAGTTCTTTAATTGTCATACACTCCTGTGTATTGCCATTTATAATGAATTTGAGGATGAAGTCTGTATTTGAAAATATCGACCACAAAACATAATAAAATAAGTTTGTTTATATCACAGTAATGTGTTAAGTTTCCATGCTTAGTAAGGAAATTATGTTTATACAACCTTGTCATATTATTACGATGTGGGATTTTAAAGTAAATCCTATAAGGAATGAAGAAGTTGGAGTGAAAATACCAGTTTCTCGAAAAAAATCTAAGTTCAAGGGGGACATAATTCTGGAAATAGTCTTGCTAGAGTATTTAACCTTCTCAAAAATGTCGAGTGATAATAAGAAACATATATATGAAGTTTGAAGTAGATACATTAGGAAATAAAGAAGTTATTTAAAAAAGACAACATTTTTTCCCCTAAAAAATCTAAGTTCAAGGGAGGTAATATTAATATTTTTTGTGCTAGAGTTATAAACCTTGTCACATATGATGTGGTTGATGACCAGGAACTTATATTTAAAGTTTGAAGTAAACACCTTAAGAAATAAAGAACATATAGTGAAAAAAGCTGAAAAATTTAAATCAGAAATCTTGAAATTCAGGCTATTTGTTGCCATAGCAACCAGAATTTTCAACATAGGAAGAAAATAAAAAGATGTGCATAATCTCCAGACTGCCATCTACCCATATTTCAAGTTTCATAAAAATATTTTCAGTACTTTTTGAGTTATCACTGGATCCAGTTTATGTGTTAAATTTGCCATATTTTCAGACTATTTGTTGCCATAGCAACCAGAATTTTCAACATAGGAAAAAAAAAAAAGACGTGCATAATCTCCATACTGCCATCTATCCATATATCAAGTTTCATAAAAATATTTTCAGTACTTTTTGCGTTATCGCGGGATCCAGTTTTGTGGACGGACGGACTGACGGACTGACAGACAGACAGACAGACAGACGGACGGACAGACGGACAGACAGACGGAGGGTAAACCTAAAGTCCCCTCCGGTTAAACCGGTAGGGGACTAATAAACTGGTAATAACGTACATTACAATAGGATAAATTTTACAACTAGGGTTGCTTCTTTCAGAGAGTAGTACTCGCAAAGTATTTGGTTGATGTTCAAAAAATTTCACAATTGTCTCATTTAAAGGTTTTACTTTTCGAAATCTTTGAAATTAGGTCCTATTAAGAAGATCCATTTTTTCGACTTTTGATCTGTCAATTTCACAATTCTTATGAGAATCAGTGAATACGTATCACAATACTGACTTTCAGACTTTATCTATATAAAAAACTTGGTCATTTGTTCACAGCATAATTACGAATGTAATATAAAACTATTACAATAACAAAACAATAAACTCTTCAACTTGTTATTATAACTTATTTGCAAGTTTTGATCTTTCAACAATTTACATTACTTATTACTTAAGGATTTTTACTTCTTACTTAAGGATTAAAAGTATTTTTCATTATACCATAACTATTAGTGTATTGCGATACTTTCCCGCTATATCGATGCATCGGGTGGTGAAATATGTATTGCATCCTGATATATTGGAATTTATAAATTCATTACGATGCATACATTGAGGACAGGGTAGATCGCAAATTGTATCGATGCATCGATGAAACGTTACACCTCTAATCTAAATGGCACTGTTTTAATAGTTACTCAAACAATAACAGATTTATGATAGATCTACTGTATTTGATTTTCACACACACGCATGCGCACACATACAAATAAGAAAATCATTCTAGTGATAATTATTTATTGACCAAAATTTCGCAAAATTTTGGTTTGTATCTAGTAAACATTATTAGAATAACATTTATATTTATAATAATTCAACAGCCTTATCACATACAAAATGTGTGTTTTAATTTCATTCAAATTGTTACAATGTAGCAGGACAACTATTATCTTTGTTAACATGGTACACATATTTCGTATTTCAGTCTTCCATACTTTTCCTTCTTTAGCCAACTATATGGAGCCGTGGTTCGACCATTTAATTATTCAAAATGGATATAAATGCAAATTTTCTTATTTAAAATGTTAACAGATTGTTATAAAACTGACTAAGGTTATTATTCCAGTATGGCATCCTTCATTAATGACACCGTGAAACATTTATTTCTGAAACCATGTTACAAGGTACTGTCGTACATAAAATTCGGGTTTATGGTATTCCGTAGTTCATTGTTTGCATGCGTTTCAAAAAGTAGGTCAGTGTGATTTCCTCAATAAAAGAGCAATATCACGAAACGATGACATTAAAAGCTTGTCACCATTATTTCTATATGTAAATAGAAAGTATGTACTTAAGCCTACTGTGCATTTCTTATAGCTTATATGATACTTAATGAAATAATTTAAACCTGGCAGTGGGCAGACTAACAGGAAATCCCGCCGTGAAAATGCGCGATATGACATTGTAATTATTTTTGGAAATTACGCCGGATCGAACAGTGTTTCTTAAAAATTATCGAAATTTTACACACTTAATTTAAAATAAAGCATAACATACCATCATAGTAATAGCAAATTCGCTTTTTGCTGTGCGGTTGTGATGCCATCCTTTCCAAAGTTGTGAACTGTGACGTATTAATAAGCGCCGTCTATGGGGATTTTCCCAAGCCTAGGCCTACTTAGGAAAGAGAACTCTAGCAAACTCTTCACAGTGATTTGATTGGCTGCGGAGTTTGAACTTTTCGGTCCTTTCCGTCAAACTCCGGATGATACGTAGTAATCAGCAATCGCAACTTTTCGACCCTTTCCGCCAATCTTCGGATAATGGAGAAAGTTGACACCCTATTTAAATGTAAATTTGAGTGATTAAAGTGAACTGGTCTATTATGGAAGATACAACGAATAAATACGTTAATAGACATATAATGTTCAATAAGCCACGAAAGAATTATGCATGGAAGTTGTTGGCATGTGTGAGATGGACATGATCCGATATTGCGATATGGGCTATATATAGTGCTCATATAATAAAATACAAAAACTTATAATTCATCATATAATTGTTCATTCTAAATCACTTAAAACTTTTTTTTTTCAAGCAAATTTTAAAGAATATGATCCATTTCTATTGTTTTATCAATTTTTTAAATACTTCAGTAAATGTTCCAATTGTTGACCTATCGGCTTAAACAACATAGTTCAATTCCCTTATATAGTCACATGTAAATAAAATATAGAATAAATATATATTGGAATATTAGACTTTTGTGGTGAATTATTGATGTAAATAAAATATAAAATAAATATATATTTGATATTAGACTTTTGTGGTGAATTATTGATAGCTTAATGTTTCTGAACTCAATATGATAAAAAGATGTGACTATGATAAAATACTTTAGTAGCGAATATTGAAGTATTATAAGATATAGGTGCAAAATTCCCTAAATAAATACCTTGATATTTTAAAAGTTTTCCCAGATGTTGACTCCTTGAACGGCAGCAGCAGAATGACTGGGTGCCGCAAAATTTCCCCAAGATGACAGGGGCAGCACTAGTCAAACCATAGGTGGCGCTGCATATGTAGTAGCTGATTTGATTGGTCAGCAAAATTACAACCAATCAAAGTTTTTTATAGTTGCTTAGGACTATCCTTTAATTTATACTATAAATAACTTGTATATGAATCACAAGCGGCTATTATTAGATCTGATTGCAACCGAATTTCCCGAGAAAGCTATTTTTAACCATGCAATCAAACATCCTTTACACATAATCATTAGACGAAGTATCAAAATATCGTTGTCCGTGGAAGTAAAACAAATTAGAAAGCAAAATGTTTGAAGTAATTTGAAACAAACAAACCGGAAATAATAGACCCTTAGATTGTTTTGTCAATTTACATGACAGGTAGATGGACAATGCTGTCTTGAAAATTACCTACTCGATCAGTACTGATTTTTCCAGCAGTTAAAATTAGAAAGCGCATCGCTTTCAAAATTGTAAAGCTCGCCGATGATTGGCTGTTTGAAAGGTCACGAGAAGGTGACAACCTATTGGTGATCGTCAGATCCTAATCCGTAGCTGATTTTAATCAGACTGAACCTTGGACTTTATATGGATTGAAAGTAGTTCTACTACGTGGTCTTAAATGTAAACAAAAACAAAAGGTGTAATTTTTGACAATGTAACGAATGTATTTTAATTGACATCTGAAGGAAAATAAAGTCTATTTCGGTAAAATTATGATTGAATATAATTATGTCTTACAATCATAATCAATGCTGATGTTCAATTGTAATCATGCAAATCCGGAAAAATGTGAAACGTTTTAAGGCACACAAACACCAAACCCTGTCGGTGAAAATCTACCGGTTTGTGCCCTTATATATGGGATACTTTCCTCTTTGTTAATTCTCCACCTATAGTTTTTGCATATTGTAATGCTCATTATGAATATTAAGACGTTCTATCAACGTTGTTACAAATTTCAATAGGTAGACATTGTGTTCTTTTGGTTTACAACCATAATAATAAATATAAAAAGTGTGCTGTAACTTACTTTCATATCCGAAGTTTCACGGAAAGGACCGGGAAGATACGATTCTAAAAGCATCGCTCAGGAGTTAGCTAAAGAGACTTCAGCGAACAGGTTTTATAGTACTGCTAGACTGTCGCACAACACCAAAATAAAAGAGACATGTAAAGTTATTGAAGCCAGAACTTAGATATCAATCATGAACGGTTTAAAACTAATCAAGCGGAAGTAAAACTAATAAATAATTATAAAATATCTTTAAAAAAAACTAAAATGAAAGTCATGAAATGAGCATCTATGTCTCTCTAAATTAATATATGATTAAGTGATACTAAGTAATAATTATACCGATGGTTATTGGGCTATGTCCTCGCAGATTTTCTATAATTGAAGCTTATATATGCAAATGTACTTGCTTTCTTTAAATATGTAATTGGTAAACCAATAAAGCTATCGCGCATATAACACTACTGTTTATGTAACTATTTTAAGAACACTATAAGTGAACAATATATACTTAAGGACAATGAAAACGCACGCTCGCTCTATATGCATTATATTACATGAAAACAAAACATTAGCAACTCCATTAGATATATATCATAACTTTAATACAAAACGCAAAATTAACAATTGAAAATAATTCAAAATGTTTAAAATCAAATGTACACCAGTAAATCGAAGAACCTAAGGTGAAAATCTCAAAATCACACTTTTTCATCACAGTAATGCAAACTTAACAAAGGCAAAAACCACAATGAAAATCCAAAACGTCACTCATAAATGTCTTTTCGTACTGTCACCGTCGGAATCCTTAGACAATGTCCTCCATCAGCGCCTCTTACAGATGTACATCGTTGCCTCATAGACCTTACGGTGCGGATAGTCGCCTGTGGAATCTGACGCCATTCGGCCGGTAGTGTAGTGCGAAAACGCTGGTGAAGCCGATAAATTGTAGACCGATGGACACCAAAAAGGTTGGCGCTTTGTTTGTAAGATAGACCAGTCTGAATCTGTGCTAAATCTACCCAGCGGTTATTTCTTTTGTTAGAACCATTGCATACAATTTGCTAGCAAGTCTTCCAGTATACGTGTTTTGAAATTTAGCAACTTTTATAGAGGAAAAGTGTGTACATATATATGGTAATTTCTAATGTGAGCTTTTACGATTTCTAAAACTGACCATTGGCATAGTTTACTATTCATTTTCATAAAGATTTTAATTGCTCATTTGTGTCTAACATTTCTAGAAAGGCGTGAAAAACAAGTAAATAATCAACAGTTAAAAAATCATTTCATAAAGTAACCATGAATCGGTTCAATCCGTTTTCTGTTGTAATCTTATCACAATTAGCCGAAAGTGTTACTTTTGATTTTTTTGGGTACTGTCTTTATTATGCAATAACTTCTTTAAAATGCAATCATTTTTCATAACTTTGGCATCTAAATGACCGGAATGCATTCGGTTTTATGAAACAGTGAAAAAATATTTAAAAGAAATATATTTTCCTTGTTAAAATGCAATTATCCCGACCGTGCGTTTTCATTGTCCTTAAGTATAATAACAATCGAATGTATACCAGTGACACAGATACATAAATTAGAATATGGGGACTATAGTTGTTGGCAATTTTACCTGTATTCGCACTGCTGATTACCAGCTTACGATGACCACTCATAAAAGAAATTTAGGCCGAAAATGAGCGAAATGTTTTTTTTTCAATGAATGGAATATACACATTTGAATGGATTGTCTGGATGATGTTAACTTTATGTATTGCTCGAGCCATCATGTCATGATTGCCTATTGACCACCTGCCACATCAATAACACAAAAATCTCAGGTTGAATGCTTTAGTACTGGCAGCTCTTTGATTGTTGCCTGTAGAAAAAGATTTCACCAAGAGTGGTATCAACGATTATTTATCATATATGAAATGTATTGCTTATTTCTATCTGGAGACTTCACATTTTAAGTTAGCTCAAAAGTGTTCATTTCATGCCCTCGAAGTACTCCCCGGCCGTGGCTAGAATTGCAAAGTTTTAGCCGATGTATCCACTTCTTGAAGGCGTCACGGTACGCTGATTTGGGCACAGTAATAAGGTACTGATGAATGACAGATCCAAGTGCCTGTCGGGAATTGTATTTCCGCCCAGCAAGGAAGGATTTCAATTTCGGAAACAAAAAGAAATCACATGGGACAAGGTCTGGAGAATACGGGAGTGAGGCAAAACAGTTACTTTTTCTTTTTTGAAAAACGCCGAAACTATTGCGGAGGTATGAGCGGGGGCATTGTCATGTAGAAGACGGATATGCTTAAAACCAGTGACAGGGCGTCGTTTCTTATAATACTTTTTCAGTTTTTTAAGTACTACGTCTTTGTAGTACTTCCCAGTGATACTTTTGCCCTTTTTCACCGGCACTTTTATTGCGACTCCTTCACCACAGAAGAAAATTGCATACAAAAATCTGGAGACAAAGTGATCCCTCGGAAGCATTAATCACAACAAAATTACAAGAGAATTGCAGACTCGGTTTGATTGAGTCTGTACACGAGGGATAATAAATACGTGCAGCATCCCTCACGTCCCCTAGCACCGGCTTGAGCGGTACTCAATTCTCAACACTTAATAGTGCTGGCATCAATGATCCCGAAGAACCAGAAAAATATAACAACACTGAAGTGAAGTACGGGGCAACTTTTTACAGTACAGCTGCCACACAGCACTTGACACCTGCTGTTGTGAAGTATAAAAATCTGGAGACAAAGTGATCCCTCGGAAGCATTAATCAGAACAAAATTACAAGAGAATTGCAGACTCGGTTGAGGGATAATAAATACGTGCAACATCATTCTGTTGACCGATGAGCACTCAAAGACCGTATGGCAATTATTGGGCGTTTGTTGTGTTTAGTGGCCCAGATTTTGTTGTTAACTTTTCTGACGGGCTGAAAATAATGGACCCAAGTTTCATCACCTGTAACGACATTGGCAAACTGTTTTTTGTCATATTTTGAAAACATTTGAAGCAGCTTTTTGCCCACCTTAACCCGTTGCCTCTTTTGCTCATCGGTCAACAGATGTGGCACCCATCTAGCAGAAATCTTTCTGACTTTGAAATGCTTCTTCAAAATAAAGTGAACCGTTGATAGTGATATGCCCACCTTTCGTGCAATATCACGAACTGTAAAATCTGGCATCTCCTTCAATGATATCCTTTATTTTGGAAACGATTTCGTTACGAGATGCAGATTTTGGTCTACCTGATTTTGGTGCATTTTTGATGCACTCTACACCAGACTCAAGAGGTCAGTCATCAACTGCTTCAAAGAGCAACCCAGTTTTGAGCGAGCTTTGATGTAAGCCCGTATTTCATCTTTTTTTGTCGTCTCTTCTACCAACCATTTTTACTACAGTGGTCAATGACTGCATGTATTTAAATGTCAAATTGTATGTCTTACACTTAGTCTAACATGTACAATTTACATAAAGAGGATCATTCAATAAGTTATGTAACTAAAAGGTGTCTTATAGTATTTTAAAACGCTCCATTGCACTCGAATGAGGTTTTCAATAGCTATCCATAACGGTTTGTTTATTGACAGTTTCGCACATTTCAATTCGAAATACAATGCAGTACGTTTAGGATAATTATTTAGTGACGCGGCGGTAAAGTCCACTATTACCAGTGATTACGGTGTAAAACAGTTATCATATTGTATTTATCATCTTTTTACGATCTACATTAAAATATCAACAAATTTATCAACTGTCCATGTAACACAATAAGTAAGGCTGTCAGTTAAATTCCCAGTTCGTGCCTGAAATAATGCACGGAAGGGCACCTGAGGTCTTCCTCCACCAGTAAAGCTGGAACGTCGCGATATGACCTATACTGTGTCGATGTGACGTAAAACCCAAAACAAACAAACAAAACAAAATCCCAGTTGAATATGCAAGACAGGTTCGGTTCGCAAAAAATATTCCTGTATGAATAATATGTGTTTTTTACTTGTAAGGATTACGAGTGTTGTGTTAGTTTTTATTTACTTCTCATTTCACTTTTTTTCGTTTGTTTCAATGTAGGCAACCTTATACTGCATTTTTCAATTAAAGTTCAGTTGGCACGAAATACTCGTGTACTGCACAAGTATTGTGACTACTACATACTACACAAAACACAGGATACAAATATTAATCCCGGTATACTTAAAATATAAGATTTTATAACAAAACTACCTTGATATTCCGATTCATTTGCATCTATCAAAAAAATGAAAAAAGGGGGAAAAACAACTTGTGAGACTCGAACTCGTGATAAACTTTAAGTTTAACGACTTTGCCAACTTTGCCATCAAGACGTTTCAAATTCTACTTCTTATTTTGTATTATATTCACTTCTTAAAAAGCTGTTTTACATATTTAGACAAAGATTGTAAACTTTTGTGTACACAAAAAATGACCAATTTACTGACCATATTGTACAATGAACAGGAATTAAGGCTACGTACATAAAATGTCGCATTAGGATTGTTATAGCTGCAATGGATCTACAATGAATTGTGCGGTATATAGTATACGGACCTAAATATCAAGTCATAACCTTTAGATTGGTCAAAGCTTTTAAAGATGGGAAATATTGTCTATCAAAGATGACTACCGTTTATCTAAACGAAGACCTTACAACCTCGGTTACTATAACAAACATTGCCGCTGTAAAGGTTATAGTAAAGCAGGATGCAAGCATGTCAGTGAAGGAAATGGCTAGTTGCACTGGAATATCAGAAGGCAGTATGTATTTAATTCTGATCAAGCGTTTTGGTTCTAAGAAACGATTAAAAACGATTATACATTGCCACTAGGACCATCAGTACAATGAAGACGTTGTATACGAGTTTACTTTATGCCAGTGAACGCTTTGTTCATCTAGTCACACAATCATTGGACAATTCTACAAGAATTTTGTATTGAAAGAAGTGTAAGCTTTTACAAAAAGAAAGGTCCATGAAATGGATGGCCAGGAGTCCATCTTAAACATAACACAAAAACAAGATTGTTTAGTCTTTCTTGGCGTCTGAAATTGTTAAAGTTGTAAACCATACGCCGTATTGTCCTGACTGAAGTCCCTGTGGTTTCTTTTATTCCAGGGATAGAGATAAAATTATGCATTTCGGAAGAGGAGGAATACTTTGAAGGTTTCAAATAGAAAACATTTAAAACATTTAAAACGTAACAGTTACAAAATTTGAACCCAGTGCCAAAACATATTGATTGACTCTCGTAGAACATTATTTGAACACAGTTTATTGCCTTTATTGACACATTACATGTAAATATAATTATATAAACATGCATATATTGTGAATGATAATGATATTTATATCGGTTTGTAAATTCTTTAATTAATAGTAAAAACAATTCAGAAGCAAAATAAACATTACGTATACATATGATAACATAAGATAATATACAATAAAATGAAATAATACAGAGATTGTAATATTTACTTATTGTTTTAAATGACTGCTAGAATGGTTGTTTCTATTACTTAAAACAATATCGCATAAGCCCAATTTTTTCCCTTCCATTATACGCAATTAGAACTTTCATATTTTGTTCAATAAACATGTTAACTACACGTGGCCCTCTAATGTTGAGTTGTTAAAACTTCGAATCCGCTAACGAATCCAAATCCTGCCAGACCAAACACGTGTGTAATATGTGTAATCTTTTAAACTTGCGTGCGTCCCTCGTGCACAATCTCCATCAAACCGAATCTGCAATTTTCATATAAGTTTGATGTTTTTCGAGGGATTTCCCTTTTACCATAAAAACAATTGTCTGTTCCTTCTACCATCCGTACAATTGTATTTTATACTAGTAAATAACTTTTGATCAGTTCACTATTTGAACACAGATATATCAATGTTTAACGTATAACGTTCATGTTATATATTAAACGTGTAACTTAAGTTGCTGCTACAGCCGTAATTTTATAAGTTTGTTTCAATTGGTATAAGTCTTGGTATCAAAACATATAATATCTGTTGCTAATTCTTCTGCGGCTGTTCCGTCAAGCCTTCATATAGTTTTTGCTGGATATTAAATTTTCCGTTGTGCTATCATCAATAAGCTTATTACACTTAATTCAAGCGCGTCCTTGTGCGCAAGGTATCACATTAAATAACTTTCTTCTGGTATAGCTGAAACATAATCATTTACCATATGTTCCGGGAGCAAAAGATTATTTTCTTCTTTTGTCATTGCAGTAACGTAATCGTGTACATTATTTTCCGGTATCAGAATATCATTTTCCTCTTCTGACATTGCGGAGACGTATTCATGTTTATTATGTCCCGGTATCAGAACATTTTCTTCTTCTGGTAAAGCAAATTCATAATCGTGTACATTATGTCCAGGTGTCAACAAATTATTTTCTTCTTCTGACACTGCGGACACGTAATTATGTACATTATGTTTCGATTTCTTTTCTTCTTCTGGCACAGCCAAAAGATAATCTTGTATATCATGTCCCGGCATAAACGAACTATTTTCTCCTTCTTGTAAATTGCACAGATAATCTTGTACATAGGTTTTCGGTGTAGAAATATTATTTTCGATGACAGACATAGTAGAGACATATTCATCTTGCACATTATTTCCCGGAATCAAAACATCATTTTCTTCCCCTGGCATGGCAGAGACGTAATCATGTACATAGTTTCCCGGAATCAAAACGTTATTTTCCTCTGGAATGTCGAAGACGTAATCTTGCACATTATGTCCTGGCATCAAAACATCATCCTCTTGTTCTGGTAAAGCGGAGACGTAATCTTGAACATCATTTCCCGGTATCGAAACATTGTTTTCCTCTCCAGGCATAGTGGAGACGTAATCATGGACATCATTTCCCAGAATCGGAACATTGTTTTCCTCACCAGGCATAGCGGTGACGTAATCATGGACACCATTTCCTGGAATCAAAACATTGTTTTCCTCTCCAGGCATAGTGGAGACGTAATCATGGACATCATTTCCCAGAATCAAAACATTGTTTTCCTCTCCAGGCATAGTGAAGACGTAATCTTGTATGTTTTGTTCTGTTCTCAAAACGTTATTTTCTTCTCCGGGCAAAACGGAGACGAATTCTTGTACATTTATCCCCGGTATCAAATCCTTTTTCTCTTCTTCTGGCAAAGCGGAGACATTATTTTCTATATTTAGCCCCGGTATCAAAACGCTATTTCTTTCTCTTGTCACAAGGTGGACATTATCATTGCATATTTTATCGTCACACGCTTTTATGCAATCATTTTCATTTTTGGTTAACTGGTGACCTACCTTCTTTGATAGAATACAGTTGCTGTTGATTGTTGTATTATTTGAGTGATTGTTGTTAACATTTTTCTTCAAGAGTTTTTCAGTACTATCAGATGATGTACTTCTTTTTCCGGCAAAAGACAAGAAATACCCACTGTCACTTATGTTCTCCTGGTCATCTGTGGTATGATAAAAATACAGTATTGGTCGTAAAGTTCTAATACACGTGTCAGTAAAGGTAATCATTTTGCTATTTTTTTAACTTAAGACATCTTCAACTAATGTTATTGCCAGCAATTAAACATACTCGTTTCTATCATCAATAAATGGTCTATTATATTTACATGTTATGTAACACTATCTATCTTATATGTAATTGATCGCAATTTTGAATGATTTCTTTTTCATGCATACACTTAATCATAAATCCTTGTGTACAATATATTTCAAGTTGTAGTGATTATTATAATATTCCTCGTCACCGACATCATTCATTCACACGATCACACTATTGACCAACAAAAGTAATATGAATTTATGTTGAATAAAATTAAAGTGTATAAAACTATATATCTTGTACAAAAATTATTGTTTAAATTTTAAAAAGTATACTTCCAAAATGCTTACAGTATGAAATAAATATGATAATTTATTGCCTTAAAAGCGAATGGCGCATGCTTAAAAAAATAGCAAAATAATATTTTGTTCCGGAAACATTTTATATTGTTTACGTACATTATTCATGTGTATCTAATAAATAACAGAGACATTCTATGTTACAACTTTTTCGGGAATCAACTATATAATAACGGAACCAATATTATTTTACTGTTGATAAATCTTATTAAAATATTTCATAAGATATAGATTTATTCCCTTTAAGCTAATTGAACCCTCAAAGTCACTGTTTCAGAGATATAAGATACACTTCTCTTTCTTTATTGAGGGATTTTGTTATTTACTGCAATATTTTTTGTCTTAATCGTTCTTTAATACACTATAGTATAAAAAATGACCCTCTCGTTTCAAAGTTGTTCCTATGATATTCACAGTATATAAACGATTTGAACCCCAACCGGATCTTGTGAGGAGATGTCAGTGTCAGCCATTTTCTGACGCTTGACTTATTTGATATATTGGTATTTATATTGATACTTATGGACGTTAGGTTATTAAATCTTTATTTATATCGTAGAGGAGAAACTTTGTTAAACGTTTAAGTTATGCAAAATATAAATGTTAGCATTAAAGCTATAAATAATCGAAACTCACGAGCTGCTTTCAGGTGATCAACACTGAACACGAACAAAATCCGTCTTATTTCAAGGTTTATTTAGTTAAACATTGAATTGTGATATCGAACTACTAAAATAATCAATAACAAACGATAATTTAGTCATCTGCAAAAGATATTGCTGTATTTTGAACATTAAATTAAGAGTTTAACCAAGGAGGTCAATTCCGTAAACGGAACGTTACTTGCTGGTGATTGTGAACCCTACTTGTGAGCTTAAGAATTTTATCTGTACCCTGACTTGTGAGTATTTTTAAAGATTTAATGGAGCGAACGTTTATTATTTAACGTATTTATTTGTTTATTGACAGGCAAAATGGAAGAATTCAGTTGTCTTCATTGCCCCCTTTCTCTTCAACAAAATTCGGAAACACTATTGTTCACAATTTTGACACAAGAACAAAAGCTTAAAATAACAATTTCTCAGTTTGACAACAATAACAGAAACATTAAAATCATACCCCAAAGACTTTAGAATTGTTCAAAAAGAACTGAAAAAAATAAAAAAAGGACTTTCAAAGCAAATGATATTACAAAAATAGTAAAAGTTTCAAGACAAGAATTAAGGACTTTAAAAATAATCTCCAATCAAGAAATGTCAAAAAATCAAAACGCCTGTTAAAGATGTTCACAAATCGACAAAAGTAACGTTTTTAGTACAGATGACGAAGAGTTTATGTTTAAACTTGGTGTCAACTTATTCCACAGATCCCACATTTAAGTTATGTTTTCAGGGGAGTGTTTGTTACACGAAAGCTACTATCAACCCTCAACTACAAATGATTCATCCAAATCCATATGCAATACATGTATATGGCAATTTATAGAAAGGAACTGGATTTTAAGATCACTCATGATAGCCAGAGTACTATTCAAGTTGTGTGAAAAGAAAACTTACAGGTTGTCTGAGACACTGGCAAGACTGTAAACTATAGAAATAAACTTGCAAGAGTGAAAACTACCTTTTAGACATTTAACAACAATATGCAGGAAACTCCTTAAAATGATTTATTAAGAGTGACCCTAGTCGTGCATGTCAGAAATAGAAATTCAAGGCATTTATGAGAATATAAAACAGTGTTTCAAAAAGCATAATGAAATCAACGGTAGGTGTAAAGCTTTCAACATGTTGAAATACTAGTAAGTAAGCTGCCAAAAAATCCTTTGATGATCTTTCGAGGAGGGGATTGATATGGGACGTTATATAACGGTCACGTCAAAACTAACAACAATGTCGTTGAACTTAATAGTAAAAACGTTTATATTACTTATGTTATATCTTAGCTTTAAATCTTTTCAAAGAAAAATGAATGGCAAATGAAGATAAGATTTGTTGGTTGATAATTCCTGTCAAGAAATAATTTTCTTTCTAATTCGTATCACCAGCTCTTTCCTTGGAAAGTGAAAACATGATGAAGGTCCATTCATGTGAAGTATAAGTTACTTATTTAGAACTACAAGATGTGTCATCCTCTTGTGAAACAATAACTTCATATTCTGCAAGATATAATTTGGAACATAGGACAAAAACAATAAAATCATCAAAAGTGACTCGCAAGTTATAGTTCAGTGAAAACACAAGTAGGGTACAGATCATTAAAATTGTTTTAGCAAGACGGGTACAGTTATCAGAAGGTTCGCCTCTATTATGTACTATGTTTTTATTTATATTCAAAGATATCCACACAAGTGTCTGTGCGGTAAGATGAGGAAAGACAATAAAGTTAAGATTCAGATATGAGTTATAGTGAAATAAAACAATTTCAGGCATAAATTTGCTTGTGTAATCGGAGTGTGTTGACATAAACAAAACACGAAGCGAAGAGCACAACGTTTTATGCGCATAAATTTAAAGAAGCTGGTTATAGATATATCTATAAGCAAAGAAAAATATTTCTTAATATAATTCAGATGTTTACATACCGTCACAGATTAAATGCAAGCCGTCTTAAAACGTTTTATGGGTCACCCCGTCTGTTTGTACTGAACTGATGTTGAGATCTTCTCACAAGATCCGGTTGGGGTACAAATCGTTTATATACTGTGATATTATAACTCGTTAAGAGGAACGAGGTAAGATAAACCGGAAAGTGTTAAATAATGTGTGACGCAATACAATAAATGAATTAAGATGAATACACATGGAGGATCCGAGGAAGAATAAAACATAGACCGATACCTTCAGGTTCAATGATGTCAGTCCCTATCTCGTCATTATGTTCATCCTGGAATTGTTAAATACAATACACTATATCATAGCTTTATTCAAGTAAAACAATGCTGTATGCAGAAAGACATTATGTAAAATTCTAGAAAAGGACCTTACTTCTAATCAGTGCAAACATTTCGCGCACATAAAGTTCAATCAATCCCTCGGCCAAATAAGGTAACATTATATTTAAGTATAACAGATATAATTAGAATACTTGTTAACATTGGAGCTGATTTGATAGAATGCTGTAATTAAGTTATCATATCGGCATACCTATCCATGTGGTCTGGCTTTGTTCCTAGATATTTAGAACACATAATCATTCATGAATATTTACCATTGATAACTTTGGTTTTCAAACAATAGGAAAGGTTTGAAACACACGGCAAATGCCTAGCAGAAGAGCAGAGTAGCTTTACAAAATATATAATATTACACATATATGTTAAAAATCCATACCGGAGTTGCAATCCTGTTTCTGTCTTTAAACACTGTATACTTTCTCCGCCCATAAAATGCTCTTAAATGATATGAATTAAACATATTTGTATTGTCTTGTGTTATTTATTGGATAATACAAGATGACATATAAGGACGTCGAGGCAGTCAAATTTCCTTACTTACAACCACGTTTCCCTTACTTTTTTCTCTTAACAATAAAAGCTTTTAAAAGAATATTTCTAAAGCTATAAGACTATAAATTATGCTAAATATATTTGTCTTATTAGGTACCGTCTCTGCTTTAAATAGCCTCTTTATTTTGCAAAAGAGTCTGATAACTTATACTTTTGTGGAAAAACTTTTTAAAAAACTGTTATTAAACTACATTGTATTATATTGATATATATTGTTGTATAAGACACATATGTATATGGGTATATTAGACAAATGTCACAGGGTGAGAAATAAGTGCAGTCCCAATTTTTGCAAATCAATTCATTAATAAACTTACAATACAACAACTAGACAACAAACTACCACTACAGAGACCGTCGCTCCGGTAACCTCAGCAACAGCTGCAAATTTCACGTCTAATTTTTGGATGCCTAAAATATAACATAGATTAAGGGGACTCCATTGAGGTTTTTCGACATGACGGAACTTGAAATAGTTTTGAGATTTCAGTTCCAATACTAACATGAAATATATAAACTATTTATGACAAGTGAGAAAGTACACTTATTTCTAGAATTATATTGATACAATCTTAATTAGACATGACTTAAAACTAAACGAAGTTAGTATGTCTCAATCAATCACATGTACTTTCTGGAAAAAAAATGTAGTTGATACAGCTTGTAAAACTAATCACATTATATTTAGGCATAAAAAGATAAGAAGTACCTGTACTGTTAGTGACAAATGAAACTATGGTACTGATGTTACTCCAGTATATATCTCTAGTAGCGGCTGAAGGTTTGGCTTGAACAGTAACAGTGTAATTGGTGGAAGGTTTTAGACCAGTTATAACCATGTGCTCGTCAACGCTTGAGCTGTTTAGTTTATACTGAAAAAATTTCAGTTACAACATTTTGTAGGATACAATGTTGATTTGACGGTTTGAAACATTAGTTACAAAACAAATAATGAACAAAAAAACCCGCACAACAAAACAGACTTCTCTCTCACAACCTTTCCTGGCGTAACACCTTTCATTATTATTATTATAACAGAGATCAATTATATTCGGAGAATGCTGTAACAATACTAAGAATACCCATTCCATCAAATAGATATCTCCATACGCTTTAAACTTTTATTTATTTATTTATTTATAACAGAAATCTACTTACATAGTCTTCTTGGTGCAAGTCCGATGTTACTGTAATTCTATAGTCTATTTGAACATCATCTTTATAACTGAGTCCTTTTGGGCACACCCAGTGAAGTTCAACACTAGTTCCAGTCACTTCTGTAAAATGTACGCTTCCAACGGGAGCTGGTTTAACTGAAGGTAGGAAAAAAGTCTAGTTCTAGTATGCTAACAACTACAACATAGCGGGCGTTGCGTTTTCTTCGTGCTAACTAGTGATCAGCATACTGGGGCCCGTGGTTCGAGTCCGGCTGCTGTTTGAAATGCCGTTGCACTGATTGGTTGCATGACATAAAATATTTATCTATATTGGTGATGCCGTTTATTTTATGTTGTTGTTGTTGTTGTTGTTGATGATGATGATAATGATGATGTTGATGGAGATGATGATGATGATGATAATAATGATGATGATGATGATAAATAAGGACTACACTTGATCCTGTTCCTTAACATAGGTCATCGATGAACCATATATTTAACAAAACAATCTTACGTAATCTTGCTTTGAGCAAATAGAAAATACTTCCCTCAGCTGTAAACAATTTTGTTAAAAGTCTCTCTGATATTTTCAATCTCATTCAGACATTGAAACTTTTATATAACCAAGTGCACAGGTTGATATGCGATATGAAAAGATCAGAGGGACTTTGCACAAAGTCTGAAACAGTCAAGTAAAATGCTCACTATTAGGGTCGGAATTTTCCGCCATAAACTTTGTTCAAGCCCATCTGTTGTCGCCGCGTGGAAACACATATAAGAACGCTCCAGAAATTTGTGCCATGGGGACGAACCAGCAAGTATTATTTTTTAAAAAATTACAAATTTTCATCTTCCAAACTAAAGATATTGGTAAATTTTGTTGACATTTACTTAAAATGAAATTCAGATTCAGAATGCTAAGAATACGTTACAGAGCATTCAAGATTTACATTAATCACTTCTTGTCTTTTTATATGCTATTTGACGGACCTTATCAAACACTCCAAAACAATTTGAAAAGAAAGTAATTGATTGTGATTCTGTCACTTGAAATATTAATAAATACAGACTTTAAGAAAATGAATAGACAACTAGAAGAAATTTATTCATAAATGTCATAAAAAGCACTATACTATATCAATAAAATAACAAATATTTTCAAACCAAACTATGAATAAATTATATAATTTGAATTTTCACGATTCTGAACATACAGCATCAAAGGCATATAAATGACAATGTGAAAGTAATATATGAATGTGACTTCTTGAGGAAATCGTACCATTACATTAATTTACACATTGTCTTAAGTATTTTGACCATAATGCTATTAGAAATGATTATGAAATCTTATTCCTTCATTCAAAACTTAACAAAATCATGAGTGGCGACTTTTAAAGTTTGCATCAAAATTAATCTTGTTTACCTATGTTATAAGTATTTTCAATCTTTATGTAACTTGAGTTCTCGCCCAGTTTATTTCGTGTCTCAACGCAAATTTCATATTCAACATTGGGTAGAAAAGTGTACTCAGAAGGTTCATCATTTTCGCTATCTAACCAGCACGTCCCCTCTGCAATGTTACAGTTTGATCTTCTTAAAGTCGTCCAATTATGCCAGTTCCTATTTCAAATAAATCGTTCAGTTTTTAGCATAAGTTTCATATTCGATAATGATACAATAAATATATCTGGAATAAAACTGCATTATTACAGCTAGCTTGCTTTTATTCTTTATCACAAGCTCATTAGACTTATAAACATTAAATTTCAAATTATTTATTTGAGCCATACTAATTGAATCAATTGCTGCAAAATATAATGTTTGAAAACAGTTTCTTATGGGACATGATATATGACTGGCATACCAGTTAGATATGTAACGTAGAAAACACCAGGAATGTTGAGACTATTAAAGCCATAATGCAATATCATTTACTTGTGTTCTATGTCTGCGAAGTAAATATAAATAAAGAAATTTGAATTAAAAATCAGTAAAAGTAGAATGTCTTGTAACTTTTGATAGATTCGTTATAATGACAAAAGTAATGAATGTGAAAGCTAAAAATAAAAGTGCTGACAATACACTTACCTTTTGAATTTCATTTCCGTGTCTGTAGGGATATTGGTTTCAAACAATTTGAAATAACATTTCAACGCAGTAAAATTATAGGTAATACAAAATAGATCTGTGGGCGCTCTAGGGCTTTCTGAAATGGATAATTTATTTCTCATTCCATTTGCAATAACTGGGGATCTTTACAAACATTTATGCAATGTCTTTGACAAACTCGGTTTTATACTTCAACTTCCATATCGACATATAATCGAAAATATATATATTTAAAATGATAAAAAAACTTGAAGAACAAGATTGCACTCTAAATGATGTTTCTCTGAAATGGCGCGTGCTTTGTTCGAGAACTCAGTCTAAATCGATTACTCATAAAACATCCCATGACAACTATGCTTCGGGTTCAGGGATTGCCAATGGATGCTAATTAAAACTTGCATTTTGACATTCAGAAATTAGTTGTTTACAGATGTTATAGAATATTTTAAAACATCAATTCCAGCGGTTAGTTGTGTCTTTGAATGTGCTTTATCGATTTTTTAGGTAACTATACTGGCATGGTTTTAAAAATCGAGTGGGGTCGAGGTGCGAAACGACGTCCGACCAAGCAAAATACGATATTTTAATGTCGGTTTGTTTTTAAAAAACGGTTTATGTGGGGACAATAATGTTATTGTCAACGTCTAGTGATGTCATTTAGCAAATATTTGATATATACCTTAACATAATATACTGAGAATTACACTACAGTTTTGACATGTACTGAACTAATGACGTTCAGACCATTTGGCATATGCAAACCCAGGAAACCCTTGTTTACATAAGAATTTTTATCACAATTATACTAACAAGACTACTACTATCAGCAATACCTTAAATAAAATTGGACAATCTGACGCAGCTATCTCGTAAACATTAACATCAGAATAAGACTTACGAGCATAACATATTGCACCTTAAAATAAGCTCAACAAAACATTCTCCTCAAAGTTGCTCATTACTTTGTATTTCATGAAATTATTCTATGCTGATTTTATAATAAAACTTTATCATCAACAATAGCGTCATATATTTATCATAAAAAAAGACTAAACATTTAAAAGTACAAGCATAAATATCAATTAGGTTCATATTCATTTAATGGGACATTGGTAGCATATAAATTCACACCCTTGTTTTATATGTGTTATTGTACATACATGAAGATACACATCGTTACCAGATAGAATTACAAATAACGATAGAATTACAAATATACATATTATTCTCATTGAGTCCATATAAAAATCATCCTCCAAATCTGCCTAAAGTTCAGATCTACTAAAGTTTTTTTTTCTATCATGTAGCGTAACGTTAGTTAGGAGCTGATTTTATTAATCTGATTGCAAGCAATCTACCTTATTGTACTTTAAAGCACAAAGTTAACTATGATTTTACCCTACCAATTTAGATGATTCTTTATTATTATCAATAATTTTATGTAGAATAAATAAAACAAGAGGGCCATGATGGCCCTGACTCGCTCACCAGAAACAACTGCTTTTCAGTGTTGGAATGTCAATATATTCTAATATTAAATTTGAGCATAGAATATGTTTAAATAATAATTTGAAGAAATGCCATGACCTGGGGCATATAAGCTTTAGCTTAAACGGGGCTAATCAAATCAATATGAGCAAACTTGATAAAAGACTCACTAAGAATGCTACAAAGTTTGGTGATCATCTCTCAATTATTTCAATAGGAAATGATGTTCGAAGGTTTAGTTCTGTAGAAATACACATTTAAAGGTATTTCTATTTTTAGCTTAAGTGGCCCCTAAAAGGGGCCAATCAAATTCAAATGAGCAAACTTGATAAAAGACTACGAAAGAATGCTACAGACAAAGTTTTGTGATCAGCCATCAATTTGTTCTGTAGAAGAAGATATCTAAAAGTTTTTCTATTTTTAGCTAAAGAGACCCCTTAAAGGGGCTTATCAAATTAATATGAGCAAACTTGATAAAAGACTACCCAAGAATGCTACAGACAAAGTTTGGTGATCACCCATCCGTTAGTTCTGTAGCAATAGACATTTAATGGTATTTCTATTTTTAGCTTTAGCGGCCCCTAAAAGGGGCCAATCTAATTAATATGAGCAAACTTGATAAAACACTATCCAAGAATGCTACAGTCAAAGTTTGGTTGTCATCCATCAATTAGTTCTGTAGGAGAAGTTGTTTAAAGGTTTTTCTATTTTTAGCCCTTGAGACCCCTAAAAGGGGCCAATCAAAATAATATTAGCAAACTTGATAAAAGACTTCCCAAGAATGCTACAGACAAAGTTTGGTGATCATCCATCAATTAGTTCTCTTGAAATAGACATTTAACGGTTTTTCTATTTTTAGCTTTAGCGGCCCCTAAAAGGGGCCAATCAAATTTATATGAGCAAACTTGATAAAACACTACCCAAGAATGCTACAGACAAAGTTTGGTGATCATCCATCAATTAGTTCTATAGGAGAAGATGTTTAAAGGTTTTTCTATTTTTAGCATTAGAGACCCATAAAAGGGGCCAATCAAAATAATATTAGCAAACTTGATAAAAGACTACCTAAGAATGCTACAGACAAAGTTTGGTGATCATCCATCTATTAGTTCTGTAGAAATAGACGTTTATAGGTTTTTATATTCTTAGCCCTAGAGACCCCTAAAAGGGGCCAATCAAATTTATATGAGCAAACTTGATAAAACACTACCCAAGAATGCTACAGACAGAGTTTGGTGATCATCCATCAATTAGTTCTATAGGAGAAGATGTTTAAAGGTTTTTCTATTTTTAGCATTAGAGACCCATAAAAGGGGCCAATCAAAATAATATTAGCAAACTTGATAAAAGACTACCTAAGAATGCTACAGACAAAGTTTGGTGAACATCCATCTATTAGTTCTGTAGAAATAGACGTTTATAGGTTTTTGTATTCTTAGCCCTAGAGACCCCTAAAAGGGACCAATCAAAATAATATTAGCAAACTTGATAAAGACTACCCAAAAATGCTACAGACAAAGTTTGGTGATCATCCATCAATATGTTCTCTAGAAATAGACATTTAACGGTTTTTCTATTTTTAGCTTTAGCGGCCCCTAAAAGGGGCCAATCAAATTTATATGAGCAAATTTGATAAAACACTACCCAAGAATGCTACAGACAAAGTTTGGTGATCATCCATCAATTAGTTATGTAGGAGAAGATGTTTAAAGGTTTTTCTAATTTTAGCCCTAGAGACCCCTAAAAGGGGCCAATCAAAATTATATAAGCAAACTTGATAAAAGACTATCTAAGAATGCTACAGACAAAGTTTGTTGAACATCCATCAATTTGTTCTGTAGAAATAGACATTTATAGGTTTTTCTATTTTTAGCTATAGCGGCCCCTAAAAGGGGCCAATCAAATTCATATGAACAAACTTGATAAAAGACTACCCAAGAATGCTACAGACAAAGTTTGGTGATCATCCATCCATTAGTTCTGTAGAAGAAGATGTTTAAAGGTTTTTCTATTTTTAGCCCTAGAGACCCTTAAAAGGGGCCAATCAAATTAATATGAGCAAACTTGATAAAAGACTACCCAAGAATGCTACAGACAAAGTTTAGTGACATCCATCAATTAGTTCTGTAGAAGAAGATGTTTAAAGGTTTTTTACTATTTTTAGCTCTGCTGACCTCTAAAAGTGGCCAATTGGGATGACATGACCAAATTCAAGTGTGACTGTCATAACGATGCTACACACCAAATATGAAGTAAATCTGCCCAGTAGTTTCAGAGAAGAAGACAATTGTTGACGCATGACGACGGGCGCCGGAGCATCCCCCTTTGATACTAATAGCTCACCCTGAGCCTTCGGCTCTGGTGAGCTCAAAAGTAGAATGTATAACTTTTTACCTCCAACACTTATGTTCACAGATGAGTATATTGTACTGTTATAAACGCAGCTGTAAAGTCCGCTGTCGTCAAAGGTTGTTTGATGAATCGTCAGTGCAACTGATTCATTTTCCTCAAAATGAGTTAAACTTTTCGTTCCAAATTGCTTACTTCCCTTAACAAAAGAAAAACAAATGTAAGTTCAAGTAAAGAAATTTCAGCAATCAGTTGTTTATTTCGACTGTTCCTGACAGTGGTATAGTTAGCTTGCATTAATCAATTTATGTTGATATTATTGCTTTTCCTTTTATTATCATTCAGATTTGTTTAAATTATCCTGGCAGTATAACAAGATGAACTAATACATCCGAAAAATTGCTAGCTTATTAACATGTATATAAAACATGTATATAAAAGATTAATTCAACGAAACAGTAGTACATTAAAGAAGCTTACCTTATAAACCGACACGTCATTGATAGCAACATTATCAAAACAATCACTGATGTTGTGTGCCATGTTAACTGAGCAGTTCACTTGTAGGCTTTCACCGGTCGCGACGGTTACATTGTCTTTAGGAAATATCTGAAAACCTGTAAAATAATAATAGACCAGTAACTCTAAATACTCCGTGCTTGTTTTAGGTTAGTGTCAACCTGTTGACCTGGTCCCGTGCTCACTAAAAAGATCAGGATCCTGATCAAATGACCCTGATTTTATTTTCATTGTTTAATGAAATTAAAATTGATCGTATTTCTCTAGAATTAAATGGTCAATAAACAAAATATACAAACATGCTGATATGCTCAGAATCAAGCATATTTAAGGGTGATAAAACAATACAAAAAATAATTGGATTCAAATAAGGATATATTTTAGAATAAGGATCAATATTAAACAACAGCAGTAACTAGCCTTTATCTTGTTAAATTAAAAATGAAGTCATTTTAAAAACATGCTATTACAAGTACAATTCTTACGAAAGCCTAATAGTGTCAAATGAAATAAAAAAATAAAAATGCAAAGGCGTTATAACGCGAATAAAGGCGTTATTACGCGAATCAAAAGGCGTAATAACGCGAAAAAAGGCGTTATAACGCGAATCAAAAGGCGTAATTACGCAAATCAAAAAGCGTAACAACGCGAAAAAATGAGTAGCAACTTAAATAAAGGAGAAGTAACGCGAATAAAGGCGTTATAACGCGAATCAAAAGGCGTAATAACGCAAAAAAGCGTTATAACGTGAATCAAAAGGCGTAATAACGCAAATAAAGGCGTTATAACGCGAATCAAATGGCGTAATAACGCGAATAAAGGCGTTATAATGCGAATCAAAAGGCGTAATAACGCGAATAAAGGCGTTATAACGCGAATCAAAAGGCGTAATAACGCGAATAAATGCGTAATAACGCGAATCAAAGGGCGTTATAACGCGAACCAAAAGGCGTAATTACGCAAATTAAAAGCATTATAATGTCAATGTTATACCATAGTTATACTTATCAAATGGCCTAGTGACGCGAGAAAAGAAGACCAATATTGACCGGAATTTATTGCTCACGATATTAACTCGTATAGAATAATATAATTTACATTTACAATAACTATCATTCCATTTGCACAGTAATAATGCAAACTATTTGTCATAAACTAATGAAGACTCTTTAATATTTGCCAATATAAGGTGACTTGGTGACTTATTGGACTGGACGTAAATACAGTTACTCTGAATTCACATGTATCACATAATTGATTTTACACATGTCACTACAGTAAATAAATTTCTTTTCTTTTCTTTTGTTTTGTTTTCTTATCTTATCTTTTTTATATCTCATCTTATCTTATGTTATATGTGCGTCATATGTTCAATTATCTTCAGATATATCCTGTATGATTACCTAATATTCTGTAGTATCTTCTAATTATGTGAATGTCGTTCCTAATTACGCTATAGGTGATAGGCTATAGGTAACAAGATTTGGAAAAACGTATTAAGTTAGTCAAATTAGGGTGAAAGTATATCTTAATTATTGATACGTATGCCTTAATGGGTGATAGTGTTTCTGTTAAGTTACAATTATAGGAGACATACACATATAGTTAAAAACAATGACACCCCTGGGGCGGGGCCAGTTTTGACCCCAGGGCTTTTATTTGAACAAACTTTGTAGACACTTACTAGAAGATGCTTCATGCCAAATATCTAAGCTCTAGCTCTTAGGGTTTTTTAAAAGAAGATATTTAAAGTTTTTTCTTTCGGTCGCCATGGCAACCAGAGTTCTGCATGGAATTAAATTTTTAAAGGTGACCACCAAAGGAACATTCCTGTGAAGTTTGGATGAAATTGGCTTAGTGGTTTATGAGGAGATGTCATTTAAAGTAAAAGTTTACGGACGGACGGACGACGGACGAAAAGCGATCACAAAAGCTCACCCTGTCACTTTGTGACAGGTGAGCTAAAAAGTGTTTCACAAAGATCTCTTGTTTAAATATGAATAAACTTATTACATATAAGATTTCTAAATATGTAACTATAGGCACATTATAACAAAAAATCATAATCACGACGAACAGTACATTATTGATTCCAGTTTATACGAATGCAAATAACTGAAACACAATACTCTTCATAACATGATACCCGTTTTCCATAAACTTCTCATACCCGACGAAACCGGCAGATGAATTTTGTGGACGTATTCTGTAAACAATTAACACTTGTCCTATCAGTAGCTTAATTCTAGTATCTGCTTTAACCTTTAGTTAAAAAGACCCAACTTTCGAAGAGCTTTTCTCAGGACCCATTGATGACGTCGGTGTTGGTTAACCATTTCGGTTTCAGTTTTAATTTATGGTCATTAACATTAATACTTATACGGTTTTTTCACTGAAACTTCATATGCAGACGCACCTTGATGAGTTCAACCTATCACACCATTATTTAGGTCGAAAGGTCAAAGGTCACTTGGGCCTGTAATATATAAACATACAACTGGTCATTGCAGCAAAGTGCATTGGCCTAAGAACTTCAAAATTTGTACATAGATGCACATTGATAGGTTCTACAATCTACCTACTTTACAGATAAAAAGGTCAAAGGTAAGGATCACAGGGCTCTGTAATAATAAAAGATAATCTTGCCATTAGATCAAAGTTTATTTACCTATTTACCTAGGAACTTCAAACCTTGTATGAAGATGCACTTTAGTGAGTTCTATCTGAAATACTTATATTGAGGTCAAAGGTCAAGATCACTTGAATCTGTGACAACAATTTTCAGGTCAAGAGCTCAGAGGACAAGATCACTGAAACCTGTAATAAACCAGACGGAACTGCAAAGACTTCATACACTTGTTCATATCAAAATGTTAATTAAGGTCAGAAAATTGTAAAATTATGGTCAGCAAAGTTTTACCCCATTTTTCCTTAGACTTTAATTTGCAGTTAACGCTTTTAATAAGGTTAATAACATTTTCTCAAAAAGTATCACACATGTATATTCTTTAAACTTAATGTACTTGTTGTAGCACTTGTACATACACTATCAAGATTGAAAGGACAAAAAAAAAATTGAAAAATATTTCAAATCATTTTTATTGTGCAAAATGACCAATAAATGAATAGCAGTTAATGCACATTATACCTCATACACTATTTTTTTCTTTCTTTACATTTTTTATAACGTTAAAATGATACCGCCACCACCTCTGGACATGACAAATCATCTTAGTAATATGTTTTATGATTTTATATGGAAAGAAAATGTTAAGAAAAAAATACTGTTTTGGTCAAGGACTACTCAGGAGAAGGTTTAAAATTTTAAATATAATGGCTTTGAATATGATTAAAGCTGGTTCAAAAGAATTATTAGCGTAATTTGATATGCAAAATTATTTAAAAATATTACATAGATAAAATTGCAAAATACATTACAAACGTTTATAAAGACACCTTTAAAATGTAGCTATAGATAACTACCCTATAGATAACGAATCTTTTGCAGATCTACTATTGTTTTATAACAAAGAAAGCTATTTGGCAACAAAGTAGACTTAATTTGGTGTATATATTACATTCTAACACTCCTCGTGATTTTGCACTATAGACAAATAATAATCAGAGCACAGAAGGCGCGGAATTTGTTTGGGTCTCAGAATGTCAGAAAGGTGAAGGTTGTGAGGTTATAAACCAATTTTGTTTTTGTATAGTACCATCAATGCTTTCCAGTGTTTTAACTGTAGTAAATTGGATATAAGTCTAATTGCAACACTGATATTCAATTCAATGTTTATTTGACTTAAACAATTTGAAAAAAAGTTGCCTTAATTAACTGGGATTTGAACTCCAGAAATATTGATTCGTAATTACGAAAAAGTAAATCATTTTTACGAAATATTAATTCGATATTACGAAATATTAATTTCCATCTAAGTTGCCATCTATTCCTATTTCAAGTCAATGCCTTAAATAGTTATCGTGTAATGTTCTGGACCAAAGAATTATTGTAAAATTAAATAAAGGGACATAATTCAAAAAGGACTATGTAGAGTTATGATTACTGGACTCCTAGTTGCCATCTATTCATATTTAAAATTTCAAGTCAATCTGTTAAGTAGTTTTCAAGTAAAACCTCGGACGAAAATGTTGTACGGAATGGCTGACGGACGGAGGGATGGACGGACGGACAGAGACAAAAACCATATCCCCCGCCTTTCATATATGGGTAAGCAATCGACAACCTCTTTACAACATGAAGAGAGAGCGTGCTAACCAGATCTAAGTACAATGTGGCTTTAACCTTCAACCTACTGATCTCAGTATCGGAAGGTTTTTTTCTTCTAACAACCATGGACAATCACGATACATATACATTGTATGCAGTAATGAGAACAACAAGCAAAATCATATACTTAAGTAATTGGCCTGACATAGAGTTTGAATTGAAGATCATTGTGAGCTTGACATAGAACCTACTAACCTCACAACCAACAGGCGTAATTTACAAGTCTGTATCAACCTTGCCACCAAATATAACGATTATAAGCCTTATGCTCTCAAGTTATTATATTTGTGTTTAAAGGGTTTTTGAATGATAAGACATTCTCAATCCAAAACATCCCTTTGTTCTCCTTTTTCCCAACAACTGGCAAAAAAAAAAATGTTTTAATATAATTTCTGAGACAATTAATCTTTTCTGATATGTTTCTTCAAAAAAAGTTACAGGCTAAATTATACTTTTTGTTTCTCATACAAATAAGTAAAACAGGGCTGGCCTCCAGATTTTCACAGAAAAATATATTTCAATAAAATTTATATATGGGCACCGTGCGATCATGCAAACATGATATTTTGTTACAAAACTCAATAAAATCGACAAAACGAGTTTTTTGTCCGTGTCTCGATTTGAACCCCTGGGACCCAATTTTAACAAAAAATTTCCAGCGCCTGTACCATCATGGTGTCGCGGAAACTCAATTAACAAGCGATTATTGGCCAGGTTGCACTGGTGCAAACCCGGGTTATAGTATGGTGAATGTCGGGCGGCGGTCGGGCGGTCTGGGAAAAACTTTTCGTAACAGTTTTCTCAGCAACTACTTATCACAGCCTCTTGATATTTGACATACAGCATTGGCACGTTGTCCCATACTGTGGGATTCGATTTTAGGTCTGTCGCTCATCCACTTCCTGTTTACCGACATTAATGGTCAGTGGACATTTTTTTTCATAACATCACAGCATCATGATATTTGTTATGCATAGGCCTTTTCTGTCTTTGACCCATTTTTGTTAATTTATAGAACAAAACAGAACTCTCCCCTCTTTAGATAAAATATAAAGTCAGTAAAGGTAGCAAGCTATTGAATGGACAAGAAAGAGGTTATTGTGTCTATTGTAATTCTGTTTAATCACAGAATTTATTTCGAAAAAAAAATATATATTAATTCGTAATTACGAATTAATATTTCGTTAAAACGAATTGATATTTCGTAATTGCGAATTAATTTTTCGTAAAAACAAGTTAAGTTCGGCGAAACACTGTGTAATTTTAATATCACCCTAGAGGCTCCATACTTTAACAGTACACTAAAAAAATGCCTTAAATAAAAAAACCATATCTTGGACATAACGAGCCTTTACACGCTTAAAACTCAAATAGGGTTATATAGAGTCTATTCGTTGCCAAAAATCCAGCAATGCATACTTCGGTTCTACTAAACAGATTAGTAAAAATCTAATTGTCGCTCCGAGAGTTACATACTGCACTGGTATTAAGCATTTTGATCATCTCGATTTGATAAAATGGTTTAGCTGTAAACATGCAACTTAGATAAATTGCAAACTGTATCTATAAATGTATAACTTCAAATTTGTGACATGTAGAAATGTAAACGATAGAACGTACACAATACATTTAATGCTGTGCATATGTAACTGCATCAACTTGACACACTCAGGTTTACAACACCACACTTTCCTTTTACATTCTAACGCGATTAACATTTGTAAGCGATTTTGCAACTTCCATATATGGAATTATCACGAAATGAACGAAAATTAATAGGCGGAGCCAATTTTCACGAAAGCAGAATATAAAGAGAGGTAACTCTTGCTGGTACAAAAATATTTCAAATTATATAGAAAAAGTTATAAATTTCTGCATTACAGTTGACTTTGAACATCCTCTGATTTTGTTAAAACGTATTCTAGTACAGGATATTCAAGTAATGCAAAATTGGTTAAGATATAATGTAACAATGTAACAACGTTTGTACTGATTATGAGCATAATAATATGCAAAAACTAAAGTTGGTGAATTAACATAAGTGAATGTTTCCCATATATAATGAAACACACCTCTTTGAAAAGGTTTGAAGGCTCACAAACCGTATCGTTCATATCATTCACGGTAATACAATGCATACCCTTTACATTCAGCAAATATACTGAACCAAAAAAGAAACTTTCTCCAAGTTTGAATGTAGGTATGTAAGTACAGTTTTTCAATCCTTTTGAAACTCGATTTTTAATAAACATATCGGGCTTTTATACGGGGATTAGCTGACCGATTTTGCAAACAAAACAAGTTTTACAAGCTACTACATGTATATAAGTGTGTACATCTAAGTGGTACCATACTTTGCGAAAGTTTCCTTTTTTGGTTCAGTTTAGTACTAGAATGAGTCATAAGATGTGATATCAAATATATGTAAGCTGACGTAGGTTAAGGTCTTTTTATGCATTGTACTGAATCAATAGCAACTCTAAAATCTGTTTATACATGCTGTCAATAGCTGTTGTCTATCTGATCAAAAGCAGTGAACTATTTTTATATACATGAAATACTACACAGAATATTTATTAAGATTTGTAAGTGATGGCTTTCTAAGAGATAAAATAAACAAGAAATACATAAATTGATAATTAACATACATACCTTTGGACTCATTTAAATATTATCCTTGAAAAACAAAATGGTAGATATGGGAAAATATATCTATACAGTATGGTACAAATAAAAAGTTATGTACGAAAGGGTACATACAACTGGTTTTAATTTTACTATTGTTAAAACTTTTTTCTTGTCAAGTCATACGCTAGAATTAAGGTTACTAATGTAATAGTAAATGCTACTACTAGGAAAGACAACAGCCAGAATTTGGTCTGTATTAGTAATTAGTCGTATCAAAATCTCTATCAGATGTCGACTTGAAAATTTGAAAGTGATAAGGTAGCAGCTTAACTGTAAATGTTACTCATTCCTATGAAAATTGGAATACCATCAGTAAAATATATTTATCGTTGAATATAGCCTTATTAATAGTTTTTACTTCCTTGAAAAATATTTATCCTCAGGCAGTAAGTAGCCTGGTGAGTATTTTTAATTGTTTTTTTTTCAGTTTCTTTTGCTAGGAAATGTGGTAAGTACAAAGTTATAAAACTTATATGCCTATAATCCTTTAAAGTCCGCTGATGTTGATTGTATAAAGGCATAGAATGGCAATCATGCAAGTGAATTATGTTTGGTGAGTAACTAAACACCTAAAAGATGTGGTAAACGGACTTGTCACCGACGGTAAATACCGAAATCGGAGCGGATAAATGCGTTTATTTACGATGATATAGTGGGCGGGAAAATGGGCGGAGCTTATTTTATCTCCTATTGAAAAACGTGTAAAGCTGTATTATGCTGATCCGAATCATGATGGTTCGACAATGTAAAGCTAAGAATGTAACTTCTGTTTTACACGAACAATGAGTATTCGAACACTTGGTATTGCTACTATCAGCAAAGCAGTTAATGTTTTGTCATTTAACAAAATGTATTTTGTTGAAATGCATGTTTACAATGTTAAATCGGCAAACTCAATCCAAGAATGCAACATTGGAGTTTACATACAAAGAAATTCTATTGTATTTTGTCCGTTAACAAACTGTTCAACTCAGATCAACAAGGCTGGACTTTTGGCAACGAATAGCCTCCATAGGGTTAAGTATCGCATAACGATTTAATTCTGACACTTAGATATCTAACTATATAGTTTAAACATATTTTATTGCATTATATACATGTTTACAAACATATTATACAAATAATGAGTATATATCAAAATGCAAATGGGTTGGGCAATAAGTTTTTACAATATTAGATTAAGCCCTTCCCAGAAATTAATATTACAAAAGAAAATACTTTAAGGCAACAATGATTATTTTTAACATGCATATAAACTTTAAAATATGTATTTCATTTTTGAACAGTTCATTTATTCATTAAAATTTAATGTACAATTTTGATTTTGAAGTGCGATCCATCCACAGGTTGCCATCCCGATCTCATTGTAGTTTTAAAATAGTTGAAGTTTGGTTTTTGGGGAAAGATTGGTAATGAATATTTGTTATTTAAGTAAGTTAGATTAGAACAAATAAGCCGATATAAATGACAAATTTTAGAATAAAAACAAAATTAAAAGTCAAATATTATCAAAACGATGGGTCGTCTTGATAAATTTTTGAACTGATTGGAAAATGACAACGTTACCTTCGTATTCTAAATTTTCACGACGAAACAATAATGTGTCAATGTTTAATGGATGATAAGATCGGGTTTCTCGAAAGAGTATTATTCGTTGTTCGACGTAACGATTACATTTGAAAAAGAAATGCTCGGCATTTTCAATCACACTATCACATTGACAAAACTAACTAAATAGAATATAAAGATGAAACATATCAAGATTTAAGATAAAATATATCTTCATTTATAGTCTTTAATGAGTTATACATTGTATAATAAACTTACACTGCCTTGCAGCAACAACAGTAAAACCATAACAAAAAACAAATATCCAGAATTTTAATCCCATCCCGTACATTTTCATGATTCACAATGATGTGGAGTTTCGGTTTTGGTATTTGATCTAGTATATAATAATATCCGCATGATCGCGGTTTACCAAATATAATTTAACGGTGTGATTCTGTATTGAGTTTAACCTTATTCCTACTAAAAAAAGACATATACGTGTATCTTATAGAATATGTAACAAAAGTAGCTTAAATATAGGATTGAATCTATAATATATTGTACAACCTAGTTGTATATTAAATGTCAGTGTAAATAAGTTTATTACACTGTATATGTAAAACTGGAGTAGGAAGGGGAATGGGAATGATGATAAATCAGAAAAGAAATCAAATTTAAAAGAATTTTACCGTAGAAGTAAGTGTAGAAGACTGTATCTTCTAAATTAAATTTCGAACAGTAGTTTCAAATTCAGTACAAAATGTAAATGAATTGCAAGAAATGAGTCATCATTAAATTGAAGACGATAGCAATAAAATACCTTTTGGTTGTACTTAAATTCTGAGAAATCGTGTACGCTAAGAGCATCGAAACACGAGGCTATCTGATTTCTACGTATGGGCGTAGCCCCCGAGAATATATCAGATTGCCAAATGTTTCAAACGATGTTCTCTTTCTTTTGTATCATTGGCAAAAATAACATCACGTTCCCTGTCACAATATGAAACCCAAGAAAAGGGTAACCAATAAACGAGCATCTAAATATGATATTCTATCGCTAGTCACAATATGTAAACCCCAGAAGAAAAAAAATGAGCCAACCATTGGGTATGCTCTAGAGTGCGGGTTACTACAATCGGAACATCCTCGGCTATTATTCATATCAGTCCTTATCCGAAGACTGACGGAAAGGGCCGAAAAAATGCGATTGCGGGTAAGTAAGTTAACGCACTGTGCATGTATTTGTAGACACATTTTCAACAGAAAGAGTTGAAAATATGTCAGACTTAACTCGAATACAAATGCAATATCATTTAATTAAAATATGTTCATTAACATGAATTATCACATGTTCTGACCTCTTTGTTTTCAGAACGATTATTAACTTCGATTTCATATGTTTTATCAATCTCTATAGTTTCTTTATATGAAGAATGAAATAGGTTTTTCTCTTTATAACAAAATACAATTCCATATTTTACGGACATCCACGTCCGACGTGGTGCAAATGAAATTCTTAAAAAATCTTTTCCATTTTTATGGCAATTTTGGCCACAAAGCTAAAAAGATATCTTTTGCTTTTTTGATAAAAGCTGTTTAATACTTTCTACCGTCAACTAACTCATAATTGTCTATCAACATGTACATACAATATTGGGTGATGATTTTTTTTTATTGAGCACGCGTGAGAAAATAAATGTGGTCAATTTTTCATAGCAACGGACTGTTCGTTAATACATATCTCTCTTAAGATTTCTAAAAGAAGTATAGATTATGCAATTCAATTAGTTTATACGAGTATATCTTATACAAAAATGAGCACAATGTTATTATTATAAAGACAAAGGCCACAATAAAGCAATGCAAACGGCCTTGTACAACAACAGATCAGGTTCCGTTTCGGCAATACTGAAATTGTTCGTGATCTATATATCACCTGGAAACCTAAACCTAAAATCTAGTTAAATATGAGCTTGCGGAATATATTAGCTCGTGGTAGAAAACAGAAGGGGAGGTCAAAATATGTTATGCTGTTATATTTTTACATATAACTTATAGTACTACTTTTAAATATCACATAATCAGTCTAATCTCTGCCGACTTACACTTGCGTGTCTTCGAGATTACATATCTTCTAATAACTTGAAATTATTGTAATGACACCTGCATTTCCTTTAAGGCGAATCAAGATTTTGAAATGTGGTGAAAACATGTTGGACTTATGGAGTGCTGAAAAATGAGCGGCGAGTTGCATACCTTTACTAAATATATATGTATCTTTTTTGCGGGGAGTGAAGGAAATTGAATTAGAAACATGTATCAAACATATTCCAAATGAAAAATACTGCAGTTGCATTGTTTTAGAGAGGTTGGAGGGTTGTAGAGTATAGTGCTTATTGATATAAATAAGAAAAACACCTAAATCATTTGTTACACTGTAGTAACTTCCTGGTATTATAAACATGCACTACCTTTAATGATGATATTGTGTTACCATACAGAGTCATTCATCGGCCTTCCTATTTATATAAACAACACATCATTTTATAAAAGGTAAAATAGTTTCAGGTAAAAACATCTGATCGAGATTGTTATTGTGACATGTTTGGATCTATAAACTTGATCTTATATTAATTTAAGTTGATACCTTTTATAGTTCTCAAGTTATGTCCCGACATAGTTGAAAGTGTAAAAGTGAACAAAGGGCAATAACTTCAAAATTAGGCAAGACAGAGTTATGGTTCTTTTACACCTCATTTCTATTCAATGAGATCTATCTACCTACACAGTTTCTTGTTGATATCTCTTGTAGTTTCAGAATTATTTCCCGGACAAAGTTCAAAGTGTAAAAATGAACAAAGTGCAATAATTCCAAAATAAGGCAAAGCAGCGTTACTGTTCTTTTGCACTGCACTTCTACTCAATAAGATCTATCTACCTACAAACTTTCTTATTAATATCCCTTGTGGTTTTATTGTTATGTCCCGGACAAAGATCAAACTGTAAAAAGGAACAAAGGGCAATTACTCCAAAATTAGGGAAGTTAAAGTTATGGTTCTTTTGCATTGCACTTCTACTCAATGAGACCTATCTACCTACAATGTTTCTTGTTAATCCCCTTTGTCGTTTAAGAATTATGTCCTGGACAAAGTTCAAAGTGTAAAAATGAACAAAGGACAATAACTCCAAAATTAGGCAAAGCAGAGTTACGGTTCTTTTCCACTGCACTTCTACTTAATGAGATCTATATACTTACAAAGTTTCCTATTAATAAGCCTTGTGGTTTTATTGTTATGTCCTGGACAAATTTCAAACTGTAAAAATGAACAAAGGGCAATTACTCCAAAATTAGGGAATGTAGAGTTATGGTTCTGTTGCACTGCACTTCTACTCAATGAGATCTCATCTACCTACACAAAGTTTCTTGTTAATACCCCTTGTAGTTTTATTGTTATGTCCTGGACAAAGTTCTAAGTGTAAAAATGAACAAAGGGCAATTACTCCAAAATTAGGGAAGGTAGAGTTATGGTTCTTTTGCACTGCACTCCTACTCAATGAGATATATCAACCTACAAAGTTTCTTGTGTATACCTCTTGTTGTTTTAGAGTTATGTCCTGGACAAAGTTCAAAGTGTATAATAAATAAAGGGCAATATCTCCAAAAATAGGGAAGGCAGAGTAACGGTTCTTTTGCACTGCAAATTCACTCAATGAGATCTATCTACCAACAAAATTTGAAGTTGGTATCTTTTGTACATTCTGATTTATGTCTCCCACAAGAAATCTGCAACGGACACAGACCACCAGCTGACTCCATTATAGCCCCTTAACTTTATTTACCGGAGGTATAATAAACAAGAGGGTCAAGATGGCCCTAGATCGCTCACCTGACCCATTAAACTCATCCGAGCAATTACCTAGACAAGCATCCTGACCAAGTTTCAGGACAGTCGAGTCAAAAATGTGACCACTAGAGTGTTTACAACGTTTTTCCATATTTGGGCGGTGTGACCTTAGTTTTTGACCCCAGGTGACCCATATTGGCACTTGACCTAGAAGTCATCAAAACAAACTTTCATACCAATTTCAAGGATATTTGGATGAAAACAGTAGCCACCAGTGTTAACAAGATTTTTCTTTTTTTAAGCTCCTGTGACCTAGTTTTTTTATCCGAGATGACTAATGTTCGAACTCATCCGAGCAATTACCTAGACAAGCAACCTGACAGTGTTTTTGATGATTATCAAGTCAAAAATGTGACCCCTGGAGTGTTAACAAGGTTTTTCCATATTTTGGAAGTGTGACCTAGTTCTAGACCCCACGTGAACAATAATCGAACTTGACCTAGAAATCATCAAAACAAACTTTCATACCAATTTCCAGGATATTTGAATGAAAACAGTAGCCAGAAGAGTGTTAACAAGATTTTTCTATCTTTAGCTCCTGTGATCTAGTTTATCATCCGAGATGACCGTGTTCAAAATCATCCGAGCTATTACCTAGGCAAGTATCCTGATAAAGTTTGATGATGATTGAGGCAAAAATGTGACCGCTAGAGTGTTAATGAACAAATGTGGACGGATGACGGACATTTAATAATACTAAAAGCTCACCCTGAGCAGGCTCAGGTGAGCTAAAATGAGTTAAGAAATAATTGATAATGACAACAGTACACGAAGGGCATCATGCTTTCACAAAAGCTCATCTTTATACTATGATAACTTAAAAGAGATCAGTAATTGCTCAAGATCACTCACTCACCCGAGATCCATTATTAGAACAGTAATCAGACCGTATTGGGTTCATCATTTTTGTTCACAACGGCCTGATTAATAAAACATATGTACAGGTCTGCAATGTCTTTTTCCACATGATTTAAATGTTAGATTAGTGGATTACAATAGAAATTTCATAACAAAAGAACACATGTCAATGTTTGTGAATCTTTTGTTACAAGAGTAAGGATCTATCAATTTTGACTAATCTGGCATGTTTTTAAACTGAATTGTTTGTTTGCTTTGGATTTTACGTCACACCGACACAGTATATGTCATTTGGCGACGTTCCAGCTTTACTGGTGGAGGAAGACCTCAGGTGCCCCTCCGTGCATTTTTTTCAGGCACGAAGGGGCACCTGAGTAGAACCACCGACGTTCCGTAAGCTAGCTGGATAGCTTCTTCACATGAAAGAATCCAAAGTCCCTGTCGGGATTCGAACCCACAGCGATGAGGGGCAAGTGGTTTGAAGTAAACGACCTTAACCAAGCGGCCACGGAAACTACTGAAGTGGACCACATAGTAATGCAACATATCTAGGTATTGTACTTGTGAATATTTATAAGACATATTACCTGTATCTTAATTATCCCAAAATGGAGGGAAGGGGAGACTTTTACCCAAAGGGTATTGTAGTTTGATATAGTAAAATTTGTAAGACATGTTTACTGTAAGTCTACACTAATTGACCCTCAGGACAGGGTCGTTTTTCACCTCAAGTTGGCATTGAAGTTCAAAGAAGATTCTTAAGTTATTACAATACAATCCTTTGTACTTAGGACACTAGTGGTATAACAACATTTCTAGAGGCTCACTACTCATTGCCACATGCCGAAACAAAAATCTAACCTTTCGGCATAGAAGTTTCATAAAGTAGACATTTATTATTCTCCTATTGAAGTCTATGTAAACTAGTAACGGGCTGGAGCCAATTTTGACCCAGGAATGATGTTTTACGACTTGAGGATCACAAGGTGATTATGATACTACATGCCAAATATCTAACCTGTGGACATTAATGTTTTGGAGCAAAATTTTTTTTAGATATATTTACTCTACAAGTCTTAAAAGGTAACCCTCAGGGTCGGGTCATTTTTTGCTAATCTATATAACTTAGTGACTCTGAGGGCAGGGTAAATTTTGACCACAGGAGTATAAGTTACTTAACTTTTGTCAACCAGAATGTCATACTACATTGCACTTACCAAAAACCTAACCTCTGGACATTGTAGTTCAGGTGAGATTTAATTTCTAACAGGGCGTTGTAAATTTGGTCAAAATCAATCTTGTACTTTTGGAAATGTTGTTTTAAGAACTTTTGACAATGACAAACAACGGACATACTGCCATTACAAAAGTTCACCTCCGAGCACTTTGTATTTGTTAAAGACAGATATTTGTAAATTTCAAGTAAACATTTATTTAGTTTGATAATTTTAATAATAAATGTTTAATGTTTACATTTTCTTTACAACATCAATGCTCTTTTAAATCTTGTTCATACTTCTCAATAAGACAAAATGATGATCTCACAAAATTTAAACAAGTAAACAAACCAAGATTTGTTATCCTTCCTTTATGAGGAATTCCTCAGATTTTCTATTCAAAAGAAGCACCAAATGTTTCTATGCAGAATAAGTAATACATTTAAATTATTCAATACCGCCATTATACCAGTATCGTAACTACCATATGCTTATTGAAGTTTTACAATAAGTCTTTTACTTGTCATCTGCAGCCTTCATTAATCATTCCAGTCCTGTTATTTTCATTCCTTCCACACCACTTGTTAAATAACTAGAAATTGTTTCCTGAATTATGAAAGACAGGCAAAAACTAATTTCTAGACATTCTTTACATAGATCAGAAAAACTAAATTGTAGTATACACATAACACTGCGTTTAGTAAAACCATTCTAACAGTATGATTGCAGAGAATATTTCAGTAATTTATCATTTAACCTTGCAGAGAATATTTCAGTAATTTATCATTTAACCTTGCAGAGAATATTTCAGTAATTTATCATTTAACCTTGCAGAGAATATTTCAGTAATTTATCATTTAACCTTGCAGAGAATATTTCAGTAATTTATCATTTAACCTTGCAGAGAATATTTCAGTAATTTATCATTTAACCATATTTATCTCTTGCTGCTATGCAGTTTAACAAGTTAGAGGGACTCCACTGAGGTTTTTTGACATGAAGGGACTGTAAATAGTTTTTTAAGACTTTTGTATTACCATATGTAGGTCTAAACCAATAACTTGTGTGCAAAATTTCATATCATTTGTTATTCGTGTACCTGGTATAGGTAATTTATTGCGCAAATTGACACCAAAATGAAAGCGTTGCAATGCTTTTCACTCAAACCGCCAAAAACAGCATAAAAAAAGCCGATTATAAATTTAGTAATGAGTATAATCACTTATTACCTATTGCATAGTTTTTCTATTTTAAGTGCTGCAATTGATAGAAAAAAGAATTACAAATTTTATTATTTTGGCTATTACACCTCAGTGGAGTTCCTTTAATACCTGGGCCAAAATACTGTATACACAATTAAAAAAGAATATCTAGAAATAAGTTCCATCTTGTCTTCAACAATAAATATTTCATTTATCATATCACAGTTATTCCCCTTGGTCATCTTCGGGCTCACTATTATCACTTTTATCATCATCATCGTCGTCGTCGTCATCATCACCACTAACTTCTCTATTCTCATCCTCCAGTTGCTGGAGTTTACTGGCCAACTCTTGCTCGTCAATGTCAGAAACAACTTTAGGCTAAATAAGAAATATAAATAATAGATTAACCACTAGTCTGCTGAATATATCCAACTTCCTCTTTTGGAACTATTACCAATTAAAAGATCAAGTTTGCCGATTAACAGTACAGATGCTGACATGATATCAAGGCTTTAAACTGCTCTTTTATCTCAGGCATCTGATAATCACTGTGTGAGGATCATTTTTTAGACAATTACATCAAATGAAAGCAATTGTTCCCACCATAAAACTCTCATGACAATAAACTTACAGAAACTGTCATTCACCAACAGGGACATGGATATAGTGAGGGTCAAGTCACTCAAATGACAATTCCTTTTTTTTTACTATTTATACTTTATTATTTAACTTTATACTGTCTGTAATCAATAATAATACCTACAAATGACATAATGTACTCTGTTTTTCTTTTTCACAATACTTTTTAATAATTATTTTGAGGTAATATTTCAGATATTTTACCTGTAGTTGTATATTGAACATTCCCCCTGCTTCCTCTATACTGGCTTTAATAGCCTGTAATGCTGCATTTAATGTGTTTAAACCATCTGTACGTTCTAAAGTTTGTGTTGTTACCACATATTGTGGCGGGGCTATGAGATTGATCTGAAATAAATAATTCAAGTATTATTTATCACACAAACTTTGTAAAGGTCTTATGGCAATTCTTCAGCTTTAACTTACAGGTGAATAGTTTAGAATTTCTCTGGTACCACTTAGTAGTATTTCTATATGGTTTGGTAACTTTCTTACACTAATTTGGCAGGTTGAAGTTCCATGGGTTTATTTTGTTAAGTTAACATGTCAGTATTTCTATCTGCCTCCTTTTAAAATGATACTATTTTAATCTTGTTTTTCCATTTGTTGAGGCACCATTCTGCTTAGTTTTGTTCCTTTACTGATGTATAACAGTATTTATATTTAGGTATGTTTCTGGTCAACTTTTAAGAAGGGTAAACAATCAGACAAAATTCTTTGAAAAGACAAGCTATAAATCATGGAAAAACTTCAATGATAAAGAACTGTTAAGTAGAATGTTCGTCTCGTGTAATAATTGATAGTACAGAAATATCATATCTTTACTTTTATAGGCATTGCCTCTGTCGATAGTTCAAGACCTTTCTTTAGGGCTCTTTTCACTGCATCTACTCCTTCATAATTTGTACAAGCAACTTCTATATCTGAAACATTAGGACAAAAAGGTTAAAAACACTTAAAAGTTAGTACTTGTATTCAATAGAACCACCACTTGTTTATTACAACAGAAATAGGTTCCCTTCTACATTAAACACTTATTTAGGTGTTTGCAAATTTACAAAGAAAGTTATTTCTCCTATAAAGTCATAAATAAATAAAAAGTCATAGATAAATAAATCAAGACTTTGTTTTTACTTTGATACATCATGAAAATTGATTTATCATCATTTGAGACATATTAGTTCAACTGTAATTAATTCATCTGCAGCAGTCATGTATATAAATAATATGATTATGAACATTGCAATTATTCAATGAATATCAATGTTACAAAAATACAGTATTATAAAGCTATCAATTATGTCTAGCCTTAAAAAGTGTGTGTAAGGGGGAAGAAAATGTGATAAAAGATAAGGAAGAAATAGAAAAGGAAACAAAACCAGTCATAAATAATAAATGAAAATCAAAACCAGGATTCTGGTCAGATTGTTTCTTCAGAGAAATCATCTTGTGTAAGTTGAAACCTACTTAACTGTAAGATATTGTGTCAGTAATTCAATCTATTAAAGAGTGTATGTACATAACTGTATGACTGTTGTCATGAAACCATTCATTACTTGTTAAAATTATTACCTCACGTTATCTAGAAAAGACAAGACAAGACCAGTCAATTCCCTAGTTTGTTTGAAAATTTTGAGTTATTTTCACATAAAAAGTGATAATTAAATTTTTTTTAATTTAAATCACTTCTATACTTGATATGTGTTGCTTTGTTTTAGAAAATCCAGTTTATTTTCATTCCTGTACAATTGTTCATTTTGTGAACCCCTGAAGATTTAATTGTTATATTCAGGTAGTGTATGATGCAGTGGTTGAACTGTTAAAAAGACGTGACTGGATCATTTACAGGCTGTCGATACACTTTGGTTTTTAGTCTCTAATCCAAAAGACCATGAGTCCTGTTAGCAGGGTTCCCACTCTTAGATATTTTGAAAATTTAAGGACTTTTCCAGGACTTATCAAGGACCTTTTTGATTTTTTAAGGACTTTTTAGAAGATAAAATTTCAAGCTATTTGATTTTTTTGTCCTTTGAATATGTTCATGGTAATGTTTAGCAACACCAATATAATACTTATAGTTCATGACATAAATCTAACTCTATCTAAGAAATACATTCAGTGTCTATAAATAATGAAATGTACTTTGTGACAGCAACTGTTTTTGCAGGTTGTGTGCCATTTTCATGTAATTTTGCTGTTTTTAATGTTTCAAGGGATCACTTTTTGACCAGATATTCATAGTACTTATTAAATAACAGGCTTTCTACTGCCTCTACCAAAAAAACTAGGGAAAAAGTAGGGCATTTTTTTACCAAAAAGTAGGGCAAAGTAGGGATTTCTGATGTTAAAAAGTAGGGATAAAGTAGGAATTTCTTACTGTTTTATTTAAGAATTAGCAAAACATACCACCACCAAGACCACATCAGGCTGTGTGTATCTTCAGTTCAGTCCATGCTTGAAAGACAGGCAACTCATAGCCAAAATGTTGCTTAATGTTTTGCCAAGGCACCATGAGCAGAGCTGCATCAGTATTTAGGGTGTAGTACTTAAGTACCAGTACCAGTACTTGCCAAGATTTGCAGTACCAGTACTTGATTTTAGCTTGGTACTGCAGTACCAGTACTTTTTTGGGGGAAGTAATTAAGTACCAGTAGACTACTAATACTTTTATATATTCATCAAAGTTTGAATAAATACACAGTGTCATTCTAAATAATTGCAAACATTATTCAACAAAGAAATTAAAAATCATTTACTTTAAAGTTGACATTACATTTTTACAACTTAAATGAACGAACATACTTTTTACAAACAATAATTACAACATATATTCATGTCATATGTTATTGTTTAGTAACCAGTCAACTGTAATATAATGCAATAATCTTACATTTTAAACCCACCAGTCTTTTTGTTGCCTTCACACCTCTGTTCATTTTATACCAAAGTAAATAACAACTTTTTATGGTGCTAACAATATCACTTGAAATAGGATTATTTAGAATAGAAGTAATTAATAAGTGTTTATTTTGCTCTTTTTTTTACTAGTAAATACAAAGTAATAAGATTGCAATAAGGATATTTTATCAGTAAAGAGATATTGACTCTGTTTATCTCAATTTTAATTTTACTTTAAGTCTTTGGTGCTTTTTTATGATAAATACTAAGTTAACATTTGAAGGAATATTGCAGCAATTTATTTATAGTTTCACAAAAATAAAATAATACATAGAATTTACAGCTTTACTTTAAGAGTAAAAATAATGAAATTTTTATCAAAACCAAAAATACTGCCTAATGTAATGCAGTAGCAGTACCACCTTTTTAAGACAGCAATGCAGTACCAGTACCTGTGTAGTAGCAAAATTTTGTAAGAGTACGGTATTAAATTCAGTATCAGTACCAGTACTTGCAAAATCGCTGCAGTACATACTGCAGTACCAGTACCAGTAATGCAGCTCTGACCATGAGTCTTTCAAGGATGGACATCACAAGGAGACACACACACACACACCTGAACTACTCATCAATTGCAACTGAAAATGCAACTGAAATACCACTTTAAATATCTTCTTTTTTTTATTTCAAAATGAAAAAGTAGGGATAATAGGGCTATTTCAGAAAAAAGTAGGGCAAAGTAGGGATCAAAAGAAAAAAGTAGGGAAAAGTAGGAAAAGTAGGAAAAGTAGGGACCAGTAGAAAGCCTGAAATAAGTTACCACACATTTGACCTCAGTCCATTCAAAGGCTTCAAAGAATGGCAAAAGCATGTCACACTGAAGGGTTTAATCATTTCACAACTTTCATGTTTAAATGTTGTATTCTGCTTAAGTCAGTGCTACGGGAGGGGGGGCGGTGTTCAAAAATGTATATTTGGGTATGTTTGATTACATCTTAGTGAAATTGTATATAGTATTCATGATTAAAACACAATTTTATTAGTACAACACATTATTTTTAGTATATATTGGCTATACTTAGGTATTTCGTGCTACCCGTGTGGCCAATTGGCTGTGCTCTGCCTTTACAATAGTTCATGTATGTAAATTAATAATAATGTAATACTATTGTTAATTTTATATTGATATACCTTTGGCTTTTAGCATGGTTGTGAGCAATTAGGATAAAAAACATTGCCCAAGGAAACAACCATACCTGTAAGCTTTCATCTTTTTCATGTGCTTTGAGCACACTTGAGGTCGATTTGTGACTGTCTTATAAGATTTTTGAAACAAAACCGCCATAGTAACCAGAAAATAAATGTTAAATCTCATAAATGTCAAAATTTGCCTCTTAAAACACTTGTATATCGAAAAATCATCAACATTCAAGATGCGGAAATCAATATACTGTGCTAAGACCGCCATTTTGGTTGTTTGATTTACCTCCCCTTTTCCAGACTAATTCCCGTACCTTCCCGGACTTTTTTCTGTATCAACACTAATTCCCGGACTTTTCAAGGCCGGGAGCTAGTGTTTTCAAATTCACGGACATTTCCCGTTTTCCCGGACAGCGTGGGAACCCTGTGTTAGTGAACGAGTGGGTATTGAACATGTGACCTCTGGTTGACTTGCCTTGATCATGATGTGATTATAGGTGAAATATTGTCCATTTTTTTTGTTAAAACAGTTGAACAGGATGTAAAATTTATCATAGAAAAGTAAGCCGTAACTGATAGTTAACCAGTATAATACATGTTACCTCCCCTTAACATTTGATCTAACATGGCAAGCATCAAAAATACTGAATAAACTTAATGATAAGATAGCCAAATAATATATTTACCTAGGATATTTCTTTGTTTCTACATTATATAGAGACATATTTCACCGAGTAAACATATAACTTTATGAATAGACACTAGCATGTGTTTACACGACACATAACCATTTGACTTTACTTGTAAAAGGAACAGTGGCTTTTAATTTCATGTAACATATGACTGACATTATATGACATCAAATTGTCACATCAAGCATGTATATGATAAAAAATAATTTTAAAAGATTTGTGTTGGTTAAGATGTAGGACTTTGGCTTTTATGTGCATATATATTTTAGTTTTTGAAGGGAGTATAATTCTGTTCACATGTTTTTTTCATACATAACCATGGGTATAGGGCAACTAAATTTGAACATTTACCTAGTGAAATCATAGGTAATAGTATTTAACAATGTTTATTATAATCTCCATGGATATGGTCATCTATCGACATACATGTACCAAGTATCATCAACACTTCCTTTTGCACTATGACTGGAGAGAGACAGATTGTTAACCTATAGTCCCTACCTATTGAAACCAATGGTGGACTAATAAGCCAAAGGGAGTTTAATCTGCTGAAACAGTTAACTTCTGTAATATGACCTGCAGAGTTGTCTACCTTTAAAGCTGCATGCCTCCAGATGAGTAAAAATATTTCATTAAAATCAAACTTGAGAAATATGTTCTAAGATTTTAGGGTAAGTTAAATGATTCAGGATTCAAGTAATATTTTACATGTTATATGCGATTAATGACTGATTTTTCAGTATTTACAACTATATTTCTACTGCGTTACTAACGCAGTAAGGGCTATTTATGCATATTTTGACCACCTTTTGGTAATTTACGTGGGTTGTAAGTGACATTGATTATGTGTAAATTGCTTCCTTTTGGTTATTTCACAATATTCAACATTCTAATACATTTTCAATTTTTTCATGAAAATTAGCATGAATCTGGAAGCGTGCTGCTTTAAGCTTTACCCTTTACATAATTCTTCAAGAGTGGCTTTGCAGGGTTATCTATTATACTTTTAACACAAATAATACTGGACAGCCTGTAATATAAGATTCTAATGTAACAACAACAATTTACCTGCTCTAATTTTCACAGATTGAGGCGTTAATCTACGTTTGATATTTTCTAACAATACTTCCTTTGTTTTTTCATCAATGTCACATTCATCTAAAAGTTCTGGATTCCTGAAAAAATACCAAAGAAAAATATAAGAGACTGTTATCATCAAATAGCAAATCATTATGTGATATAGCTAGGATTACACTCTGGGAATACAGTCATTATTTTCATGTACAGATTCTGAAGTAGTATATGGACTTTTTTCATCTTTTCTACCTATTTTAGTGAAGTTATTGGACAAGAATAAAAAGAAAAATTCTACAAAGATTAAAAACAACAATAAATTTTATGTAAAGTTACAAATTTACCGAATTATACAATTTATTTGCTGCCAACAAAAAGTTCAGTAATGCAGCATATAATTTTTATTTCACAGAAAAAACTCCAATATTTCACTGGTAAGCATGAATAAAGTATGTTTGTTTAAAGGCATATAATCAAGAATACAAACATGAAATAAATTATTTGCATTTTGCCTCTCCATCTTGAGTAATGCTACTGTTCCTTTCAGTGCCAAAAAGTTTTGATATACTGGTTATTTTCAAAAGCCTTCCCTATATTATTCAACATAAATTTAGTAAAAAGTCGCAAAACAATCAACAGAAATAATTTATATATATGAGATAGCTTACGTTACTGCATGTTTAAATATATCATAACAAGCTGTAGGTTTCTTGAATTTTTCATCAAATTGCCAAGCTGTTTTCTTATAGAGATCATCCAACTGTGAATCATTTTTATATCCCAATAATTCTCCAACATGACGCAGTATGCTGTTCACCTGTAAACAAAGTAAATAATGACTTACAGACTTTATCAAACAATCTATAGTAAGCTTATTAATGCCTTTCCCCGATTGATTATGGCATAACTTTCTGATAACAAGACCTGTCAGTAGACAGGAGGTTCCTCTTTTCTACATGCTGGCCAGTTCAACAAGAGCCATGTCAACATGGCCATCCCCCGCCGAATGTGTTTGCTCATTGGAAGAATGTATATGTAGTAGAGCAGAATAATTCCATTTTAAGAGGTCTTTTGGTAATGAAAACTGATGGCTATAGTGATTACAGATTTGAAACCTATGTGAATACTGATGGCTGAAAATAACAAAGGGCAATTACTGAAAAATAATGCAGGGTAGGTTATCATTCTTGTGTGCTGCATCCCTCCTCAGTAAAATCTATCCACCTATGAAGTTTCAAGTTGATACCTCAAATACTTTTTGAGAAAAAAATTGAATTGAAAAATTAAGTATGAACAAGCAATTATCATAGTATTGCAAGCAATCCATACCATAAGTCCCCTACCGGTAAGAGCCCAACAACATTCTGAAGGGCCATTGGCCATTCACTTAGGTTCCTATTTTAAGTAAATTTGTTGAAAAAGTTCTTTAAAAGTGATCACAGGAAACAGTTTTTATGCACAGACAGACAGACTGAAGGACACTCTAAAGTTTATTTTTTAAACATCCCTGTTATCAAAATATAACATTTTTAAAATCCTATCATGATTGAAGAAGTTGGAGTAAAAATTACCAATTTCTCAAAAAAAAGTCTAAGTTCAAAAGGGGCATAATTCTGGAAATAGTCTTGCTAGAGTATTGAACACTCACAAATGTTGAGTGATAATAAGAAACATTTATATGAAGTTTGAAGTAGATACATTCAGAAAAAGAAGTTATTAAAAAAAAACAATGTTTTTTTCATGAAAATTTTAAGTTCAAGGGAGGTAATTCTGATAAATTTTGTGCTAGAGTTGTGAACCTTGTCACATATGATGTGGTTGATGACAAGCAACTTATATTTAAAGTTTGAAGAAAATACCTTAAGAAATAAAGAACTTATAGTGAAAAAACTTAAAAACTAGAATCAGAAATCTTGAAATTCAGTCTATTTGTTGCCATAGCAACCAGAATTTTCAACATAGGAAGATAAGAAAAGGATGTGCATAATTTCCATACTGCCATCTACCCATATGTCGAGTTTCATAAACATATTTTCAGTACTTTTTGTGTTATCACTGGATCCAGGTTATGTGTAAAATTTGCCATATTTTCAATCTATTTGTTGCCATAGCAACCAGAATTTTCAACATAGGAAGAAAAGAAAAAGACGTGCATAATCTCCATACTGCCATCTATCCATATATATCAAGTTTCATAAAAATATTTTCAGTACTTTTTGCGTTATCGCGGGATCCAGGTTATGTGTAAAATTTGCCATATTTTCAGTCTATTTGTTGCCATAGCAACCAGACTTTTCAACATAGGAAGAAAAGAAAAAGACGTGCATAATCTCCATACTGCCATCTATCCATATATCAAGTTTCATTAAAATATTTTCAGTACTTTTTGCGTTATCGCGGGATCCAGTTTTGTGGACGGACGGACTGACGGACGGACAGACGGACGGATTGACGGACGGACAGACGGACGGAGGGTAAACCTAAAGTCCCCTCCGGTAAACCGGTAGGGGACTAAAAATATCAAAGGGCAATAACTCAAAAATTATAAAAGGTAGAGTTATCATTCTTGTGCAGTGCACACCTCCTGAGTGAGATCTATGCACCTATGAAGTTTCATTTTGATATCTCAAAGGCTTTTTGAGTTATGCTCTGGACAAAAATTTATTTTGAAAAATAACAAAGGGCAATAACTCAAAAATAATGCAGGGTAAGGTTATCATTCTTAAGCACTGCACTCCTCCTCAATGAGATCCATCCACCTTTGAAGTTTCAAGTTGATACCTCAAATACTTTTTGAGATAAGCTCTGGACAAAATAGCATGAAAAAAAACAAAGGGCAATAACTCAAAAATTGTATAGGGAAGAGTTATCATTCTTGCGCACAACATCCTCCTCAATAAGATCTATCCACCTATGACATTTCATGTTGATATCTCAAACACTTTTTGAGTTATGCTCCACTCAGGTGAAAAATTAGGTATGAAAATAACAAAGGGCAATAACTCAAAAATTATGAAGGTAGAGTTATCATTCTTGTGCACTGCACACCTCCTGAGTGAGATCTATGATCTATGAAGTTTCATGTTAATATCTCATAGGCTTTTGGAGTTATGCTCTGGACAAAAAATCAATTTTGAAAAATAACAAAGGGCAATAACTCAAAAATCATGCAAGGTAGAGTTATCATTCTTGTGCACTGCACTCCTCCTCAATGAGGTCTATCCACCTATGAAGTTTCAAGTTGATAACTCAAATACTTTTAGAGATATGCTCCGGACAAAAATGTCGGACGGAAGGACGGACGGAGACTATTTCTATATCCTCCGCCGAAAATTTTCGGTGGGGAATAATAAAATCAACAAAGAGAAGGGGGTATAATTCTGCAAATGTGCTAAGCACACTTACATGCCCTTGTAGTCAACAAATATTTCAAGTTTGAAGTAAATAATTTTTCTTTAGAAAATATGATGTGATATGCACTGAAATATTTTTTCCAGTACTCACATTATATATTCACCTGCTAAAAAGTCATCAGATTTTTTTCTATACTATAAAATTCATCATAGTTCTTTTTATTATTACTTGATAAGCAGACTTTACTGGAATAGAAACTAGAAATGTGTCCATAGGACACGGATGCCCCCACACGCCACTGTTCTATCATCTTATGACTCAAGGTCAAATATTTTTTGGACAACATGTGCCACAAGTTGAAAACGAAAAATCAACAAAGGGCCGTAATTCTGTTAAATTTGGTCGCACCAAAATTCCTTCCTTTACTACCATCTACACATTAAGGTTGTTCATCCCTGGAAGTTTAAGCAAAATCTGCCATCCGGTTTAAGAGGAGTTGCATTCACAAAATTTCTACATAGTATATAGTGAAAAAATCAACAAAGGGCCATAATTCTGTAAAATTTGGTTGCAGCAAAAATTCTTTCCTTTACTACTATCTACACCTTAAGGTTGTTCATCCCTGTAAGTTTAAGCAAAATCTGCCATCCTGTTTAAGAGGAGTTGCGTTCACAAAATTTCTACATAGTATATAGTGAAAAAATCAACAAAGGGCCATAATTCTGTTAAATTTGGTCGCAGCAAAAATTCCTTCCTTTACTACCATCTACACATTAAGGTTGTTCATCCCTGTAAATTTAAGCAAAATCTGCCATCCGGTTTAAGAGGAGTTGCGTTCACAAAATTTCTACATAGTATATAGTGAAAAAATTAACAAAGGGCCATAATTCTGTTAAATTTGGTCGCAGCAAAAATTCCTTCCTTTACTACCATCTACAAATTAAGGTTGTTCATCCCTGTAAGTTTAAGCAAAATCTGCCATCCGGTTTAAGAGGAGTTGCGTTCACAAAATTTCTACATAGTATCTAGTGAAAAAATCAACAAAGGGCCATAATTCTGTTAAATTTGGTCGCAGCGATAATTCCTTCCATTACTACCATCTACACATTAAGGTTGTTCATCCCTGTAAGTTTAAGCAAAATCTGCCATCCGGTTTAACAGGAGTTGCGTTCACAAGATTTCGGGACGTACGGACGGACGGACTGACGGACAGACGTATTGACGGACGAACGGACAAGTGCAACGCTATATGCTCCCACATTGTGGGGGCATAAAAACCTTACAGAGGAATTTCGAAACTGTTTTTTGTTTTGTAAAGTGCCTTTCCAAGTCTTTATTTCTTTTTAGATTTTATTATGGAGAAGTTTAAACAGGTCACAATCATATCCCTTAATATGTTTCAATTTCAAGACATAGACAATACCTTACATATCTACAAGTACTGGTGTATTGAAACTTACAGCTTTGGCTTTAGCAAATCGTTCTTCACATTTGACCACTTCCTCGGGTGAAACTCTGCGCTTAGATAAATCTATGTAGCCTGTAGAAAAAAGGAAAACCTGTTGAAATAGTCCGGAGGACTGGCACAATAATCCATGACAATCAAATAATTATAAGTCAAGGACATCAATCTCGAATTCTTTGTCCAAAATCTAACATCATTCATCCAAAGCATTGGCCTAGTGGTTAAGGTGTCTGCCTCTCAACCCAGGGATCATGGACTGGAGTCCTACTCTGGTCACAACCATGCTTTTTAAGTGACATAACTACTCAGTACTGGTTTACCAGCAGTTAAAATTAGAAACTGCATAGGTCTGAAAATTGTGAAAGCTTGTCAACGATTGGCCGTTTGAAAGGTCACAAGACAGTGACCTTCTTTTGGTGCCTATCAGATCATTAATAACTTTAAGGAGCTGATTTTAATCAGATTGGGGATTCATATTAAGTTGCAAGACCTTGTTTCACAACTGAGCTTAAATAAATATGTATAAACTATATATTGTTTTCAATCTTTTAATTGTCGGAGGGTTTGCTATGAAATGTCAAACACTCATAAAATAAATACTTAGAATTTCACAGAAAATGATGTTATACTAAACTAAAATAACAAAATTATTTTATATAGAGAATTAGACAAACCTTTATCTTTATCTACTCTTATAACAACTACACATTCATTCCTTCCAACACGAATCAATTTATTAATTGATCGAATACGTCTTCTTGACAGTTCACTAAGCAAAATCATGCCCTCTATGTTATTGTACTCCAGGAGATGAACGTATGCTCCCATTTCAGCAATAGATCGTACATTAACCATGACGACATCTTCAACCTCTGGGAAACGATTCGAGTAAAACCTACAGGACAACACCATCTTTCCGTCTTTTTACTCACTGTATATATATCTGTAATTAAATTTGTTATCAACAATTCAACAACAGTAGAGCTGATGCAATGGAAAAAAACTTGGCCCGTCTATCTGATGCAATAAAGATTTTTATAAGAAATTCTACCCTAAATATATATCTTACTCTTAGTAATGTAAATATAAAGTAGATTCTGAATATCATATACATGACAGTAACATTGTTGACAATTCAATCAACACAATGTTTGTTATCTCCCAATGTCTTGAGAAATGTTTGCAAAGCAAAAAGAAAATAGGATATAAGTTTTAAATATCAAAGTAAATCCTGTATCAGTAACATTTCATTTTACAGACATTTCACACAAGCAGAATCTGAGATAAAGTTACAAACATGTAATATTAGTTACAAATTCATAAAACTGTCAATGGGTGAGAAAATGTGCAGCCTGACTGGGACTTGAACCTGGGATCCTTGGAATACTCTCAGTGGCTCTATCGACTTACATATCTAGCCGCTTACAACATCTACCCTAAATAGTGACAGTTCTCGGGCCCCTCAATCCAATTTCGTATAGAAGGGTGTCTACACTCAGCAGGGGGAATTCCAGTGTATGGGGCAACTTTTTTTCTTTTCTTTTTCTTGGTAAAAAAAAAACTATAAACTACCACTTACATCAAACACTGCATTTCTTTCTTCATACACAGTCATATTTTCAGATATTTTTTTCTTTAATTCAACATTCTGTCTTTCTTGTTCTTAACCAAAAAGCTAAGGTTTTTTTTTAAATAATACTTGCTATTTACTGGTTGAGGACCACCAAAACCGGACAACCACCAAACGGACGGCCCCTAAAATGCTTAATTTATTATTTTCTTTGTTCAGTGGTTGTCAGTCACTTTTTAATCAACAATAAATGCATGTTTATTCTAAATTTAAGTTAATATTTTTATTTCAACCTCCTTAACCCATTACTTCATATACATGCCTTTTAACGCCTTTTTCACCCCCCCCCCCCTTTTTGTTGTCTCAAAATGATGAAAAAATGCCTTATTTAGGCCCCAAACACTTGTTTTTGTTTGAGAAATGTAGTTAAAAAAAGTGACCTCTTTTTCGGCGCGGCCCCCCAACCAAAAGATACATCAGGGGGTTGCCAAAAGGGGGATGTGACCCCTTCTGTTTGGGGGGTTTGAAGGGGGGGCAGAGTCCCCCTCATCGCCAAGAAAATTTTGGACTTGTGAGAGGCTGTAAATGACCCCAGATTGATCATAAGGTAACGTGTAACCAACGCTGAAAAACATTTGACTCTATCTCAATCCATTGAGAAGTTGCAGCACTTTGAAATCAATTTTCATGGAAAAAATCAACGCAAAATAGTGATTTTTGGCAATTTTGAGATGTCCCCTAGTTGCCATGGTAACAGAAAATTTAAGCCTGAGCATGTTGTTGCAAGGGCAATTGTCCAGTCAACATTTGTGCCAAGTTTGATTAGTGTTGAAGCAGATTTTATAGTATTATAGCAATCTGAACTTTTAACGGGAGACTTTTCAATGAAAACAGCCATTTTTCACAAAATGCTCATGAAGTAATGGGTTAAATGGTAATATTTTAATGTCTATTTCAAAAATGTTGACGTTGAAATTTGGGGGTCAAGAAAGCAATGTCTGACCTCATATACCAGCTATATAATCATTTGCAGAGTAAACAATGGAATATCTAAACCTTCAGCATTTGTTGCTGAAATATTGTTTTATCATGTTAAAAATCAAAATCAATACACCCAAGCTTTAATCTGAATTAAATCATGTTGTGTACATATCTGTCCGGACACATGGTACTGTAGTGTAGACAATTTAGGTAATTTTGATACTTTCCTTGTCGAGTCTCGGATATAAGTGTCAATGCAATCAGAAATAAACAAACTTGTTTGTTAGTTAGGACAAGAACCTAGCTGAACTGTGTCAAATGTTTAGGTCTCTAGGTTAAAAATTATCAAATCTGTACAGAAAAATGTTCAAAAAGTGTCTGGTTGATGGTCCCCGACCAGTAGAGACATTTTTAGGATGAAAGTCTTCCCGGTGCAGCCATACACTTACAGATCTCCCCAGATTTTTATTTGAATAACAGTAGATTTAACCGCCAACATTGACATGTGGTCTTTTGCTAACAAATATGAAGAAAAATAAGGTTAAATCAACTTATGTTATTCTGGTTAGGTTGTGTCTGATCCAAAACTTTAATGCCGCATCAGATGAAAAACAAAAATATTAAAAAGTGGCAAATAAAGTTTTTGAAGCCAGAACTATGTAACTCTGTGAAATTCGAGGACAATATCAATATAGCAGGGGAGTATGTCACAGTTAGTGATGGAAATCGGATGGAATTTGTCCCAATCGATCATCGGTTCAGTCGGATGGGACATAATCGATAACTTTTCGAATAAAGTCGCGTTAAAAAGAAATAGGGAAGTAACATTTCTTCCCGATGCACTTTATTATATTCAGTTACATGAACTTCATTTAGCACTTTTCAACACAGTTTTAACTTTATATAGTCATAATTTTACGAAGTAGATTTATTTTGAAATGGATGTCAAATAATAACATTTACATCACATTATATTACTATTGTTTACATCACTTATTGATCCTGTTCAAATCCAAATTGTCTCTGAGATGATTTTTTTTGCGATCGGCGAGGTGTTCCTAAAAGAAAATTACCGTCAGAATTAATTCCCTTTGATACTTTAAATATTTTCGACGACGTCGCGTAACAATTTTTTGTGAATCGATTATTGTCACTTTACATATTAGTAACTGATTATCGGCGACTTGCGACAATCGGAACATCACTAGTCACAGTTCACTATTTATAGGGAAGATGTGTAAGTGGCCACACAGCTCAGTCGGCTATATCCTGGATTAGACCCCGTTGTCTAAACCAGGAATATATATAAGGTTCAGTCCGTTTTCCTTAGTGTAATATATACAAGTTTTACTCCTGAAAAATACAAAGGGGTCTAAACCAGGAGATTGCCGCTCAGTCGTTAAGACCGCAGAACAGTATTCCGAGGGTTCAGGGTTCGAATCCTGGTCAGGTTGCATATTTTCAGGGCTCACGCTGTCGGTCGCCATAGTCGCCATTTGCGATTATTTTATAAGATTGGCGATTATTTTTGCATTTTGGCTACAAAATCTGGCGATTATTTTTTACTTCCAACAGTGTTTATATAAGGTGTAAAAATCGATAATGAATGCAGTAGACCCAATTAACACAAGCGGGGTGCATTTAATTGAGTGTCATCTTTTTTCCGGTCACGTGCTGCTAACTATATTGCCCGAGGTGATAAAATACATGCGAGATGTATAATTGTATAAGTACTTTAAAGATATTGTCTAGCATTTATAATAGCCATCAAATATCCGTCAATTAGCCACAAAAATCTTTTTAAAATGGATAAACTGGATATTGACTTACCCATAATTTACCGTGAATTGCAGTAATTGCAAATTTTGATTTTTTTTATTTTAAGCTACTTGACTAAATCGCCAGTGGAAAACAATGGTAAAATATTTAAAAAGAATTGACTTCCAAACAACTATTTGCACAACAACCAAAATTGTGAATATTTCTTCAGAAAACAGGAAAAATCCGATTGTCACATATTTTCGCGACATCGATAATTTTGATATTTATTTAAAGGTGAAATAAGTTATGTTCTGTTTAAAAATCTGTACTACTATGGCAGAAGATTTGTATTACATTGGTGATGATGATATTTTTCAGTAAATTATTCAGAAAAAAGGCTGCATTCTGTGAATGAGTTTGCAAACTTGTGTTATTTCTATAGGCTAATATGACCTAGATCTACTCCAGTTCTGTGTGAAATGTGGAAATTGACAGTGGTTAAACCTGACAAAATTTGATTAGAACAAACAAAAAAAGTTGTCAGCATTGTGTAAAGTTATAATGAATCTTTAATAAATTAATATTATTGTTATACAGTAATTATACTAATTATAACATTTTTATTCTGTTCTATAATAACAATTTAAGTTGTGGTTCTATTTTAAAAAAGGTAGTTATCAATATACACAAATGTATCAGTTTATTTGAGAATCCTTATAAAACTGAAAGTTTTATATAAATGTAATGTTTTATTTAATCAACTGCTTATGTTGTTAATCGCTAATTCGTTAATAGTCCGCTGAACTTTTGGCTATAAATTTTTTTAGTTGAAAAATATTGGCTATTATTTTAAAATTTTAAACCCGGGTTTAGCCCCTTTTTTTTTCTCCCTTGCAGATGCAGTGATATTTTTTTTCAAGAATTTTTAAACAGGGCCCAAATTTTACCCAAAAGTGAAATTTTAAAAAAAAAATTATTTGAAATGTCAATTTAAATTGACACCAACCCTTTGTGAATAAACGGGGATAATTGCCCCAAAAGCCCTTTAGAGTTTTTTTCGAAATAAAAAAAAATAGGGCCCCCTTTTAAAAATTTTTTACCAAATTTTCTTTAACTACTAATCCCGGGTGGGTCGAAAAAATTTTTTAGGGTTAAAAATTTGCTGCCCGGTTTTAAAAGTTTGTCCTCCGGGAAAAAATTCAGTTAAACTTTTATGAATAAAATATAAAAAAATTTAAAAATTTTGGGGAAAAAATTTTTTACGTTGCATTGTAATACTTACTTCAGAATCTGGCCACAATTAGGATTAGTAAAAGATATTAAACCGATTTCAACCGTATTTCACGTGTGTTACGTGGCCGTGTGCAAAAGCGGAGTTCCTTGTTTGGGATTTTCCGAGGTATTTTTAGAAAATATTTAGAAGTATTCGATTGAACAAGTATTGTTCATGAAATGAATAGTGATAAAGCAAATACTTTAGATTAATATGTTTGACAAAGAAGTATAAACGAGGATGCAGTTTATAAAATAAAGTAATATTTTAATATTTGACTTTCATTTTCAGTAAGAAGCATTTTGTTTATTCAATTGTTGGTGCATTCGAACCAAATGTAATAAAATCGAACACGTCCAGTTTTGCACACGTCTCTAAAAAATCTGATGCAACACTGGAAATGATCGAAGTTGTCGTTCGTTTCCATATTTCCCCGCGCTTTTTTGTTGCGGCCTTTGATTTTTGGTGTCCTGTTAGAGACGTAGAAAATGTAATAATTTGAGATTGAAATGGTTTTTTTCGGGTGTTATGGTAGCTTTTTCCTTTTTAATTTTTAAAATTTTTGGGGTCAAACCTCCTTTCCCATTTTTATAAAAGTTTCTTTTTAAAAACCGGGGTTCCCAAAATTTACTTATAAATACAAACAGGTCTTTAATAAATATAAAAAGATTTTTTAAAAACAAATTTTTCCCGTTCATTTCATTTAATGGAAAATGTTTTTTTAAAAAGCCCCCCGATGATTCTAAAGAAATAAAACCGGGGAAGCCCTTTTAGTTTTTATTTACTTGAAAAAAAAAACAACCCAAAAAAACTCAAGATTTTATTTAAAAACTTTTATTTAATTTAACCCCAATTTCCCTTTAATTTCTTTTAACGGCAAATTTGCCGGGCCTTTTTCCTGAATATTAAGAAAACTTTAAATAAATTTACTTTTTTGTTGGGAAAAAAAAAAAAAACAACAATACACTTTCTGGAGAAAATTAGATAACACGTCTAAAAAACGTTTTCTGATAGCAACGTATGTATATTTAACCCCAAAAGGTTTGTTTTATTTAAAATTTTGGGTTTTAACGTTTTTTTGTGAAAAATTTTAAAATATTTAAATATTTAATTTAAATTTTCCCAATTAATAATATTACAGTATATTTAAAAAAATTTTTGTTGTAGATCTTTTTTATTATTAATTTTTTTAAAAAGTTTTTCAGATTAATTTTATTTTTTTCGTTTAAAGGGGAAAAAAAGTTTTTTTAAATAGTTTATTTCCCGCCGTTCCCGGAAACTTCCAAATTTTCGAATAATGGGAGAGGTTTTTCCGAAATTTTAAAGGAGCAACTCGGTTCCCGTCATTATACATGTATGTTATAGAACCCTATTACAAATAGAGCTTGTGGTATTGAAGCTATAGTTTGTGGTTTTCTCTAGTAATTTGTGGTTTTCCATATAATTTATCCAGTTTAAAATATTAAAAACGCAACTAACCACTGTTTCCTTTGACTTAAGAAACTATACCCTTAAGTATACTTATCGTATGTCCCAGAGTATACTGTAAATGCACATTTTTCATAGCTTGGAGCCTATATGTTTGTTTGTTTATTGTCATGAAACTATTTTATTGGTATAATGCGATATCCAGGTTTAATTTTTTTATTATATACAAATGTATGTGAATATAATGTAGATATTGTATATTGTATACATATGCTTAAGGGGCGTCCGTGGCCGAGTGGTTAAGGTCGTTGACTTCAAACCACTTACCCCTCAACGCTGTGCGTTTCGAATCCCGACAAGGACTTTGGATTCTTTCCGTGAGGAAGCTATCCAGCTAGCTTACGGGACGTCGGTGGTTCTACTCCACCAGTAAAGAAATGACCTATACTGTGTCGGTGTGACGTAAAACACAATAAAAAAAACAAACATATGTTTAAATCTAAATACTATATATCTAATACTGTAATGCGCATGTCCATTATCTTCTCGCCACTTGTATACTTGTAACATTCAGTGGTCATTAAACGATAGAACTAGCAACAAGTGTCTTTGTTATATATTACAAGTGCACGCTCTGTAAATAGACCAGAGTAAATGATGTATTTTGTACAAGTCGTAATAACATGTCTGTTCTGTTGTGTTCTGGAGGTATTGACATGTCATGATCCCTAACCAACGTTCCTAACTCTGACATTTTTTTGATTCAATTATGGTTGTTTATGAAGCCATACATACAATATTTTAGTAATTACACTTTCTTATACCAATATATCTGGTATGAATTTTACTGATACATATGTCTCTTTTATACAAAATTGAAATGTCAATATTCAAGACTCATAACAATGTCATTTGTTTCGAATGAAATTTTCCTCTTCGTTAATTCTTACATTATCCAGGTTCTTGTTTCCAATCAAACACTGGCAATAACCGAGCGCGCTGTCCTATTGACAGCTCGTGTTTGAATCTATTTTACTTGGTTGTATGAGAATGCGTCTATTGCGCCCCTAAACATATACTACAAGTGTTACTAAATAAGCCGGGTAAGGAACGCTTTTGTAAAATGACTTTAAGTATGCGACACGACCCCTCGGCCATATCAACAAATTTGAACAATACATATTACAACAGGTCACGTTGTTTCTGATGTATAGGCCATCTACCCAATTGATAAATCCTCACTCGTTACTTTTTTAATAACCAATAAACAATATATTTAATCACAAACATTGACATGCGCTCTTTTGAAAACAAATATATTGTGGGTGAGATTCTTTTTGTAATCCATAAATATGATAATCAGAATAACATGAGGGGCCAAGTAGGGAACTATATATGCATAGAAAGCATTTCTAATGATAAAGAAAACCATGCTTACATTCTCTACGGTGTTGCTCATCCGTGAATCTCGGAATAAAAAAAATGAGCACCGGATGTTGTACGATGTTGCAGTTGAGTTGTGATTGCTCATGGGTCTGATATGAGAAGGGTCAGTGAATTTGTTTACGTTAATGTTCAAATAAGTCATTAAAGTGATAGACATAGATCTGAGGACATTACATTCTAGCCCACTAGGTAAAAAGCTGTGTTCGAAGTCCATTTGTTCATTATTCTATTAGGAGATTTTTGAATCACATTTATTTAGGCATCTAGCTCAGAAAGAGGAAATGCCTATCCAGCCTTTAATGATTATAAATTCGATAGTCAGAAAAGGGATGCAGACAAATTGATGTTTACATTCTTAGAGCGCAAATACATTCTCTACTGCTGAGAGAAAATGGGAAGATGAATTTGAATGATAATTTTTAACTGGAAATGCATTTATAGACTCCCTTTTAATATTACAAAGGAATTCAAATTTATAATGGTTTCAGTATACAGTTACCCAAAGGATACCGATAACCAATTATCTTTTACATAAAATGAGAATAAATGAGAATAAAAGATGTTAATACATGTTCTTTCTGCAGCAACCTGAAACTATAAAACATTTATTTTGGTATTACCAGTTAAGTTCTTCTTTCTGGGGAGATATAAAATCATCGATAAATTTAAAATGTACAAATGTGAACACACAGTAACCTTAACAGATAATATAGTATTGGCAATGAACACTTATATAATGCAACATTGAATTTAATTCAACTTTTTATGTCGTTCATCTTTTGAGAACAGTATTATATCATTTAAAAACAACAACATATGTAGATAAATATAATTAATATATACATGTATATTTAAAAAAATTGTTGTAGATCTATTGTTATAGTCTATATTTTTTCAAAGATTTTCAGATTAATATTTTTTTCAGCTGAAATAGTTTTGTTACTAGCTATTCCCGCCAGTCTCCGGATAAGCTCCAAATACGAATAATCGGCGAGGTGTTCCGAAATTAAAGGAGCAACTCGGTCATATACATGTTATAGACCCTATTACAAATAGAGCTTGTGGTATTGAAGCTATAGTTTGTGGTTTTCTCTAGTAATTTGTGGTTTTCCATATAATTTATCCAGTTTAAAATATTAAAAACGCAACTAACCACTGTTTCCTTTGACTTAAGAAACTATACCCTTAAGTATACTTATCGTATGTCCCAGAGTATACTGTAAATGCACATTTTTCATAACTATATGTTTGTTTGTTTATTGTCATGAAAATGTTTTATAGGTATAATGCGATATCCAGGTTTAATTTTTTTATTATATACAAATGTATGTGAATATAATGTAGATATTGTATATTGTATACATATGCTTAAGGGGCGTCCGTGGCCGAGTGGTTAAGGTCGTTGACTTCAAACCACTTACCCCTCAACGCTGTGCGTTCGAATCCCGACAAGGACTTTGGATTCTTTCCGTGAGGAAGCTATCCAGCTAGCTTACGGGACGTCGGTGGTTCTACTCCACCAGTAAAGAAATGACCTATACTGTGTCGGTGTGACGTAAAACACAATAAAAAAAAACAAACATATGTTTAATCTAAATACTATATATCTAATACTGTAATGCGCATGTCCATTATCTTCTCGCCACTTGTATACTTGTAACATTCAGTGGTCATTAAACGATAGAACTAGCAACAAGTGTCTTTGTTATATATTACAAGTGCACGCTCTGTAAATAGACCAGAGTAAATGATGTATTTTGTACAAGTCGTAATAACATGTCTGTTCTGTTGTGTTCTGGAGGTATTGACATGTCATGATCCCTAACCAACGTTCCTAACTCTGACATTTTTTTGATTCAGTTATGGTTGTTTGTGAAGCCAGACATTCAATATTAAAGTAATTGCAATTGAATGTCACTTTCTTATACCAACATATCTGGTATGTATTTTACTGATATAAGACTCTTTGTAAGTATACAAAATTCAAATGTCAATATTCAAGACTCATAACTATGTCATTTGTTTCGACTTCGTTATTTCTTACATTATCCAGGTTCTTGTTTCCAATCAAGCACTGACACTAGTCGAGCGCGCTGTCCTATTGACAGCTCGTGTTTGAATCTATTTTACTTGGTTGTATGAGAATGCGTCTATTGCGCCCCTAAACATATACTACAAGTGTTACTAAATAAGCCGGGTAAGGAACGCTTTTGTAAAATGACTTTAAGTATGCGACACGACCCCTCGGCCATATCAACAAATTTGAACAATACATATTACAACAGGTCACGTTGTTTCTGATGTATAGGCCATCTACCCAATTGATAAATCCTCACTCGTTACTTTTTTAATAACCAATAAACAATATATTTTACCAGAAACATTGACATGCGCTCTTTTGAAAACAAATATATTGTGGGTGAGATTCTTTTTGTAATCCATAAATATGATAATCAGAATAACATGAGGGGTCAAGTAGGGAACTATATATGCATAGAAAGCATTTCTAATGATAAAGAAAACCATGCTTACATTCTCTACGGTGTTGCTCATCCGTGAATCTCGGAATAAAAAAATGAGCACCGGATGTTGTTGCGATGTTGTACGATGTTGTAGTTGAACTGTGATTGCTCATGGGTCTGATATGAGAAGGGTCAGTGAATTTGTATGAGTTTACGTTAATGTTCAAATAAGTCATTAAATTGATATTAAGGATATAGATCTGAGGACATTACATTCTAGCCCATTAGGTAAATGCTGTGTTCGAAGTCCATTTGTTCATTGTTCTTTTAGGAGATTTTTGAATCACATTTTTTTAGGCATCTAGCTCAGAAAGAGGAAATGCCTATCCAGCCTTTAATGATTATAAAATCGATAGCAAGAAAAAAGTGATGCAGACAAATTTATGATTATATTCCTAGAGCAAATACATACTCTATGGCCGAGAGAAAATGGGATGATGAATTTGAATGATAATTTTAATGGAAATGCATTTATAGACTCCCTTTTAATATTACAAAGGAATTCAAATTTATAATGGTTTCAGTATACAGTTACCCAAAGGATACCGATAACCAATTATCTTTTACATAAAATGAGAATAAATGAGAATAAAAGATGTTAATACATGTTCTTTCTGCAACAACCTGAAACTATAAAACATTTATTTTGGCATTGCCAGTTAAGTTCTTCTTTCTGGGAAGATATTAAATCATCGATAAATTTAAAATGTACAAATGTGAACACACAGTGAACCTTAACAGATAATATAGTCTTGGCAATGAACACTTATATAATGCAACATTGAATTTAATTCAACTTTTTATGGCGTTCATCTTTTGAGAACAGTATTATATAATTTAAAAACAACAACAAAATAGGATTTTTCAGTTTGACAATTTTATGGGGCAAATATGATTAATTGCTGCCTAATCGAGACTTATATTTTAACATCAATTATTTAGACTTGATCCACTCGGAACTTCACCCACTTCCCTTTTTTTGTTTCTTTTTCTCTTGAACACATTTTATGACATTTAGTCCTTATGTTATCATTGCATAAAGTATTCATGACCAGAGTTGAACACTAATATTAAGATAAAAGGAGTTGTTTCCCTTGTGTTGATGACAATTTTTTTTCTCCTTTTTAGCTCGACTTTTCTATGAAAAGGGGAGCTATCCTACTCGCCCCGGCGTCGGCGTCGGCGTCGGCGTTAGCGTTGGCGTCACACCTTGGTTAAGTTTTTCGTACCACCCCACTTTATTTCAGAAGTATTACAAGTATGGCTTTGAAACTTACCATACTTGTTCACCATCATAACCTCCATCTACAGACAAGAGTACATAACTCTGTCAAGGTTTTTGACAGAATTATGGCCCTTTTTTGACTTAGAAAGTGTATTGAGCTTGGTTAAGTTTTTTGTACCACCTCACTTTATTTCAAAACCATTGGAGGTATTGCTTTGAAACTGACCATACTTGTTTACCATCACGACCTTCATCAACAGACAAGAGGACATAACTCTGTCAAGGTTTTTGACAGAATTATGCCCCTTTTTGACTTAGAAAATACATTGAATATGGGTAAAATCCACTTATTGCCTTAACCCTTTGAGATATTGCTTTGAAACTTTTAATGCTATTTCACATCATTACCCCCATCTGTACGCAAGAGAAGGTAACTCTGTCAAGGATTTGTTTTAAAAATTAAGGCCTTTTATCGACTTAGAATCTTGGTTAAGTTTTTAGTACCAGTCCACTTTTTGACTGAACTGTTTGAGATATTAGTTTGAAAGTTGGAATACTTGTTTACAATCATGATTCCCAAACATGTCCAGGAGAAGGTAATTCTGTCAAAGATTTTATTTGAATTATGGCCCTTAACTGTCAATGTTTTGTATTATAGGCAAGCACTAAAAAAGTCGAGCGCGCTGTCTTACGGACAGCTCTTGTTTATAATATTGTAATGTAATTACTTCTAAAAAGAAATCTTTTTCTAATGTAATATTAAAAATAGGTATGACAGTAATAACGTTTTACAATATTGGTAAGATAATACTATTGAATTACTTTCTTTATAATCTTGTTTGTAGAATCTTAAAAGAAATATTTTGTTCCTTGTATATCTCTATATATTGTATGTTTTTGCGTAAATGTTTTGTATTGTGAAAAAAAAATCCGTTTGTACATCGTTTGGTTGGTAAGCCATATGTTGTTTTATATGACAAGGAAAAGATATAAAGATACAGTTACAGATGCAACAGTGCAGGTTTAAGCGTTTCATAAAATTGGACAGATCACATACTTAATTGATGGCATGTTGTTGTAAACGATTTCGTAACACTTATCTCTGTTGGTGCCAGCAAACGTAGATACTACCAAATTCTTGAGCCTCTGTTAGATACATATTGAAATTAGATTAGGCTTTATTCCAATTTGCAGGGCTGTAGGTGTCTCTTTAATGAAGTTAGTTTTTTTTTAAATTGTAATATATATTTGATTTGTATTGCTGATGTGATAGGTTTAAACCTTTTGTGTATATATATATATCGTTCTTGGTACTCTTTTAAAAACGCTTTAGAAATTAGTAAATAACTTATTTGTGAAATTTTCATTATTCTATTAGGAGATTTTTGAATCAATTATTTTTGGGCATCTAGCTAAAAGTAATTAGTAAATAAATTATTTGTTAAATTTTCATTAATATACTAACTGGTGCAAAAGACAAAAACAAAACAAAAAAGCACATATTATTTATGTTTCATTAAGATAGGATATGTACATGATAAGAGATTGACTAATTAGAGCAGTGGAAATTAATTGTCAAACATGACTCAATTAATCATTATATACTTTCTATCTTATTTATTTTCCTGTTAAACAACGTCTGTATTGTTTTGTGATGAACAATGTTGCTGGTCCAGAGGTGGCATACACTCATGAGAAGCATTATTTCCGGTAGAATTGTCAGCTTTTTATTTTCATTTATATAATACAAACTGTAAGATAATACATGAAGAAAAAAAATGAAATTTCAAAACAATTCAAGAGATAGTATATGTTTAACAAAAGTGCTTCAAAACACGTAATAACTATCAAAACTGTCATGTAACATTTTAGGTCAATTTGTTCATCAATATCATACAATATAAAGTATTTTACATATCAAACAGAATCATACAAAACAGCAAGTACTACTAGCAGATTGGGTGTAAATAATCATTTTGGTCACTCTCGTTGCTAGATGAAAGTTTTAAATCAGGACGATTTTGCTTCCAATCTTGCTGTTTTCCAATACACATCTCCATTGACCTTGTCAAAAAATCTCCATCGGTTTTAGACATATTCATGTCAATATAATTACATTCCTGGGTATCTATCTGTTCACTGATAGAATTTTTAAAGCCGTATAGTGCACGAGGGATATCATTCAAATCCATTGGACGGATACTGCCACAATTTTTTAAGAGACCTTCCATAACGTCATTTGGTGCGTTTGATACCGCAGTTCTTGGAGGAAGTTGTGGTAGGGGAGTTCTTGAGTTCATGACTGTTAAATATGTCAGGTCCGTATACTCATTGTTCTGAGTTCCTGTGTCAATCAATTTACCATAATGGTCACCTCTGCTTGTATTGCATCTAGAAAAGCTTGCATTATCGAGTCGAGAATCAACCATTATATCCAAATTAACATCTTCATCCATAACGTCATTTGGTGCGTTTGATACCGCAGTTCTTGGAGGAAGTTGTGGTATGGGAGTTCTTGAATTCATGACTGTTAAATATGTCAGGTCCGTATACTCATTGTTCTGAGTTCCTGTGTCAATCAATTTACCATAATGGTCACCTCTGCTTGTATTGCATCTAGAAAAGCTTGCATTATCGAGTCGAGAATCAACCATTATATCCAAATCAACATCTTCATTCATACAATTTGTAAGTATGGCCATCTCTGAAAGGACACAAAATAAATATTACACAGAATAAGAAATGCAGAATGCAATCATAGAACTGGGTCTAAAGAGGAAACAGATATTCGAACAATTTTGATTGGAATTATAAATTCAAAATACATCCAGTCAAACATATACAATGCATTAAGTAACTTTTATCGTACCATCTGTATTCTCACAAATTTCGTCATAAATTGATTCAACATTTTCTTTTGTGGAATTGTTTATATTTCTCCTTCGTCGTGGACACACCGCATATCTGAAATAAGAAGTAAGAGCCACGTGTATAAAAGTACGGTGGTTAAAATGCAGGTGGTAATTATAAGAACGAATTGAACATATTACCGATTCTGTGAATGTACAATATTCTTTTTTTATCATATACTTATAAGTGAAATATTGAGAAATATTGATAAAATAAAATGCGTATTCTTCATTTTCCGTTTTTTCACTGCAGTGAAGCATATTTTCTGTATTTTCACTGTAATGAAACATATTTTCCGTATTTTCACTGGTGTCTTGTCAGACTACTTTCTGCTAAATTCGGCCAATATACAAACTTTAAGGGAAAGTCTTTCAAACTGTGATGTCACAAAGGTGAAAATTGTATATAATAGATAGAAAATTCAAGTTTTCTCCTATAAATACAGGATTTATGTTCATCTTGTGCTATGAAAATTATCATATTTCACTTGTGGCTACCGCCACTCATTAAATATTTATTTTCATATCACTCGATGAAAATAAACACTGTATTTATAGAAAAAAACATAAATATCCTCTGTATAACAAAAAGTTCTAATTTCAAACATAAATCACATATTTAGTCCCTTGTACGCCGCTTCCTCGTTTAGTTTAAAACAAGAGCTCACCTTAACGATAGAAGAGAAAATGATTCCAGAAAATCTAATAGAAAATAACATATTTTAGATTGTGGTTGAATATAAATCATGCGCTTTTTCTTACCGTATGGCGACGGACACTACAAAGAAAATCGAGAACACTATTAAAGCCCCAGCGATACCAGCGTTTGTAACTATAACCATTGAACCAAAATCGGTCTGCATTGCTTAAATTATAAAAAAGGTAGTAACTTATAATTAAAGTCAAAATTATTAAAAACAATGATAGGAGTGCATATAATTATGTTTAATATGTGTGTATGTATCTTAAAAGGTACAATGCCGATAAATTGGAAAGAAAAACTTCATGAGTGTAATAACGTTTGTTTAATATATAAATGACTGTTGAAAATGTATAACAAAAAGTTGTGGGCATAAACATTTTTGATCATGTGATACCAGGTAATATCGGATGGATACTTCTTGCTGTTGCTGGGTTGTAGAGGTAGGTAATATGACGAATTTTCAGCTTTACTGATGGAGGAAGACATCAGGTGCCCCTCTGTGAATTGTTTCCGGCACGAGTGCGCACCAGAGTAGAACCAACGACGTTCTATAAGCTATCTGGACAGTTTACTCACATGAACAAACCCAAAGTCCCGAGTGTGATTGGAATCTAAAGCGGTAAGGTGCAAGTGTTTAAAAGTTATCAACAATAACGGACACCCCTTTTGGGTGGATACGTTTACTATTTTAATATAAAAAGTATGCTTCGAATAATGTGCGTTGTCATTTATATTTTATGAGGTATTATTTATATGTTTATATTTTTCATCTTACTTTCATTACAAAAGAGCCCCTCGTATCCAGTCTCGCAACCGAGTATACACCACGATGTATGTCTGTCACACGAGTTGTCTTTGCATTTTCCAATACAGCTTCTTAAACAGTTTGTACCATTAATACTATCTAAACATTCATTATCACACAATCCAGATTCTCTTGAGCACGATCTGTTAGCACACTTCATGCTGCACGCGTCTTGACAACTATCCCCAAACCAACCAGATTCACACCCGACATCACAATACCCCGACGATATATTACACGACTGATTGAGACAAGTATCGCTACAAGCAAGTGTGCAGTTCAAGCCATACCATCCTTTAATACACCCGTTCATACACTGGCCCGTACTTTGATTGCAAGTAGTATTAGACCAATATACGCTACAATTCATATCGCATCTCTCACCATACACACCAGGGATACAACCATATATACATTGGCCACTCTCTTTGTCACACTTGCTTGTGTTTGCTATTGGATCAAAACAGCTTGGGCTGCATTCTTTTTCACAGTCTTTACCAAAGAAACCATTAAAACAAGATGTGTTACATTTTTCACTTGTACTGTTACACTTCACCACGACGTCTTGCGTATGAGCCAGACAATTTTCGCACTTATCATTACAAGTTTGACCAAAATATCCGTCAGCACATCCATTGTTGCATGTTCCTCCATCAATATTGCAGACAATATCTCCTTTACTGTCAGGAAAACAATGTCCACATGTTTTATTGCAATAAATTGTCCCATACCACCCATTTGAACACTTTAGGCATCGATAAGTATACTGATCACATTCAATACATGAATCACTCTCTAGACAATCTAAGTTACACATGCTTCCTCTTTTCCCTTTGATACAACCTTTCGTACACGTCCCATTCTCATTGCACCATTCAGACGAATTTCCCTCTTTTAAACAGTTTGGACTGCATTGACAAGAACTACCCTGCCATTCATTTTTGCAAGAGGTACACAAATCAGGAGATTTACAGCTTTCACAATTAACAGGGCATTCATTCTGACATGACGATCCAAAGTATCCTGTCTTACACTTAGTACAATTAATCAAATCAATACATGAGTCACAGTTTTGTGGACATTGTTTACAGGTACCGTTTAAAATATACTCAGTTTTTGAACATCCAAAGCAAAAATCTTTGTCAAACTTTTTGAAACTTTTTCTGAGATATGAATCACTGCATATTGAACACGTAGAATCATTGTAATTGCATTTGTGCTCACATTGTTCTCCAAACCAGCCCAACGTGCATACAGAGCATTCTTTAGGAGTTGTACAGTGTCTGCAGTGCTCAATGGGACAATCACCTATTAATTAAAATGTCAACAACCATTAAGGATTAACATTTAGAATAAAATGTTTAAAAGCTGTAAATAAACGACAATGGTTTTGGTTTAAATACACAACGACAGTGTTTAGTAATAATGAAAATTCAAAGGAAAAGAGTTACATCGTGAATAAAACATGTTTTAGTTTTAATTCTTGTAACTGCACAATATAATAAATGTTAAATTTTGATTAAACCGGTGCTAGGAACGCTTGGAAGATTGAATTTACACTGCCGTACATGAACAGGCTCAGTCAAAGCGAAAAGAATCATTTTTGCAGTTTTTTACAATACAAGTAGTTTAGAAAAAAATGTACATTATAAAATGATAATATCATTAAGACATGCTTATTGTGAAGACACATTCGTGCACAAATGACCCATATTATTATTTTACATCGACATAGTTGTATTGATTGATGATTGTGTAGATGTATCTCAGAAAATCCATGTGTTAGGAAAATAAACTACATGAGGTTGATACACGTATATATTGTAATTTGCACAGCAATTATAAAGATTAGATTAACCCAAAATTTGGTTAAATAACAATGCTAGTGTCTATGTATTGAAGGCACTTCACTCACATTGGACAACCTTCAACATTTTCATATTTCACTGATTTTATATCATAGCACTAGTCAATGACAAAGTAGAAAAAGATATTCAATTTTGTGTTACCTGCATCGTCTAATTTCACATATTGTAACGTGATAAGTATAAGCCATCTCAGATCCATATTCTAATATCCAACTTAACTTAAATGACTTTGAATAAAAGATTAACACTGTCTGGGAAAAGAACTTTAAACAAAACAATATATTTGTCAGTTCCTGTGATGCGTCATGCACAATGTCACACACTTGCGAAAAACAAACAATTTTTAACAGAAGCTTTTACTTCCGCACCACGAGAACAATAGCAAGATGGCAGGCACAATGTTTTCTATTATGATAATTATATCTTTACATAAACTTCCATATAATATTTAACCTATATTCCAATTACTAAACCCTAACGAGAGTTCTACAATTCCTTATTAGGCGGTTAGGTTGGGTTGGGGTCAATACAATATCTTTTGCATTGCAGTTTTCAACATGAGACAACGATTCAACACGTGTTCTTTAAATACAGCCTTGGAATGCAGACAAAGGTTTGCATGAACCTTTGGTACAATATTGAATTTCTAGATGTTCGCACAATTTTAAACATATATAAATGAACATGAATTGTCCTGTCAGTGATGAATAAAATAGAGAGATATAAGAATCCCTAAAAAAAAAGCCCAACACGGCAAAATTTATGTTGCAGGCTCGGTTTGATTGAGCCTGTTCATGGACGGTACTGTCAAGTGCAAACTACCGTCCACGCCCCTAGCACCGCTTCAAGCAGAATTCAACATTTATCATGAACTGATAAAATTTAGAATTTTGAAACATCCGCAGATGTGTTCATATGGCGGTTATCATGGAACCTTCAATGTGACACATTAGTGTCATTCCATGAAAAGCGGCATATGGTCCCCAAGTAAAAACATGCATGTGCCCTAAACGAGAAAACAATGGGCGGAACTAAATAAAATGGAATTTTGAAAGGGGATCTAAGGTTATGAAGCCTGCATATCACAGATATGACGTCAAAAGACAAATTTAAAAAGCAGGCCACATATCCTAAGGGTGATTCAACATTATTCAAGTAAGGAATACTGGAACCACCCAACAAAAAAGATGCCGAATAGAAAGAACTAAAATACCACAAGCACAACAATTGTGTCGTGCTGAACGATCTTTAAGGGATCGGAAATATAACATCCCTGATTGAATGTACGCGGCGACTTTTTACGGCCTCCACAATCGAGTCTGTGACGAGCTTTATACCATTTTCATGAATTAAAATGACATGCCAATAAATGTGAGATTCTTTTAATCATACGATTAAATGCCATGCGATTTATCAAAAATAACTTGATTTGATGTTTTACGCAAGTCTTTGTACGACGATGTTAAAGAACACGTATGTTAAATAGATAAAATGTAATAAATAAACGGCAAACAAGCGATTTCATGTGATATTGGTTCTAAATTTAAAGAACGTAGAAAATGTATTCACTAGAAAGAAATTCAAATGTGCAAACTTGAAATGCATGGAAAAGCAATGATCGTTTTGTAACATTTACGTTATTTGCATCAATGTCATGTTTTTATCGTACCATGAGATTTAACCAAGCTTAATTTTTTTAATAACGGTTTAATGTGGTCAATGCAAACACAGCTGCTATTGGATTCTTCTTTTTTAATATGCTACTCAATTTTTACTAATGTTTAAGTGTGAATATTTTCGGCAATAGTAAGATACCGTCGGACAAATAATTTTTAATGTTTAAAGTTTTATCAATTTGATTGAGATAACAAATTTAACCTTTTTTTATTAATTTGCATAAGTAATGTATGAGAAAAGAGGAAGATCGCCTATTTCCATTATGTTTGGACATACAACTTACTTTGACAACTTCATGTAGGTTTGTTCACAGGGTTAGTCTCAGAAGCAGGTGTGTGACTCATTGCTAAAGACAAATGTTTTGATACGCCTTCTCATGCCCCCATGAGATAGGTTGCACACTTCCTCTGCAGGTAGTGCTAGACCAGCCGAGCCTTGTTGTCGCGCCCATGATTGCCTATTTAAATGAATTGATCGCTCAATATCCCGGCATGACCAGTCAATGTACCTCTATTTACCACATGTCTTCCCTCAGCATAAGTGACCCACTTCCGTATCTGTCAACAATACAGAATTCTTGACCAACATAAATGTCTATTAAAGTCGTTCACAATGAATCGTCAACAAAGTGCCATTATTTCGTAAAACTGATTCAATCATGAAGTCATGACAATATGCACGAGTAAATGTTAGGACAAACATGACAATATGCACGAGTGAATGTTAAGACAAAAAGGATAACAAAAACCACAGACAAATTGCCACAACTCTGTCTAAATAATAAAATCACAAAATAACATCAGTAAATGTCAGAGCATGCCAAAGCACAGAATAAAAGTTTGGTTCCCTTCAGAAATTTAGATGACTTTATACGCAGAGGAGTATTGCATTACACGTACGTATTGAAAAACAACAACAAAGGGGTAAAGGTCCATTTTCTGTCAAAAATATTAATATAAAAAATCCGTACAAAATGCACCAGAACACTTGGTGAGGAGTTCTATATAGATTTGGTTTAAATACCTTGAAAAATATGGAAGAAGTTGCATCTATGTATAAGTTGTGAGAATAAAACAAAGGGACACAATTCTGTTGCAAATATTACACTGAAAGTTTGGTTGAGATCTCTTGAGTAATGAAGACCATGTTTACTATGTAGCTTGGTAGGACAATTCATATCTGGAATAAAATGTAGAAACATGAACTATATATTGTCACTGATCATGTTTAACTGTTGCAATCATACGGATATGGAAGTTCAAAACAGGTAACGATATCGTTACATGGTTGAAATAAGAATCAATCAAATATTATATTCAAAATGTGATTTGATCGGCTTAAGTCGATTTTATTTTAACTCGATTCTTAAGCCACACAAAGTAAATGAGACCTGTGTTATCTATTTTAAGTTTATGAAGCCATTCTTTAAATAATTTCTAAAAAAAACACTGGTTCTTTGAATTACTTAAGATACATACATTCACATCGCACGAGGATACATGTGCCTACTTTTGTAACAAAATATAAACTGTTTTCAGTGCTTTAAGTAAAGAGTAATTGCTTTATAAGTAAAGATAAAACACTTAAACAAAAACAAAAGCATTTCTATTTAAGAACTGTAAATAATGTATCATATATCGGATATTAAGGTATACCAACTGCATTATGATCTGTTTCCGATCCTGTCAAAACATGCCAGTTTTCTTTACAGTTAAATAGACTTAAAAAAGTCTTTCCTGATAATCTTTTACTTTTTAATATTGTTAGCATATGTGATGTTTTGGTTTAAAGTCTGTCATAAAACACCAGTCTTGTACGAAAACGAAAAATACAAGAAATGATCGATGGATATTACTACAGTACCAACAGCCCAAAATCAATGCTGTTATAAGCCACTTTCATACTTAAGATCTCAGTCACACAATACATTAATGACTAATACTCATTTTTGAATGACTATGTGGGTAAATACTCATTTGTATTTTTTAATTTGTGAAAAAACATAAGTCATGGTTTTAGTAATTTTTTACATATTAAAAATAGACCCACACAATTACCTGTTTAAAATGCACCTAAAGCATAATTTTACTGGAGTTTTTTTTCTTTGAAACAGAACATAATTAGAATAAAATTGATTTCAAAATTGCAAAATTTCCGTTCTTCTTTGGTAGATAACAGTTTATATGTACGTGCGCATATAGATAGAGAATAATTATTCAAGTATGCTGGGTACTGTATATTGCTACAACATTGTTTTATGGTTATCTATGGTACTATAATGTATGCGGTCTCAGGGCTTATTGTACATGAGACGCTTTTTTTTCCTCCTTCATAGTGACTGAAGTTACGCAACTACAACTTATATGTTAAATATATCACGTAATATACTGAAGTCAAAATAAACGGATAAAAGGTTTAATGATATAAGCGTAGGATATACTCGTACTTTAAATACCTAGTAATTATATGGTAAATATTTCACAATTTTTCTTTTTTATTTGAGTACAGCTCGAATTCGCTATTCCTTTCATTATATGTTTACATCAATATTGACAAAAGAGGTGACGATAATTCTTATATAAAAGCATACTATTTATCGTCACCTAAACCCTTTCAGCGTAATAGCGTAGTGGTAGAGAATTCGCTCCGTAAGTGTAGAGATACTGGTTCGAATCATGAAAAGGTTTTTTTTAATTTCCTTTTAATTGTTTGTTTTGAGATATTTTTCAATTAACAGGATTTCACTTCCTCGTGAATTTCACACAAATTCGCATTCAGCAGACAACACAGTCGATAATTAGCGAATATATAGCAATAAAAGAAAAAAGATGTATACAAATGAGCCGAAATTGTCAACAAGAGGGCCATGATGGCCCTGAATCGCTCACCAGAAACAACTTTTTTTTTCAATTGCAAATTTGAACTCGAAAAACCATGATCATCACCTGAGTGCTTCGTAATCTGAACTTATTAACCATTGCGCTTTTCAGGATGACATGTTCATATACAGTTTGATTATTTTATATTGCAATAAAAATGCATAATATAATAACTGAATAACCTGCACAACCAATTATATCATGATATGACTGAATAATGTAAACATTATCGTCTTCAACTGCATATATACCATAACTGGAAGTGTTAAATTTTGTAATGGTACAGTACAGTAGGAATTCATTAGGACAAACAAAAATTTATCCTCGACTTCGCCTGGGACAATTTGTTGTTTATCCTGGCGAACTGTCTGTTAGAAGACGCTTTAAAAGAAAATAGGAGTAAGTGTATCTGACGTTATCTACTGGAAAATAAAGTATGTCCATTTGAAAATATAAAACTATTGAAAATATTTACATGGCCTATAAGCTTAGGCAGTGCAATGTGTAGACAAATTGTATTTGCATGGAATTCTAGTGCACTTATTTTAATCGGACAGAATTCACTTTCATTCATTATCAATGTTATAATGGCTGCCTCCAGTATCTAGAGAGTCATATTTTGTCGTTCAACATTGAAACAGACACTTAACATGTATTGTGTCAATGTAATATGGATAACTTTTGGAACGGAAATAAGGTTATTTTCCTTATTCGTATTTTTAACGCAATGGTCATTGATTTTTTTATTATTTTGTTGCTGTTGTAGTAGTAGTAGTAAAGGGACAGTGAATGTCATGTTATTGTTTTGTTGTTGTTTTTTTCTGATAGAATGTTCGACAATAAACAAGAAAAGATAGAGTTTCTGTATTTTTCAACGGACAACTGTTAGTGTCGTCAAAAACAACATCAACAATAAACAAATCAAAAACCAATCAATGCTAAAATAATAAGCTACGTCGTTCCTGGAAACGGCCATTCAATTTATTTAATTCTTTACCGATTAACTGAATTTAATCCTGAGTTGCGCTATCTGGTTCGCTACAACTTTCCGTCCGCTTCTAAGGTGTCCTGTTTGAGTCATATAAAATGTCGCCTGTTAAGATTGAGCTTTAGCTCGACTGTTAGAAAAAATGGTAGAACTATTGTACTCACCCACGTGGCGGTTTAAGGGTCACACTTGGGTTAAGTATTTACTTTGTTGGTAATGGGAATAGGTTGAAACTTTACACTCTTATTTGTGAAAATAATACGAGGTCACTATCCAAGACCCTCACTTTAATGTGGATTTTGACAAACTATGGACCTTTTCGATGTTATAAAAATGCTATATTATCCAGGACCTAGTTTTACTACCAAGCACTGAAAATAGTCGAACGCAAGATAAGTAGCGATATTTAACATTCCCCTTCGAAGAATTGTCGCTTTCGTCACAGGTATTGTAAATAAATAACAATATTTCAAGAAACATGCAGAGTTTTAAGGTTTAATCATCGCGTTTTTTATATGCTGATTCTCACAAGGATTCAGATAAGCATGTGACAAAATCAATGTTGAATGGCGCCAAATGTTCCTTACGAGTGAGTAAAAGAACGGTAACACAAGACTTTTAGAAACAAATCTTGCATGTCAAAAGGTGTCCTTTTACTGCCTTCGTACAGACGTAAAACACACTTTTTGAATAGCTTTGCTGTGATGGAGGAATTGTCGTATAACTATATATATTAATTACATACTTTCATAATAGATTATAAAATAATGGAAACGCCTTATATAAATACATGTATGATAAAGAATGGACATTTCCAGTGTTTATATGCATTGTTATGTTTATTGACTGATTAGCGATTCACTTGCCTCACTTGTGTTATAAATGTTCACTTATTGACTGTAACACTATTTGTGAGCAATTGATTTAGCTATTAAAGCGGGTGCTTAAACAGAAAAGGTCCATTATTTCATTACACGTTTCTCGTTCCTGGTCTCTGTCTATTCGGACTGAGATGATAAAGAACTGAAAATCAAAACAAAAGATAACATACATTTTTGAGATTTGTAAATGATTCAACTTATGCCATTATGTAACAGAAAATATCTCTCATAACATGTTAATTGAACCGTCAAAGTTGACGATGTACATAGTAAAATATTTTAAAAAATACATGTACATCTTTTGAATCTAGAAACTACGATATACAACCAAACAATGCTGTCGAAAGGTTAAAACTTAAATATGCCTTCACAAAGCACATTATTTGATATGACATATAATCCTTTAGAGTAAGTCTATATATTGATTTAAAATGTCACTCTCAGAGTGTTTTCTTTTCAGTTCATATTAAACAATGTCACCATCTTAAAGTCCGTATTTGTATGATGCGGGATATCAGACTATGTAAAGCATAGCAAATGTCACGATTCATTTAGTTTTAATACTGAACTTTGATCTTGATTGTAGAAAAGCTACAACATCATACTTACCTTTATTGTTCGTTAGTATAAAACTGTACTATTATGTACATAAAAAACATGTTTTAAGTGATTCTATTGAGTTATTGTTTTGAAAAGACAGACCCAATAAAACCGAGTCAGCAGTTTTCATGTAATTTTGTTGTGATTAATGTACCTGAGGGATCACACTTTTTTCCAGATTTTAACTATTTTGAAAAGGTTAGTAATCTTTTCTTTGATTAAATACGTTATATACACTTACCATGAAATCACACATGTATATGCTGAATTTTATATTTATGAGATCTGTAAGACACATTTATATCTTAACAAACCACGTAATCTGGCAGGTACTTTTCTACTAGGAATTTGCATGAAAAATCTTATGTTTAGGACATAGATCTCTAAATTTCAGTCAAATCTGCTTTTATTTTCAGTATAAAAGAATAAAAAGAATTTTAATCTAAGAAGTATCGATGATTTTACAACGACGACATTGTATAATGTTTTGTATATCTTTTGATTTTGAAAATAATATGAAACGTCATTTTGCAGAGGTATTTTTTCATCAGAAGTATGACAGTTGATTCTTGAACTACAATCTATTTCGGATTATGGCGGGTGTAAAACTTCTTTTATGTTTACCATTGGTATCATGCTACATTTGTAATGACATTTATTTTGGAACGGTCGACTTTCATCTGTGTCCAGAACGGTGTGCAAAATGCTCTTTACTTTATTCGTGCTTAGAATGTGAGAACGAGCTCTCGAATAGCACGTGTAGGTCAATATGTAAAGTTGGTTGTGATATGTTGTTTATTTCTAATGGAACAAATTTAAGAGGATGTTACAGAGGCAAAGAGGGCAATAACTGTTGTATCTACTGTCCCCCATTTCGTGTTTGCGCGGAATGTGTTCAAATTTCGGGAGGCCAATGCGAGAAGTGCACAAATAATTTGTACGGTAACTTAACTCACTGTGACAAAAAGTGCGGAAATTGCCGTCCTAATGAAGATGAAATCGTAACGTGTAATATTGTCACCGGGCATTGTCAAGGTGATTGTTTAGATGGATTTTACGGCAACCGTTGCGATAAGAAGTGTAGTCAATATTGTTTTAATTCGCATTCAAATAGTAGAAAATGTGAAAGACATTCTGGAAAGTGTATATTTGGATGTGTAGCTGGTAGATATAATGAAAAATGCCAAAGCATCTGCAGCAAAACATGTTTAAATAATTATTGCAACCAAAGCTCCGGAACCTGCAATGACTGCATGCCAGGCTGGTATGGAGATACATGTGAAAGCAAATGTAGTGAAACGTGTGCTAACAAAGCATGTGACCAGAAAACCGGACTTTGTTTAAAGGGTTGTATTCCTGGTCGGTATGGAAACAATTGTAAGAGGGTATGTAGCACGACTTGCATTGGCAACACATGTCATCAAATATCAGGGCACTGTAAAAATGGATGTTTAAATGGCTGGTTCGGGAACAGTTGTAATAATATTTGTAACAGCACGTGCTTAAATCGCACGTGCGAGCAAACTACACAGCATTGTGTAAATGGATGTGTACCAGGTAAATACGGTATATTTTGTAATAAAACATGTAGTAACACATGCGAGAAGAAAACATGTGATCAAAGTAGTGGTAAGTGCCTGTTCGGCTGCGTTGCTGGTTGGTTTGGCCAGTTATGCAACACATCATGTAGTAGAACTTGTTTTAATATATCTTGTGAACAGATGGCTGGAGTTTGTGACAGAGGCTGCATTGAAGGGTACTATGGTGAAAACTGCGAGGGGAACTGTAGTGAAACACGCTTAGAAGCTTCATGTGAAAACTACACAACCGCCTGTCTTTCATGTGATTCGCGGTTTGGAAACGGTGTCACGAAAAGTTATGAAAGTAAGAATTACATGTATATACAATCCTTGATTAATATTGTACATTAATTATTCATGCTTAGTAAATTGACCAAACTTTATAATGCACAAGGTGAAATTATTGAAATACAAATACAAACGATTTGAACGAGGTTTTACTTTATTGAATTATTATACTTTTTCCATTAAACTTGACATAATTTATGCTATTAAAAATTATAATGAAGACAGAAACTTGTACCTATATACATATCATTACATAAGCTGTTGTTTATCTTTTTTTAGTTTCCACAACGATCATATTTTCTATGGACAATATTATGGTGATTTGTCTATTAAGCGTGTTTTCTATACTGTTATGTTTCCTTTGTATTCTAATCGTCCGTCATAGGTAAGATATTACACAATCTGGAGGTAAGTTGTTCCACGATAATTAATCGCAGAAATCATTTTACTTGATTTTGTTAATTTGCTATTATTTTGGCAAATTGTCTGTTGAAATTTTCGAAAATTGTTACGGTTCAAATAAATATTCTATTATTTTACCAGAAATAAAATATTTCATTGAAAGCAAGGTATAAAATATTGAGATTTTCTTTTTTGGCACTTTTTCTAACCCCCCCTCCCCCCACACACACTGAAAAACAGCCCAATACAATTTTTGTTTTTTTCTGCTATTTCTATCTTTATAATAATTGATATTTTTGTAAGAGCAGAAGTATATTTATAAATATAAATTGTAATTGTAGGGTTGTTGTGTACAGAAACGAAAACATCGGTAGGGAGATTGTCTTGTCGGAAATGAAGAAAAACACTAGAGAAGAATCAATTTATGATGAAATTAAAGATTTAAATGGTATTGAATTATTACATTTATTATCTTATGATGAAGCTTAATATTTATTCATTTTTATCATATATGTGTAAATATAGCAAGGAAATATATAATGGTACGAAAATCGAAAAAACACACCACCCGTGCAATTTAGAAATGGATTTATACTAAGAGTTAAGAGCTTAACGAAATGTAATATTATATTTTAAAATTCTTAACAATAACGGCAATCGTTATGATTGTTTCAAAGTGCACCGAATTTAAGTCTTACTTCACATTGTGATCTGTAGTCTCATTTCTCCATTTATGTGTTCCAAAAAATGGAACTGAAAGTTACCTGTGCCAAATGAAGCTCTGTCTTGATTTTGAAATTAAGTAAAACACAAGAATACATTCGTGCTAATGTGTATAGAAGTCACTTACACGTATGAAAGTAATATAGCCAGATCAGAAGGAAAAATACCAAGAGTTTTACTTTTATCATTTTTATTTAATAACTTAAAGTTACATTTAATAAATTTCATAAAAACAGAAATAGCGACATTTCATATCGACTCCAGGTCTTATTTTGGTTTCCAGACAACCAAAATGAGTTTTATGAGCATACAAATGTGCAACCTCATTGTGGCGAATTCGGAAGTACAAAATTTTGTTTGCATGAGAAACTCCGCCTTCAGATCATCCGTACATCAATGTTAAATCAACAAACATGACTATAACTAGCAGTCCTTATTTAACGGTATATTTCCGCATTGTAACGGATATTTAAATAAAAATTTCATCTTTTTTATAAGATGATTATTTTTACTGAACCCTAGGCCTAGTGCACCGTGAAACTTGAACGGTTAAATTGTGTTTGCACAAGAAAATCTTATATTTTCTGTGTTCCGGATCGATGGATAGCAACTATAACACCGTGACGTAGCGCATACACGAGCTGATTATTGTCTTCATTTGCATGTTAAAATTCGTATACGACTTTAAGTGTTAACGTGGGGTTTTCCATTTAAAATCCTAATTTATGAACAGTATTTGATGAAATTTATAACGATATTGTTAAAAAGGTTAATGAAACTGTAGAATGCTTGGTTTTTAGGCCGATGGCAAAAATATTTTTACATATTTATGTAATGTAGCTTTAAGGAATAATGTTTATTATGTAATGGAAATTCAGTGTTCGATCAGCTGACACATTTTATAGTGTTATTTTTTATGATAGATACTGACTCTCAACCAACGTGTGCTACAAAATTTGGAGGCCCCTCCTCGCATTTATTAGGAGGAATTCAAGAAGAAACACAAGCGAAAGACAGATCTGAAGAAAGTTTAGTCATGCTACCATTTGATGTCACGGTATATAGTGATGCATACGCGGAATACAATACCACAAAGCAAGGACTTGCGAGAGAAAATTCTTATCTTAGCCTGAGAACTTATGAAACCAGAGTCTCAACGTCACGCCTAAACTCTGACACTTCATGTGGATCAAAGGATGGGGAAGATAATAAATTGGCCGGAAACAGCGATGACGATGTAGAAAATGTAGGTCAATACTCATTAAAACAATCTAAATATTCATCATCAAAGGACAGCGAAAACGAATATCACATGGAATCTACTTTAGACGCTTCAACCGATCAAAGTGAAGAATTAGTAACAAATAAACATCATGACGACGTGCTTTATCTACACGCAGTGAATTAAATAATTGTAAATTGTGCTTATCTTTCCTGCTTAATCATTAAGTGTGACAATCCACATGTAGATATGATATGATAACACTTTACAACAAAAAGCATAATGGTAATATGATTTCATCGATGAATAAATATTAAGTGTGCTGGTGACAATAATATACTGTTTTAGTAATGCATTATTTTAAAAATTCATACCTTAAAAGAACCTTATTGGGAGAGTTTTCGATGAGATACATTTAGTGGTTACTAGAAGATAAAACAACACCATTTGCGTGTCATATGTAAATTGTCTTGTAAGTAATAAACGCAAATTTGACCATTAGGTCAATAAATTGAATCATTATTATTATCATTATTATTATTAAGTGTACAATGGATAAATGCATTAATTCATGATTTTACATGGCTGTTAGAAAACTAACTGTATGATTTGTTTGCCTCAATCGTTAATGAAAATGTAAAAAAAAGAAGCACAAACAGTATCATTGGAGGAAGCCATTGATTGCTTCGGATTTAAACTTCTATATATTGTCTCCCTTTTTTATCACTATCAAACAGCTTTGCAATGTTTTACTCCATGAATAATAAGTTCTATCTTTACAACACGCACATGATGACGTTTAGAGCAATAAAAATAAGTTGTATATTTATCAAATTGTTACATTTTAGCTAACTTTATTCAATTGCTAGGCAACTATAAAAGGTTGTCCCGTACTTCACTTCAGTTTGTTATATTTATCTGGACGTACGAGATTATTGGTTCCAGCACTTTTAAGTTTTGAAAATTAAAAACCGCTAAAGCCGGTACTTGGGGACAAGAGGGATGTTGCATTCTTTCATTATCTGTCATGTACAGACTCAATCAAACCAAGTCTGCAATTTTCATGTAATTTTGTTGAAATTAATGTTCCCGAAGGATCACCTTTTCCAGGTTTATTATATTTCATATTGTTCTTTCATTACAGAAATTCTCCATATAAAGTCACTTACTTTTACATACTCCAAAATAACCAAGAATGAGTTTTTTTCCCGATAAATGCTTGCCTTTTATGCCACAGTGGTTTGTTTAGTATATCTTATTATCTTTTGGTCTTTCATCATCCGAGTATTTTCTTATTATATAATCTTGTTTATTATTGATTCCATAAGGTTTATTCTTCTCTTTTCTCTTTAAGATCTTAAAATCATAAATAACGTATATATGTTAATTATCATGGCAAACAAAGAAATGAATATATGCTGCACTATTGATAAAAACACAGTATCATATTGTACGTTTTATTAAAACTAAATATTGGATTTCCGTTTAAAAGCCAAAAATAACTTGTTCACAAAGCAAATATTTGGGAAATATTGAATAATTCTGTAGAGATACGGCATAGCAGTGTTTCAAACTTGAGATACTTTTCTGACTTGTAGCATTGCCAAATATGTACTTAGTGTTGTCGTAATGAAATATAAAATGGTCTGTGTTGCTCTGCCTCGTTAATCTTTATATTTACATTTTGCGGAATGTTAAGATGGCAGGCGTGTTGTCGAAGAGGCATATAAACCGTTTACAGATGCGATGAACACCTGCAAAGCGTTTGTAGTCAATATATGACGTGTTTTTATGTTTGTAACTTCAAATCAATATCGAATTTGTTTGTTAACTTGATCCCCGAGGTTTATAGTTTTCAAAGGTTCCAGAATTGAATCGTATCATTTTCGTAAGACAAATTTTAAACATGAAACTATTGTTCTGTATTTTGCTTGATTTCTATTTGAAGTTCAGCGTCCGAAAGTTTAGATTTCCATCAGTTCAGATTTCCATCTTACATCGACTTGTCATTTGTATTTTTATGGAACTCTTCATTTCCCTAAACGTATTATTTCAGATGTGGAAGTGTGATCATAAAGTAAAAGTATTGTTTGTCATTTCAGATTTGAAGAAATGCATAACTCAAACTGGAAATTTGAATTCATGTTAAGTTCACATTACTTGAGTTGGCTCAATCGTGTAGAACAAGTCTAAATATTTTTTTTAAATATTTATTGACAATATCTCGAAAAAAATAAATTGAAAATACGAGAACGACCAGTAATACTATTTTACACTTTATTATTTTACTATTGTACAATACAGCAACTGGCGTCCAGACATTATTCAAAAGTAATCAATTGTTATTTTTATCAGGATCAGGGTTTTTATATTTTTCGGATAAACTGTTTTTTTTTTAAAGCTGAATGTAAATTTTGATCGCACGCACGATGAAAGTATTTCCGACTATTCCATACAGATGGTATCCTTTTGCTTGTTTCCTTATTCGAACAAATCGTAATCGTTCACACCATGAAAAAGTCCATTTTCATCAATAAAGCCTGATATGTAGAAGATAAACAAACGTAAAACTATATAAATCTATATAATATAATATCTTATTTTGATACATAAAAATATATAACAAACGTTGCATTACATGGTATCGAGCTTTAATAAAAGGTAGGTTGTATGCAAAAACTTAATTGATAGGGTGTAAATAATAATATACTATTTCATTGTCATCATCTATACAAATATATGACCGTTCTTTTATTTCTTCATAATAATGATTGTCAGTTGAAGTGTCTGACGTACAATTCACTCGCTCTGTTTCTTTGATATGACCGCAGTGCCTAATTTGTATTTCTCTTTGATCAAGATTAGTTCTTGCCTTAAATTGATAGATGTCTTATTGCCAGTGTTTGTAACATTGTAAGTTAGTGTTGGTTCCATGTGCTGACATGTCGTTGTTCCGTTATTGGTATTTGCTTCTACATTATCTTTAGAAGCAAAAGAAAATGTTACATATGAATACTTATATGCTGTTTAACTAAAGTCCAAATAATATCAAGTACAACAAACAAATATCATAGCATTGCAAGCAATCCATAAGTCCCCTACCGGTTAGAACCCCATCAACATTCTGAAGGGCCATTGGTCATTGAATTATGCCATTGAATGAATGAATGACATAACTGAACTTAAATCTTTTTAGTTTTTAGTTTGTCTATATCTTAGTAATGTGTTTAGTTTGCCTCCCCTAGTAAGAAAATTACGTTTATACAACAGATAATGAAAGATCCAATTTTCTCAGATAATTGATAATATCCTCTAAAAACCAAATTACTTTATTGAATTACATGAAAACTCGAATAGAGGTATGTATGAAGTTTGAGGTAGATACATAAAGAAATAGAGAAGTTATATAAAAAAAATCTTTTTTTTTCATGAAAGTTCTAAATTCTGGAAACAAAGTGATCCCTCGGAAGCATTAATCACTAAGTTCTCCTTCTTTGCATATTCCAGAATTTTGGTCACATGAATTATTGAGGCAAACATCGCTGCAACTCAGTTCGCATTTGTTACCAAACCAGCCTGGGAGACAACCATTAGTACAATATCCGTTAAATTGATCACAAGACCCTTGAATACAGTTTTTATTACAAATTTTTTCGCATTTGTTTCCGTACCAACCAGTTACACATCCAACATCACAATATCCGTTTCTATGATTGCATGTTCCGTGGAGACACATCTTACTACATGTTTCATTACATGTTTCATAAAACCAGCCTTGCGAACAGCCGTTAACACATTTTCCTGTTAGTTTTTCACACCTGTTTCGCTGCTGCGAAGCGGACACACAGTGCGTGCACTTTTTATTACATCGTCGACCAAAATATTCATCTTCACATTCACTGATGCATTTGCCACTGATTTTATCACATTCAACGGGTCCTTCAGAATTTCTTTGACAATGTCCACAACTCTTTTCACAAAGACTGCCGTATCTTCCGGGATTACATTGCAAACACTTCCCTGACAATTCTAAACACTGTAAGCATGTTTCCTTGACCGCGCAAAGAACAGGACGATGTGGATTTATATCGCGCATCACATCACATCCTTTCAAACAAGTTCTATTTAAAATGCACAAATTCTTGCAAATTGATGAACATATAAACGAAACAGAATCCGTAAAATTTGAATGTGCTGATAAACATGTTAAGCACATATCGTCAGTCGAACATTTTCTACAATGATAAGGACACACATGACTACAAACTACTTCAAATTCTTTATCACATTGAAAACATTGTAAATACGTAATCTGGTAAACACAACAGTATATAAAAAGCTTGTGTAGAAACAATTGTTTGATATAATTGAACAGTTTCGTCATTTTTGTTATTAACTGTAGAGTAAAATTGTGAATTTTGTATTCACAAGTGTAAGAACATCAGTAGTACGCGTTAATTATATAACTGTATTAATTTCACATTTAGATAATTAATACAAATACCTATGTCTTTGTATGAACTTTTCATTTTCTCTCGCTTATTATTCTAAAATACGAACTTGCATATATATTGTAGTTTTAGAATATAAATTTAAATTTAATGTTCCACATGTATAGTTCCGTCCATTTTGTTGTCATTCGAAATATAACCGCGTTATTTTTATATTCCAAATGCAAATATTTTGTAAATATGTGATAAAAACAGACTTGCCTGTTACACTGACAATCTTAATCATGTGATAATTTGCTTTTAATGGGCATTCTTTATTAGCATTACTAAGTTTTCATTGAACCTTTTAAAACAATCTTGAAACAATAATGTCTAGAGATCTTTTAAATCATTACTAATTACAAGTCATGTACAAATGAACCACTGAATCATTGTCGTTTTAAATAAGAACGTACAAACAATTAACTAGCTTTTCCGACATTGAATAAACGCTCCAGCAGTAAGCTGCAGTAAGTTACTGGCATATTTCTATCGAGAATTATTAATAAACTGCATGTTACGGACACGAGTTCAATGACTGCTTTTTAAGTTTATTTTTGATTATTAAACAAATTAGGTTTAGTTCACCTTTTACGTAGCTTAATTGGTAAGAAACCAAATCATTTCATGTATCATTCTGTTAAGCGATTGTGTCACCTTACCTCTTTTATGATTTGTCCAGATAAAATCCATATTTCTGCAATAAAACAATACTTCTCGACTGAATTGACTGAACGCTCAAGAGGTAAAAACAAAACAATATTTTTACTACTATATTTATAGCAAATAATAATAGAAGATATATGTTAAGAAAAAGATATAACATCAAATAATTGAGAACCCTTATTATAACAAGAATTCTAAATCTGTCAAATCTTAACATTTCGTTATCTCAACTTTACGAAAATCGGGACGAATTAGAGATAACGGAAGTTAACTGCAGTTTACTCTAAAGTTATATACTATGGATGCAAACTAGTGACATATAATTAATAGAATGGCCTTTAAATTTGTGGATTTAGTTTCTGTTATGTGTCTTACGAATTGATAAAACAGAGAAACATATAAAAATAATTGATATAAAACATTTTTCATGGTTGTTTTGATAGTGAAATCTATATACGCAGCAGCCATCTGTAGTCTACAACAGGATAAAATATCCATATAATTGATCCGAAAGTTTTTCGTTTGTTTCATTGGAGAGGTCATCAGACCTCTCCATAGTGTTCAGACTGATTGCTGGCGGCATCCACTTTTGCGTATCTGATTGTAGTGAATGAATCTCATTTTAAGCGTAAAATCATTAGGAGCAGTCTACAAAAATTGTTTTGCGCATGCCCCGTTTCAAAATACGGCTTAACTTAAACGAAAAATTAACATCGAAGTGAAAAAATCGGTACATAGAAAAATCGGAAAATATTTACGTTACTTAGCACTACATGGATGTTTCATTCCGTTTAATCTTTTAAATTTTATAAATCGATTACCGTATTGTTTTCTGAATAACGTTTTACTATTTCATGTTCCGATAAATAGTAACAGTGAACATTATAGCTACAATATCAACATGCATTATATATACCGCCTCCCAGGTCGAGGGGTTAGAGTCGATGACTTTTAATCCAGTTACCTCTCTGGCGTGGGTTCGATCCCCAGGAGATGCTTTGGTAGTTTTGCGCGGAGGAAGGTTGTCTAGTACTGGTGTAACTCTCCAGGAACGATGATTTAATAGGAAACTACCCGCCTATATGACTGAAATACTGTTGGGAAAAGGCGTGAAATGAAACAAACAAACACTATTATATGATCGAGTGAACCGTGGATTGAACCGGTATGTCTGAATAACGCAAAGAGAAATTTTTTGGCGCAAATGGCACACAAGTTTTACCTCAAGTTTTATTTTCTTCTAATATTGTGGTTGGAGGCATGCAGCTTTATATACTGTTTAATCCAATAAACAGTATATAACAGTATATAACACTCAAATGATATTAACATTTTTTTATGTAAACCCTGGACTTAAAATTGTTTGATTAACATACTTTATACCCGTTCTGGAAAATGTAGAGGAAATGTTTCTTTATATTTAACAAAACAGTGACCGAAAATTTGCTTATTGAACTTTACAAGAAACTTTTATTTTGATACTACTTTTAATATGTATATATACTTTTTCTACAAAGGGAACTGAATTTAAAATACTAATGTAAATGATGAATATCATTTAATTTACATTAAGTTATTTTACATTTTTTTGTAGAAAAAGTATCCCTAATGCGCCAAGAAAAAAGTCCATTTCTCCGGCATATAATTTTTTTAAAACATTAAAAAAGATGAAGTGTAAAACAAACTTTTATTGCAATATATATAATAAATTCTATTTTGTTTAATAATTGTAATTTATAACCATTCACTGTGTCTTTTATGCCATATAATATCCCCAAATATTTTCGAATTAAACAAATCTACCACAGCGGCAAAAATACCTCTCGCATGCTTCTTTTTAAAGAAGCAAACTTGTATTCCTTTATCTCATTAAACTTGTTGAATTGTGAATTCTTGATGTTGTAAAAAAGATGAAAAGTTACACAACAAAGTTGGCTTTTTCCAAATTACTCAAAAACTATTAGGGGTTAAGTTTGTAAATCATTCATACAAAACAAGAAAATTAAAGCTACATTAAATAAAAAATAATACATTAAATAAAACATATTTTTCCGTCGGCTTAAAAACTTAGCATTCTATAGTTTCGTTAACATTTTAACAGTATTGTTGTAAATCTCATTAGTTATGATTTTGAAAGGAAAACATCACGGTAACACTTAAGTTCGTATACGAATTTTAACATGCAAATGAAGACTTGTATAATTAGCTCGTGTATGCGCTACGTCACAATGGTAAAATCAATTGTAACCATGTAGATCACAGCAAATATGAGATATTCTTGTGCAAACAAACTTTTACCGTTTTAGTTTCACGGTGCATTAGCCCTGTCGTTTACAAAAAAAGTAATCATCTCATTAAAAGATTGAATTTGTATGAAAACATCCGTTAGATAATGCGAAATATACCGTTAAATTCGAAGTGCTACTTAAAAATATTTGTTATACGGTTGACTCAAAGGCGGAGTTTCTCATGCCAACAGAAATTGTACTTCCAATGGCTTATAAAACTCATTTTGGTTGTCTGGACACCAAAATAAGAACGGGAGTCGATATATAACGAAATGTAGCTATTTCTTTTTTATGAACTTATTTAATGAAGCTTTAATTCAATGAAGAAAAAGTCGCAGACACAGTTCGATCATTGATTCCAGCACTTTTAAGCGTTGAAAATTGAGCATGAGGGATATAGCAGTTTTTTTTATTATCCCTCATGTACAGACTCAATCGAACCGAGTCTGCAATTTCATGCAATTTAACTGTGACTATTGCTTCCGAGAGAGCACTTATTCAACATATCTTTATTGAGCTTGCTCACGGGCAGTTCTAAATGAAAATTGAAAGCTACCACAAATGCTCACTAGTACTGGCTTAAGCAGTATTCATCATTTAAACCGGAAAATGATGAAAATTTGAAAACTGAACATCCGATGATGTGTTGATACGTTGGTGATCATGGAACTTTCAATAGGTCACGTTCGTGTCATTCCATTCAAAGCGGCCCTTAACGAAAAAACAACAGGATAAAACAAAAGTAATTCCGTTGGCCAATGATTATTTTGCAAACGCTGTGTCACATTGTATGATTTATTAAAACTTTATATGTCAATAGTAATATCTCCTACATATACACACTGCAAACCGGAGGAGAATGTTAATTATCTCTGCATTATTTTAAGAATACTTAATTCTTATTTGTCTGCTTTGCCGTTACAGGTATTGCCATATACGTTCATAAATATTAACTATGGGTTGTAGTAATAAAACTTTAGAATGACTTGTGCTTCTCTTTCTTATTGATCTTTACTTTAAGATATGGACAAAAACGCATTACTTGGTGTAAAGTTTAAAAAAACTTCAAATTGAGAGTCGTCTTCTGTCAAACGGGCCTCTCTGTCAGGAAATATTACAGGATGGTTTTGTATTCTTATACTTCCCATTTTGGATCGATTGATCATCATGTGTTTTACTGTGGAACTTTCTATTTCCGAAAGTGTATTTACTCAAAAGTTGAAATGTGATATCTTAGTAAAAGCTTCAAATACGAAGAACTGCAACAATCAAACTGGAAATTAATGTTTAGTTTACGTAACTTTAATTCGTAATTCATGTAGAACAGATATTTTAAATATGTATTAATAATACAACAAATATGCAAATGGAAAGCATAAAACGACCTATATTATTTAACATATACAACAACAAAGAACCGGCGTCCAGAAAGTATTGTTATTATTGTTATCAGAATCAGGTATTGTTCGTACAAACTAATTAAAAAACAACTAAATGTGAATTTTGACCATTTGTATATTTCCAAAAATATATAGTGACAGTCATTATCTAATTACATGTTTTCTAATAGTCATTCTCATATTGCAAGAATCACTTTTATCAATAGGATCTAATGCGTAAAATGTAAAAATCCTTTTTAACGTTTCGAAACAAAAATAAAACTAAGACAAAACTGGTATAACATCGTATCCTTTTTGAAAAAAAAAATAGGTTGTATGCAGAAACTTTATTGATCCTGTGTCAGTAATAAACTCTTATTGTTTTCATCTACGTAAATATGTAGTTGTTATATTGTTTCTTAAAAATCATGATTGTCTCTTTTACCACCTTTGTTCTCAGTTGTAGTGTCTGAATTACTACTCGCTCTTTTCGTCTGCAATGCCTTATTTTTTTCCATTTTAATCATCGATATCAAATTTTTGCCTTAAATTGATATATGTATTGTCGTCCGTGTATGTAACTTTGTAAGTTAGTGATTATTCTATGTGCTGACACGTCGTTGCTCCGATATTGGCATTCTATACTATATTGCCAATAGAAACAAAAAAGTTGTAACATATAAATTCTAAAATTTAGAAAAAAACATGTGGTTTAACTTATGTTCATACATTAAAATTGAATTATATTGATATGCATTTTAAGAAAAAGCAAGGAGTGATCTTTTACGTCTCACATTCAAAAAAGCAAGTGTTAAAAAAAGCAAGTAGCGACCTCGTTTAGCAGTCTCCTATATGCATAATTTTGTCTTCCCTGTCTCAAAAATTTATCTTTCCGAAGACCAAGTTGCAGGGACAGACATGTGGCACGCACCTGCTGTTAAATCGTAAATTTTCAATTTTGTCGCATTCGCGCGAAAACACGTTAAAACCGGTCATTACGGTGCCCTAAAATCGTCATTGACTTTGATAATAGTGTAATGTTTATGTTTCAATGTTGGCGTTTACATAAATATTGAATCTACAAAAACCAAAAGGTGCCACCTTAGAGATTACATTTATTACTATGGCCATTGAAAGGATATACATATAACTCGTGTTAAAGGAGAATGTAACTTTTGCACTGGTTTTTATCGATATAATATGAGTGCAATGATTTCAAACGACTTAAATTGCATGGAATTTAAGGAATTTAAGGAAAATAAAAGATTTTAGAATTGAGTATCGCTCAAGCCGGTGCTAGGGGGCGTGAGGGATGTTGCAAGTATTCATTATCCCTCATGTACAGACTCAATCAAATCGATTCTGCAATTCTGTTGAAATTTTGTTGTGATTAATGCTTCCGAGGATCACTTTGTTTCCAGAGTTTTATTTATAAATAAATTAACTGTGTCAAATGGAAAGCTTTTTATGACTTAAGATTGGATTTACAGTAATCAGCCAACAATAACATCTTCATCATGTTCACGCAGCAAAAATCCGGAGAATATGGAATGACCACCACCGAGCACTCCTGTGTCGTTCTCAGTATTCTTCACAGATACGACATCGCCGCGTTTCAAATTTAAAACAATGGTCTGACTGGCAGAATCCCAGCCACTACTATTGTTGCCATGTACCTACATAATTGTTAACGGTGTATGGTTTAAATAAAACCTAAAATGGCTCGTGGACTGGTACGATGACAGGACTGTTGTTGAAAAAACATATAAACCGATGACAGGCGCGGTGAACACACCAGTATGTCTGTTGTAGGCCGTAGGTGAATTTGTCGAATCAATATTGGTAACATCATCGTCAAAGATGATTGTTTGCTCGATTCCGAGGTGGTTGGTTTCCTGTCCTAATTTTGCAAAGAATGCAACTTCGGTCGCCGAAGGGTCAATCTCTCCATTTCTTTTCTTGAACGTTTCTGACAGGCAATTGTAAAATTACTGTAAGAACAAGTCCCTACTACTATGACTGAAAAAATATTCCTTGACTCACTGAAAAATTCAATAATATAGCTATATCCAGTATTACACATACTTGACTAAAATGTTAGTTATGTCCTTACGCGTTTGATATATAATTAGATTCTACCAAATATGTTAAAGCATGACTAACTTGATATTTCCAAGCAATTTCCGAGTGATTGTCGAAGTGTTGCTAGTTCTTCCTGGTGGGTTACCGCCATTTCATCGATTTTTTCTTGTCCTTTCCTAATCTTCTTGTGCAATTCCTTTATTTCTGCTCGAAATTCAGCTTCTGTACGTTCAGAATTTTCTCTCATTTCGACCATTTGTCGTTCTAATATATCTACCCTATCCTTAAACATATCATTGTCAGCATTTATTCCATAAAATACATAAATACAAATCAAATATTTTAGTATCATTTCTAATACCTATAAGCGTTGTTTTGAAATAATAATGATGTCCTGGATTGAAATGATACAAATGTCTGACATCTGTTTAGTTCACATTATTCCCAATGAAATCGGCTCGACCTAAGAGAAAAAGGTCATATAAACAAAACTTATATTCAATATATCTTCATAATGAAATAGTACAAATTCAAATTTGGATTGATAGCACGTAAACTGATGCAATTCTAAAATATTAAATGTGCAAAATCAGTTATTGGATCAGAATATTATTTCAATATATTATATTTCTACTTATTAATCAGCTAATTATATTTTTTCTTTCAATCAGTAAATAGCGAATTTCGCTCTTTGTCAGTGAGCTGACGACAAATATTTGTATGCATTAAATAATGACTAACTTTCCTTTGAAAATTGTTCTGATTTTTATCCTAATAGTATTAATTCATATACATGTAATACGCAATGATAGTGATGTTTGTTCCACATCATCACGAATTGATAAACTGTAAAACTGTTGATAGTGTAAAGTCTAAAAAAACTATCTGTAGTTTCATGAATCTGGTAAAGGGAAAATAAGACTTGTATAAGAAGAAAGGAGACCACTGTATCATTATTGACATGTATGTTAAATGTAAAATATTTCTATACACTTATGTATTTTATTACATGTATATGTAACATGTAATAATTCAATCTATTCATGATAAGATTGTTAATTGTAAATATATAAGTTATTATATTCCTATAACGTTCTTCGCCGAGATGGTCAGCAAATTTCATACAAGTTTACTTAAATTCAAAAGTCTGTATGGCACAAACTAGTTCTTCTTACAGGTTCATGTTAAACAAGTTATATATAGATACTTTGCCGCGGTCAAGTACTATATAGGTGACAGAAAATTGTAGTATTATAAAGACTGCAATATCACATTCGGCAACGCAATGAAAAATAAAACAACCGATAAACTAATTTCAAGTCGTTTATTTAATAGGAGACATTTTTTAAGGAAAATGTTAATGGGACTTCACTGATGTGTTTTGACATGACGGGCTTAAAATAAGTTTTCGATATTTATGTTACTTTTGATGTCGGTGAAGACCAAAATTTGGGGTGCGAGATTTCAGATTGTTTGCTAATTTTGTTTACCCAGAATAATTATTCTAATTGTGAAAAATGACCTAAAATGTAACGCTTTTAAACCGAGACTAAGAAAGGCACAAAAATTAGGGGTGTCACCGTTAGTAAAAAATGGTAACCTTTTAAACGGTGACTTTAATAACCGTGTTGAACGTTTTACTTATCGTATTGAAAGAATTACTTTATTTAAAAAAAATACTTATTTTGTATTGATAAACAGATTAAACAGAGATTAAAACAAAATGTCATATCTTGACAAAAACAAAAGTAATGTTTAAATCAATCTAAAAAAGGGTTTCTGCAAACTCGGTTACCGGTTATTGAAATTTCTAACCGGTTTTAGGCTTAATACCGATCGAACCTGCTTAATCGGATAAACGTAACACCGCTAACAAAAATACATCTGTCAATTTATTTCTGGGTATATTTTTTAACTATCTGTTGCATATATTTCTGTTTTAGTGCACATAGACTATCAAGCTGATCTATTTAAGGAATGAAAATTTGACGTTTTTGCCTTTTGTACCTCACAGGAATTCCTTCAATTAATAGGGTGTAAGTAGTAAACGCTTTCATTTCTTTCTTCACAAAAATCTGGTTGCAGCTGTATTTGTTCATAGTCAGAATTATCGCTAAGATGTGTTCTGTAAATACCCGTTGTTTCGACAAAACTGTTCGTTCTTTCTCTTTCTAGTTCTTCGCCCTGGCTTATCTGTAAAGCTCTTTGATCACAGACGCTAGCTTTATTTCGAAGATTGATAGATGTTTCACCGCCAGTATAGTGAAACTCGTGAGACTCCGTAAATTCTATATTCCCACCTGGTGTTGTCTCGTCATTTGTATTCAATTCTGTATTGCCAGTAGAAATAAATACTTACATTCTAAATAGTAACATAATTTTACTAGTGGTTCAACAGTATGAAATGATTAACAAGAAATGTTAAACGACACAATATGTCATATGCCCCCCCCCCCTGCTTTCTCGCCCTGACTCATAGTATTGGACATTTTGTTATAAAAACTTGCCATAAATGGGTACATGGAAGTGTAAAGAAAAATAATGACCTACTAGTTATAACCAATCAATATGTGAAAAAAAACCTTGACCTTTGAACTAGTGACGCCATTATGACTTATCAAAATGTGAAATATAAAAACAGTGTGATAAAAAGTTTTCACAGTAAAACAAAAATCATTCTTACATTTAATGCCGCTGTGATCTTTGAAATGACCCAAAAATCATTATCATGGTCATTTACTACAAATGACTATTCAATATTTGAATATGGAGAATTTGTGATAAATAGTCTTCAAGAAAATGAGCGGAAACTATTCTGACATTTAAGGCCCCTTTGACCTTGACCTTTTTACCTAGTGATCCGAATGTCTATAGGGGATATCTTCTATTTATGACCAATCAATATGTAAAATAGGAAGACTTTGTGATAAATTTCTTCCAAGATAATGAGCGGAAACCATAATGACATTTATGGCACCTGTGACCTTGAACTTTAATCTAGTGACCCCAAAATATATAATTGTCATTCTATACATTTGACCAATCAATATGTGAAATATGAAGACATTTTGACCTTTAACAAAGTGATCTGAATATCTATAGGGGACATCTACTAGCTATGATCAATCATTATGTGCAATATGAAGACTTTGTGATTGCGTCCAAGATTATGAGCGGAAACCATTCTGACATTTACGGCACCTGTGACCTTGAATTTTAATCTAGTGACCCCAAAATAAATAAGGGTTATAAATATCCTCTACATATGACTATAATCAATATGTGAAAAATGAAGACATTTTGATAAATAGTTTTCAAGATAGTGAGCAGAAACCATTCTGATATTTAAGACCCCTGTGACCTTGACATTGGCACTAGTGACCCTAAAATCAATAGGAATCATCTTCATTATATGACCAATCAATATGTAAAATATGAAGCGTTTGTCGTGAATAGTTTTCAAGATAATGAGCGGAAACAATTCTGACATTTAAGGCACCTGTGACCTTGACCTTTGAACAAGTGACCCTAAAATTAATAGGGGTGATCTACTTCATATGAATAATCAATATGTAAAATATGAAGACTTTTATGATTTTTTAAAGATAATCAGCAGAGACAATTCTGACATTTAAGGCCCATGTGACGTTAACCTTTAAAATAATGATCCCAAAATCAATAGGGATCATCTACTACATATGGCCAATCAATGGGTGAAATATAAAGACTTGGTTATAAATAGTTTTTAAAAAAATCAGAGGAAACTATTCTGATATTTAGGGCCCCTGTGACCTTAAACCTTAAGCTAGTGACCCCAAAATCAATATTTGTCATCTACTACATATGACCAACCAATATGTGAAATATGTAGATTTTTGATTAAAAGTTTTTAATATAATAAGCGGAAACCATTCTGACATTTAAGGTACCCGTGTCTTTGACCTAGTGACCTTAAAATCATCTACTAGTTATGACATATCAATATTTGAAATATGACGACTTTGTAATAAATAGTTTTCAAGATAATGAGCGGAAACCATTCTGACATTTAAGACCCCTGTGACATTGACCTTTAAGCTAAAATCAATAGGGGTTATCTACTAGCTATGATTTATCCGTGTTTAAAATATGAAAACTTTGTGATAGATAGTTTTTAAGATAATTAGCGGATACCATGTGGTCTACCGACGGATGGACCGGTCGACATTAGCAAAACAATATATACCCCCTCTTTTTCAAAGAAATTAAATAAAAACAGAATTCTGTGTCACTAGGAAACTAGCAACAGCAGATGTATTGCCAAAGACATGCAATAACGATATATCTACTTATAGGGAACGCTAATGCTATATCTATTTAATAAATTGATTTAAAAATCAGTATAGTATTGAGACTTTCCTGAAGTCAACTATGAATAAAATTATATACGTCATTTCCATAACTCTAGTAACAACCACTAGGAATAAACGAGGCGTCATGGCCGATTGGTTAATGAGCCGGTCTGGTAATCTTAAATATCTAGTCCATTGAGCAAGCCGTTGTTACTTTACACCCATTTCTCATAACTGATATGCTCCAGGAACTGATTCCATAGTATGTCTTTAAGCTTATGGCTTTTTACACATTGAAACTTTATGAATTTTGCATAAATTATAACCTTAAGCTGTATCAAAAACACGATAGCTTCCATCACGCATTGCTTTCATTTTATACTATTTATAGCACACACTTATTAAAATTCGTGTACCCTTTGGATAAAACAGTATACATGTACACTTAGTACACAAAATTTATAAACATCTTAAAAATTGTAAACATATCATTATCTATTTATTTCTATGACAGTTATATCGAAATCTTACCATTGGTTTGTAAAATCTCATCATATATTGGTGAAACATTTCCCTGTAAAGAGTTGTTAAGATAGTCATACCATCGGAATCTTGTAATGGCTCTGACAATAAGAATAAATCATAACTTTATCAGTTGCAGTATTTGCTGTATATCTCGTAAGATTAAAGCCATGATGTTCAAATTAATATAATTTGCATGCATATATGGAAATGAAATTCTGGAGAATAGGTGAATGAACTATATTTAATTAACAATGGCGACAGTGTTACGTAAAATTGAATTCTAAATTAGATTGATTAATAAAATGAATAACATTAACTAAAAAATCCCTTATTTCATAGATATGTTATAAATAAACTTTCTTATTAAGAATAGTTAACTTACTTTCTTATTAACAGAATCATTATACAACCCAGTCCTGTGACAAACATCCCAGATATACTCCCGAAAATGCCATATACTATTGGTTTAATGTCATAGTCATCAACTGTAAGAAACAAACAAACACCCTTTTTCTGAAATATTGCAAAAGTCATATTAACTAAAGCATATCCTAACTGAATAACGTTTTCAAAGCGATGAAATATTGTAATGAAGTAATACTTACCTGTTTTATCCTCTCTCTTGTGTCCATCTAGTGAAATGCTGTCGTTAGTAAAAACATGGTCAATTTCACTGCATTTCGGACCATTGAATCCATTTATACAACCGAATTCACATACTCCAGTTGTCTGATCACATGATCTATTGTAGCAAGCAATATTACAACTTGTTTCGCATGTATTGCCAAACCACCCTGGCAAACAACCGTATTTGCATGCCGCTGAACTGTGACAGGAATTGTGCAAACATTTGTCAGAGCATACGCTTTCACATGTTTCGCCAAACCATCCTTGACTACAACCATATGTACAATATCCGTTTAAATTGTCACAATATCTATTTTTACAATTATCATTACAATCCTTTTCACATTTGTTTCCATACCAACCAGTTATACAACCCTCAGAACAGTTTCCGCTTATTTGATCGCAGCTCCTTTTGCAATTATCATTACAATGCTTTTCACATTTGTTACCATACCAACCAGTTATACAACCCTCAACACAGTATCCACTTATTTGATGACATGTCCTATGAAGACACATGCTGCTACACGTTTCATTACATGTCTTATAAAACCAGCCTGGTAAACAACCAGAAATACATTCTCCAGTTATTTTTTCACATTGTTTTGACTTTGTAACTGAAATACAATTTTTGCATGGTTTATCGCAACGTTCACCAAAATATCCATTTTCGCAGTCACTCCTGCAGTTGCCAGTATTTGTGTTACATTTAACGAGTCCTTTTAAATCTCTTTGACAATATCCACATCTTTTTTGACAAAGATTGCCATATCTTCCGGCATCACATTGCAAACACTTTCCAGTTAATTTCAAGCAGTTAAGGCAAGTGTCATTTGTTACACAAAGAACAGGACGATATGTGTTGATCACGCGCAGTACACTACAGTCTTTTAAACAACCTTTATTTAAGACACATTGACCCTCGCAACTTGAAACGCATAGAAAAGAACTAGTATCTACAAAATTTGACGGTGTTGATAAACATGTCAGACATAAATCGTCCGATGAACATTGTCTACAATAAGATGGACAAGGTTGTCTACAAATCACTTTGAATTCATTATCACACTGCAAACATTCTAAATTTAATATTTGGTAAACACACCAGTGAATAAAAAGCACGTGCAATGCAATTTGTTTAGTAAAAATGAAATATCGTATCATTTTCCGGCACATGCGATATATCAAATAAAGTTCTATGAAATATTCGTTATTAAATTCCAAAACACATGTCGGGTTTTAAAATAGTCCTAAAGTGAAAGGCATGTTTAAAATTGAATGAGTTTACAAAACAAAGAAAACGTTTTATCACATCAAACAATTGTCCAAAGGAACGAGTAAATGTGAAGACAAGATACTTAAAACCTTCCCATTTAATGATTATACGTAATACAATATACAGTCTACTTTGCCTTTTCTTCGTGTATAAAATGAACTTAAAATCAGTGGATAAAGAATAATATGTATGACGCAAAATAAATGTATAGTTGAGATATAGTGATTTTGCACTTTGCTCATCAACGAAGTGGTCATCAAAGACATTGTGACAAAATATTTTTATGAATAGACTCCGTCGTCCATATATATACAAATTGTTTAATGATGATGTTATTCATTATAAGGATGCTTTCAAAATGTTATTTTTGATTTAAAATTTATAGAATGGTAACCTCTAAAACAAGGCAGATTGTAATAGCGATCGCTCTTATCTTTACAGGCATTGCAAAACACTAAACAGCTGTTTCTGCAGTTTAAAACAGAATTGTTCAATCTTTTGACAAACATAGTTTTTTGTTTGTTTGATTTTACGCCTTTTCCCCAACAGTATTTCAGTCATATAGGCGGGTAGTTTCCTAACCATCGTTCCTGGAGAGTTACACCAATACTAGACTACCTTCCTCAGTGCTAAACCACCAAAGCATCTCCCGGGGATCGAACCCATGCCAGAGAGGTAACTAGATTAGAAGTCATCGACTCTAACCCCTCGACCACGGAGGCAGTCATTGACAAACATAGTTTTAATAATAGCACGCGCATTATTGATAAAGTGACCTGTTTCCTCTGCCTGAATCATTACAATACGTTCGGTGCAAATTATGCGGTGTAGCTTTCCTTTTATAGTCAACACATGCATGTATCATTTGCAATACGTTACATGACTAAAACAAGGAAATTTGAAATAAAACAGTTCATATGACCACGTACTTATGCACTTACAATAATTGAATCATTTGCTTTACAAGGCTGAAAGTGAAGAAGGAAATGTAAAAATTGACTCAATAATTAAACAATTGTGCGTTCACTGACATGCATACAAATCATTGTAGTAATAATAATTTACTGACTCATCGTGAAGGCGAAGAATGTTTCCTTATAGTAATGAACAAAACTAAAATATTATTTATTACATACGTTTATCACATGACTAGTTTGGCACCAGAGCCTTGTAGCAGGTATTCAAAACTGTCTGAGGACTAGTAATACGATTAATCAAATTAGACTTGTCTCAAAAATACTCTTAACCAGTTTTGAAAAACAGTAATCATGTTATAAACATATTTAAACTTGATTTTCTGGTAATAGTTTGACAAAAGTCATAACAAGCAAACTACTTCATAAAAAGAACCTACCTATATTAAATGTTGTGATACATTTTGTTCAGTTGCCGTGACGCACCATTATTAAGTTTACTTTGCCCATCATTTATGATTATTTCAAGTATAGAATCGGGAAAAAGAATGTAAACGTGTCATAACTGTTTTACAGACTATTTTAACAGGTCTATTGTATTTACTATTGCTACGAAAATAAATTATTATTAGCTCGACTTTTCTATGAAAAGGGGAGCTATCCTACTCGCCCCGGCGTCGGCGTCGGCGTTGGCGTCACACCTTGGTTAAGTTTTTCGTACCACCCCACTTTATTTCAGAAGTATTACAAGTATGGCTTTGAAACTTACCATACTTGTTCACCATCATAACCTCCATCTACAGACAAGAGTACATAACTCTGTCAAGGTTTTTGACAGAATTATGGCCCTTTTTTGACTTAGAAAGTGTATTGAGCTTGGTTAAGTTTTTTGTACCACCTCACTTTATTTCAAAACCATTGGAGGTATTGCTTTGAAACTGACCATACTTGTTTACCATCACGACCTTCATCAACAGACAAGAGGACATAACTCTGTCAAGGTTTTTGACAGAATTATGCCCCTTTTTGACTTAGAAAATACATTGAATATGGGTAAAATCCACTTATTGCCTTAACCCTTTGAGATATTGCTTTGAAACTTTTAATGCTATTTCACATCATTACCCCCATCTGTACGCAAGAGAAGGTAACTCTGTCAAGGATTTGTTTTTAAAAATTAAGGCCTTTTATCGACTTAGAATCTTGGTTAAGTTTTTAGTACCAGTCCACTTTTGACTGAACTGTTTGAGATATTAATTTGAAAGTTGGAATACTTGTTTACAATCATGATTCCCAAACATGTCCAGGATGAAGGTAATTCTGTCAAAGATTTTATTTGAATTATGGCCCTTAACTGTCAATGTTTTGTATTATAGGCAAGCACTAAAAAACTTAAAAAATCTAAAAAAATTCATTCCTATCCACTTGTTCACTTTACCATAAATTATGTCATAATAAAATAATTCGTCACTAAATATCTTAATGCTCATGGCCATTGTTCACTTTAAAAATACAGAGATTCTTGTATTGCCTTTTACTGCAAAAACTTTTTTTATTGGCAAGCAATAAAAAAGTCGAGCGCGCTGTCTTACGGACAGCTCTTGTTTGACTGCTTGTATATAGAGGTAAGACTATGTCAGTAATGGTTTGATAGGCATATTATTTTAGCCACTAGTGTCCAGGAATGAGTTCAAGGTTTTTCTTAGGCAAGTAAAAAGAAATTCAACAAAAGTTTGACGTTTTAGCCCACAAATACAATTATTGAACACTTAATATCCATAACAATATGAAATTATGATAATAAAAAAATAAATGTTAAACTTTCCAAAATTGGTACCAATTTCTTAAAAAAATTCATACTATACAAATTCTTGTTAAATTTTATTTCTGAATATTGTTTACAGAGGAATACTAAGATCACAATTTCAAATCTCAGTTTGATATTTTCAGGACGAGGGATATATTCCAACTCATTGGGGTTCCTTGGTGGTGTATCATGGGCAATGTTGGTGGCACGTGTTTGTCAGTTATATCCAAATGCTGATCCATCTACTCTTGTACAAAAATTCTTTATGGTTTATTCAACATGGTAAGTTAGACAAATTATATGATTAAGGTATGTTAAGTCATTTAGTTCAGGACTATTCCTATCAAATTTCCAAAATTGAAGAAGAAACACACTTTTTAACCAGGGCGGGCGTAAACAATTTCTTCTGTGCGCAACTTCTCCTACATTTCTCAATGGATTTTGACCAAACTTTCACAGAAGCTTTGTCATCAAGTGCTCTGGCGCATATTGTCGGGGTTTTATGATTGGATAATATTTGACCTAATTATGGCCCTTTGTTTTTTTTCCTTATATAGAATTTATTGTGAATAATTTCTTCTGTGCGCAACTCCTCCTACATTCTCAACGTATTTTGACCAAACTTTCACAGAAGCTTTGTCATCAAGTGCCCTGGGGCATATTGTCAGGGTTTTATGATTGGATAATATTTGACCTAATTATGGCCCTTTGTTTTTTTTCCTTATATAGAATTTATAGTGAACAATTTCTTCTGTGCGCAACTTCTACATTTCTCAACATATTTTGACCAAACTTTCACAGAAGCTTTGTTATCAAGTGCCCTTGCGCATATTGTCGGGATTTTGTGATTGGATAATATTTGACCTAATTATGGCCCTTTATTTTTTTTCCTTATACAGAATATATAATGAACAATTTCTTCTATGCTCAACTCCTACATTTCTCAATGGATTTTGTTCTTACTTTCACAGAAGCTTTGTCATCAAGTGCCTTGGCGCATAGTGTCGGGGATTTGTGATTGGATAATTTTTGACCTAATTATGGCCCTTGTTTTTTTCCCTTACAGAAAATATAGTGGACAATTCTTCTGTGTGCGATTCCTCCTACATTATTCATGATTTACATTGCACATAGTTACATTGTTTGTTGCTTGTATTTGTATTTCAACTTCAACATATTTATCTACAATGGTGATAATTGAAAACCTGGTTTCATGGCATTGCCATGTTTCTTGTTCAGATTGTACAATGGTATATAAAGCAATACTAAATTCTATGTATAGAAGCTACTGTCTACTGCTTAGGTAAAAAATGTATGCATTTTTGCTAAGTTTAATTCCAGTTTTATATGAATGCAATCATATTTTGAATAAATTAAGTTCTTGATGCAAAACTGTTAAAACTTGTATGCAATAAAAGGGAAATTTACATTCAAGCCAATGAAGAAGCTCTCAATGTTTGTCACTTCATATTTATGTGATAATAAGCTTAGTATTGATGAAGGAAAGCTTTATACTCTTATATAATTTCAGGCATTGGCCACAGCCAGTTCTGTTAAAGGAGTTTCAGGCTGAGAACAAATTAAATCTAACAGTTTGGGATCCAAGGGTATGTAAAATTTTCTTCCTTATTAAATATTTATCAAGTATATATGTCTTGATTTAAAGATAAAGGGACTGAAATTTGTAGCAAAATTTTTGACAGTTGGTCTGCTGGGAAGTCAACACATTCTCTGTCCATCACTTACATGAACTCAAATTCCTCTATGAATGGTACCCTCTGTCATGTTAAGTAGCTATGAGATAACTATTCTCAGAGCTTGTTTAAAATCTTAGATCCTGCTAAAGTACCAAGTATGTCAGAAATAACTGTGAAATAATTTGATCTTTCTCTAATGAGGAAGTCTCATCTTAAAACTCAACCAAATATTGTGTGATAATTGACCTTTTTGCTGCCATTATAAATGATTTTAGGAGACATTTCTTCTTTAATACGGGGTCTTTATTCTCAGTGCAGATGAACCCTCCTTATGCATAGAATACACACATTTTTTTGCTATTATAATTTTTTCTGGCTAAAGGCATACAAATCACAATCGAAGAGATGAAATAATTTTGTTATTGTTTAATTTGTTTGATTGTAGATAAACCCTTCAGATCGGTTTCATCTGATGCCAATCATTACACCAGCATATCCATGTCAGAACTCCACATTTAATGTCACTAAATCTACCAGACAAATCATGATGGACGAATTCAAAGAAGGTGAGTTAAATCAATCAGTAAAACAGTTTTGTTTTCACCTGTAGCAGTTGTGTAATGAACTAATCTGCTTTTACTTTTTACTTTGGAATAGTTTATTTGTGGGAATGATGAAATTATGAATCCTAAAGTGTAGAAACAGGTAATACTGTCTAGGTGAGCAGTCTGGCTTTATACTGATTTCATCGTCAAGTTGTTAAAGCTGCAAGCATTTTTAAAGCCAATGATTTAGATACAACTTTCTGTGAAAGAAGAGAGATCTGGTGAAGAGATTTGGAGTGTTGTTTGTTACATAGAAACTGAAATGATTGTTAAGACTATATCCTGCTTGCTATAAAATTTTGATCTTTAAGACAAAGATATGGTGTTTTATTCAATAGATTCCAATATTATATACCTGAAATAATGCAAAAAGGATGTTTTCTATCTTACATTTAGAGGAATATTAGTATAACACCTTGAAAAGTTGGTGATAAATGTTAACTTATTGATAGGTTTATTTTAGGGTATTATTATTTATTTAGACAAATTTAGTCATATCAAATTAGCAATAAAGCTTTTGTTCCTCAAAATAATTTATAAAATGCATGACTTGTATAAGGAAATGTTAGATTTGAGACTTGTTTATTTAAATATTTGATAACATGCATGTTAATGGTATTAAGGTATTCTATGACAATATAAGGCTGTTCTTTTTATTGTTTGAGTTCTTTCCCTTTAAATAGTTGATAACATACATTTTAAAGAAATCCAGGAAATTTCAGTCTTTTTTTCTTCAAAGTTGGAGTTCTTTCCCTTGAAACAGTTGTAAAGAAATCCGGGGTTTTTTTTGTTTTCTTTTTTTTCAAAGTTGAAGTTCTTTTCTTGAACGGTTGATAAAATGCTTGTTTAAAGTATTAATGAAAGTTGTTCCTATTTTCAGGGCTGGATATTACCACTGAAATATATAAAGCTGGTGAAGATGGAGATTGGAGTAAATTATTTGAACCATCAAATTTCTTTCAAAAATACAAGTAAGTGATTTTCACCAAAAGTGTGTATTTGTATGTCATTAATTTTGCTTTTTTGATACAGGCATCAAAGTCTTTTCAAAAATACAAATTTTTTGAACCTTCAAATTAACTGTAAGAATTAATAAAGTATATTGCATTCTTTCTACAAATGAATCAAGTAATGGATTTGAAATAGGGTATTAGTGTAATTTTAAAAGTATATGTATATAAAAGTGAAAATAATTGAGTTCTATGTCTAAATGAAATTATATACATTGTATTGAATTGTGTGTTCTTAATGTGTTCATGTAATACTTTATATCTATGTTTTATATATTTTTTTCAGACATTACATAGTATTAACATGCTCTGCAGAAGAGGAAAACAATTACCTTGAATGGTAACATTTAATTTCATTTCTTTTCTTCTTCTTTTTGTCCATTATTAATTTATTTATAGACATTTTTAGCTCGACTATTCGATAAGAAGAAGTAGAGCTATTGCAGTCACCCGAGCGTCAGTGTCGGCGTCTGCTTCGGCGTAACCACTTATGTTAAAGTTTTTGTAATAGTTCAAACATTTTCAAAGTCCATTGACATATGGCTTTGAAACTTTGCACACTTGTTTACCATCATGACCCCAACTTGTAGACAGGAGGAGGTAACTCTATCAAGCATTTTGACAGAATTATGCCCCTTTTTCGACTTATAATTTATGTTAAAGTTTTTGTAATACCTCAAATATTTTCAAAGTTCATTGACATATGGCTTTGAAACTTTGCACACTTGTTCACCATCATTACCCCAACCTGTAAACAGGAGGAGGTAACTGTATCAAGCATTTTTTTTTACTATCAAGCACTAAGAATAGTCGAGCGTTGCTGTCCTACCGACAGCTCTTGTTGTTCTACTATTTAACGTTTACATTCTTTTTTATGACCTATACTGTGTCGATGTGATGTAAAGCCTAAACAAACAAAAAAAATCTTATCAAGTATTTTTTTATTATTTTCTATTATTAGAATTTCGTTTTTCACTTGTGCCAATTTATATTCTACGTATAAATTATTGTATATTGCAGCATTATGTATGAAAGATTCTGTATTTATTAGACAAAGTTTTCGATTATATTTCGTTCCTTTTAGCGGTGTAGGTAAAAGGACGTTGCGTCAATTGTCATTTTATAAACGTAAATTTCTTCTGAAGATGACTAACCAACCGTCGAGAGCTAAAGAAAGCGTTTGTTTTCATTGAACTGATTATATATTTATATTGTTTCTATAACACTAACTGGTCATTTGATAACGTATTATTCATTTCCCTCGAAATACGGAATGGTATTCACAATGGTACATATATAGCAACCTTAATCATTTATTATATAAAATTTATTTAACTAACGAATAATGTTTGTTCCGAAGGATGTTTTCCTGGAATATATGTTAGATAAGCAATCAGGTCAACAGCAAACTGTTGATTATGAATTATACATCGATATCCTATCGTTCTCCAGTGTTGGTGTACTGATCAGGAGTTATCAATTTTAGCAGTTTAAAATAGTTATATCTGCAGCCGTCCAACACAAAAAGATGCGGAAAATAACAAATGTTGGCATCAGTAATTCATCAGAAGATTGTTGCAAGCAATACAAATACAAACTGTAGTTATATTCAGTTACAAAAAAATAAATCTGGAAACAAAGTGATCCATCGGAAGCATTAATCACAACAAAAATACATGCTGTACACTACAGTCTTATAAACAACCTTTATTTAAGACACATTGACCCTCGCAACTTGAAACGCATAGTAAAGAACTAGTATCTACAAAATTTGACGGTGTTGATAAACATAACAAAACACTTTGAATTCATTATCAGACTACAAACATTCTAAATTTAATATTTGGTAAACAAAGCAGTGAATAAAAAGCACGTGCAATGCTATTTGTTTAGTAAAAATGAAATATCGTATCATTTCCCGGCACATGCGATATGTCAAATAAACTTCCATGAAAATATTCGTTATTAAATTCCAAAACAAGTTGAGTATTAAAATGTATAGGAAAGAGTAAGGCATGTTAAATACTTTAATTTACAAAACAAAGAAACCATTTTATAGCATCAAACAATTGTCCAACGGAATGAGCAAATGTAGATATTACTACATATAGATAAGATACTTGAAACTCTCGTTTGATGTTTATACATAATACAATACAAAGTCCACTTTACCATTTTAATGTTTATACATAATACAATCTAGAGTCCACGTTGCATTTTCTTCGTGTATAGATCAGTAGATAAAGTACAATATGTATGATGCGAAATTGATGTTCAATTGAGATAGAGTAATTCTGCACTAAACTTATCAACAAAGTGTTCATCAAATGCATTATCAAAATCTATTTTATAAATAGACTTCGTCGACCATAATTATGTCAACATATTGTTTAATTAAGATGGTATTCATTAATAAGTTTGTTCATGTGCATACAAACTATTTTAAAGCAATGTTAGAAATAATTTTAGGCTTCTTTAAACAATCAAAAAAAAATTGTATAGCAGTGTTTAACGAAACGATCTTTATAGTTTTTACGGAAGGAAAAGGGTAAGACATTAACATTAACTGGTAAGTGTGTGCGCGTGCGTGCGTGTGTCGTGCGTGCGTGCGTGCGTGTGTGTATGTGTGGACATATATCAATATTTTTAAAACATCAATATTTTATTGTGTTTTTATGAAATATACATTGAAAACCATATCTATGGCACTCCTGATCTTGACCAACTGAACTCTAACTCAATCAAAAGGAAGACAATGCAAGATATCTTCTCCCTAAATATGAAAGACATCTGTCCACAAATGAAGGTTGTTTGGGAAAAGTGTAAAAAATATCTTAAGAACTGATAGTAATATATTATATTACTCCTCTCCCTCATCCTAAAAAAAAAATATCATCCCGTTATACCCCAAATTGAAAAGTATAGAAATGCTTAAATCATGATAATTATAGTACCCGCCCCAAAAAAAAAAAAAAAAAAATTTTATCCCCGGCGGGACTCGAACCCACACCCCTAAAAAAGAAAAAAATGATATATAGGCATCCGAAAAAATTATATTCGTAAAAAGTAAAATGTAATAATACCTATTACTATACTACCGACGATTAATGCTGTTTTTTTATCTTCGTGTTCTATTGATATATTTTTTTCTTTTTTTTTCTATTCCATCTGACAATTTAACTAAAGATTTAGCTATTTCTTTAGGTTCTGGTAAAGATTTCTTTGTTGGTGTTCCTTTAATTTCTGTATGTAGAATTGTTGGAATTGGTTGAATATTAACATCATTATTCAATCCAAGTTTTTGATAATTAGTTGCTACTATAATTTTATTATTATAATTTTGTATTTCTCCGATTTTTAATTCCATATTACTAGGAGACATGTACAAACCAATTCCGTAAACATAATCAACTTTACTTCTGGCATATTTTAATGTATTTTGATATCTTTTAATTTGACTCGGTAAATCTACGGGACTATTAATTGCATCCTCAACGTTTGCAAGAAATTGTTTTTGCGCATCAAAAGCTGTTCCTGTTCCAAGTATATCCGTTCTAGTTTGAGATTGTGAACCAAGAATAGCCCAACAATAAGTCCTTATGGATTCGTTAATCCGTTGACACCTGATCTCGTAAAACCTTCTGAAGTATCGAGAATAAATGTGGTCCAAACATCCTTAACATCATCTTCTTGTTGAATATAATCAATATGAATTTTCTTTGGCGTAAGATATTCGCATGATGAAATACCACATTTTCTTCCACCTGGAACTTCAGCCCCGAATGTCATTTTTGATAAATCTAAATCAGATGATATGCTGCTAGAAATATGTTTTGAAGAATAATCATGTCTAAAATCAGTTCGTTTCCATGCAGAGTGACTAGTTGTGTGAACTAATCCTAAACCATTTCCACTTTTATACATTTTTTGTCTCCAATCTGAATGAGGGTCTACATTAAACTCTTTACATATTCTTTCGTAAGCACCACGGTCATAACTGTAAATTGTTAAATGCATTCCAACTTTCATCTTGTGGTAGGGCAATAGATAATTAAAATAATATTCTTCTTGTTTGGTAGTAAACGTGAAATAAGAATAGTGAACCGGTCAACCCTGCTTTTAAATGGTTGTTAACATCTATACCACAACCTGTAGTAGCACACCATATAGCGAAGTTTAATTGATTTTGCCAAAACGATAAACCACTCTGCATTCCATCTATTAACTATTTCATTTGATGATATTTTTGGTAATAGTAATTTTCAAATATATTTGGGAAATCCGCATTAAAACTTTTCTTATCTGATGAAATAATAACGGATTGTTTTATTATATCTATATGTTTTTAAGATATATTCCTCCTGTATTATAAACTACTTCTTCGTTGTATTTGAAATTATGTACTGTCATTTTTATTTATTAAAAATGTATCAAACAATTTCAAACATTGAAAAACACTATAAATTTGCTACAATTATATATAGATAACAAATGTGGAAATAAGAGAATCGGATTAAAGAGTTTTACTTATACTATAGGTTGGTTATAATTTAATTGATGAATATATACAAAAGGATTTTGATAGTCCTAACAAGATTACAAATGGTTATTTACAGTTTTCAACAAATAGTAGATATATTTGACAATTATAATATTACATTAACTGTAAATGAAACAAATGGTATTGCCTCTTTAATTACTTCCGATGATTTGAAGATAAGTAAAGGTTTAAAACAAATATTAGGGTTTAAAAATAAGAAAAAGATTTACTGCTAATGAAAACGCACTACGGTGAAAGAACAATAGATTTTGCACCTTATAAACAACTATATGTTCATCTTGAGCAAATAAATAGCTCTTACAATTTTCTTTGATGGTGCTCCTAGTAATTATTCTTTGTGTTGTTCCCGTTGAAAATAAACCATTCCGTGATATTGTTCATATTAATTTTAGTAATCCACAATACAAACAATTGACACATGGTGATATTTCTGAATTAAGTATAAGCGTTTGTGATGAGAAAGGTCAGAAAATAAACAACAATGGATTAACAATTAGTTGTGTATTGGAAATTATATAGTTTTTTTTACTTTTTATTAATATAATTATTAGCAGCTGCATACAACATTCCGGCAACAAGAACAACTAATCCCCATAAATGTTCACCAAACCAGGATACAACCTTGCTGGCAGAGGAAAGCAACCAAGAAACAATAGCACCGATAATACCGGGCAATGCTTCCGCAGCTTTACCAGCTAGAGTAGCTAACAGTTTACCAAGATTTGATAATTGTTTTTTTATCCAGTCTTTTACACCACTTCCATCTTTTGGAGGAGGCTTAGG